CCCCCCCCCCCCCCCCCCCCCCCCCCCCTTGCGCGATGAAAGGACCTTGGCTTCATTTCGTGCAATGTGTTTCCTTCGTCCCTGTACCAATGTGCATTCCGTCCCCTGAAAAGTCGAAACTGATTGAGTTTGAGGGGGGCTTTGGCCTTGCCAAGGATATACCAAATTTTAAATTGGAATCGAATAACTCTCATCATGGCCCGGCAGCGTAAAAGACGAAAATATGAAAAGGATAGGGCTGTTTCAGAGCAGAAAGAGGGCGCGTCTTATCAGCCTTCAACCGTCTGGCTTGTTCAAGCCAGCATGGAAAATAGGCTTGGGGTAGAAAAAGAAAAATAAGCACCGCGCGTAGACAATAAATACGCAAATGCACCAATGCACCGTACTTTTATGCCCAGCTCCCTTTAAGAACAAAACAAAATAAAACATCAAAGCACACCTTCAAACTTCATTCCCCAAGAATGCCCGTTTGTTACTCAAACAGAAGGGCAGGCACCTACCCGTCGCAGACGGGCAGATGGCACACAAAAGCTTGCACGCACAGAAAATCAAAACACGGCAGCCAGGGGGGGGGAAAGGGATACAATACAAGCAAGCTAGAAGAGAACAAAGCGGAAAAGCGGGGCTGCACAAGGCGCTCATCATGAGACCGCTGGCGCGGGCGGACAGAGCGCCACACGCAGGTCTCCTTGGACAAACGTGGGCAAGCAGTCATGGGCCGATCGCAGCGAGTCGTCAACAATGTGCCGTTCTGCGCCGTGTTGTAGCAGGGCTCGAATGACGGGCTCGTGATGCTCCCGTGCCGCCAGGTGCAGTGCCGTCGCGCCGTGCTTGTTCGCCGCGTTCACGTTGGCCTGATGCCGCAGAAGCGCCATGGCAGCAGCCATGTTGCCCGTAGCAGCGGCGTAGTGCAACGCAGTCCACCCTTGTTGGTCTGTGGCATCGACAACGGTAAAGGGCAAGCGCTGGCCGGCCCGCAACAAGGCGGCCGGGGCATCGGCCTTGCGCGCACGCAGGCGAGATGGTCCCTTGTTGGCCTCGAGAAAAATGTAGTGACGCGTCGAGCGCAGCAGTGGCATGAGGCAGCTTTGCGCCTTGAGTTTCACACAGACCATCAACGGGGTGACGCCGTTTTCGTCGCGCAGGTTCAAATCAGCATCTTGCTGAATCAAAAAATTGACGCCTTCTGCCCAATCTTGGGCACACGCCACGTGAAGTGGTGACTGACCATGCCAGCCCGGTGCGGCGCCATCGACAAAGGCCCCCAGCTCCTCCACCAGCAGGCGCAGCATAGTCAGGTTTGTCGCGGTGCAAGCAAAGTGAGCAGGACATCGGCCCACGTCGTCTGGACGGTTGATGCCCTTGGGGTCCCGAGCGAACAGCTGACGTATGGCTTCCTCCCGGCCCTGCGCGGCTGCCTGAAACCACAAGGCGTGGTCACCGCTGCGATGCCGACTGGTGGCGCGCGCCGCCGGTGACGAAGGGTAGCGCGCGTGGTCTTGACCCTTGCGTTGATCATGGCCGCTACCATCAGTCACGCCACTGGCAATGGAGCGCGTATAGCCGCTGTCAATGCTAAAAATGGACGGTTCGGCGTTGGGCTGAGCACCTGCCAACCAGGGATCAGCATGCAACGGCGATGTCATGCCCATGCTGGATGAAGGAGTGGTGCTTTCCGCGGGCAGGCCAGCTCGTGCCGTGTAGTGCCCCAGAGACGGGCCATCCCCGTTTTCCCGATCAGCAAGGGCGCCCAAAAAGTCTAAATCGTCGCTGTACGGGGAGTTGGCGGTACCCGGCAATGAGACATCCCTGGCGGGGGCTGTGAGGAGTGCCGCGGACGGGCGCAGGCTCTCGCTGTCCGGAAGCACGGGCGGGGAGACGGCGGGGGCTAGGTGCTGCGTCGGCAGATGTGGTGGCGCCATGGAGCGCTTCGTGGGGAGCGATCGGTCCTCAGTCCACGCGTCCGCCGGGACGTGGGAGTCATCGCTCTCGAGCGCCTCATCATAGTCTCGTGGCGGGGGTGTTGGCGGCGCACACGTGTCAATGTCGGTCACCTGATTGTGACGCAGCCGACCATGCATGCCTGGCCGTGCGCGGCTGGAGGTCCGCGAGGCCGACTGCCTTGCGGCTCGACCCTGTGGCTGGGCAGCCAGGTCAATATACTCGGCTGCCCTGTCAGCAGTGTCGTGGTGAATGTGGGGGCGCTTGCTCACGCGATGCACATTGGCCACGACAATGCGAGTGGGGCTATCACCGCTGGCTGAGCCGGCGACAGCGCCATCTTCTTCGGGGGCTGGTGCAAGGCGCTCATGCTGACGGCGCTTGGCTTGACGCACCACCGTGCCAACCAGGATGACGCATACTGCCGCCACGCAGACAAGAGCAATGACGAGGGGCCGTGCCCAAGGAGAGCGCGACTGCGGCTTGGCCACAGACGAGGTATTGTCGAGGCGGCCTGGTTCGGGGGTGACCAGACTCAAGCCCGAGGCCACCGCTCGGGCACCCCAGAGGCCACGCGGCGCGTGCCCCGCAGCAACGGCAGCATTGAGAGCGGCAGCTGCCTGCGCACTCGTGTTCAGACAGGCTGAAGGACCGGAACGTGCGGTGCACCCGGGCGCAAAAGCCAGCTCGAACCAGCGACCGGTCGGCAAGCGGCGGGTGCCCGGTGTTGGCGCCGTGGTGGGAGCGCGTGTCGACGGATTGGCTTCGCCCAGGCTCAAAACGGGACCACGGAGCAGCATGGGTAGCTCAAGCTCAAGCGTCAAGAGGTCGAGGACTGTGGCAACGCCATCCACAAGCAGCTGCACAATGGGCACAAACTCTTGATCGTATCCCACACAGTCACCTCCGTCAAACGCACAAGTAGCAAGCCCACCGCATTCAGAATCGCATCGTCCATCGGCAAAGGTGGCAGCGCAATGTGCGGGGCAGGGCTTTGTCAGGCTCGTGCCAATGGCCACGCAGTCACCGCCGTCAAAAAAGCAAGAGGGGGTATTACAAGCCGAATTGCAGACGCCGTCGGCATAGGACGCGCGACAGGCCGGGCAGGTGCGCCACGGGTCCCAGTCCGAGAGGTTGGCACCAGTGCTGCTGGCTAGGCTATCAAGGCGCGAAAGATTGGTAGAGCCGGCGATGGGAAGAATTTGACCACAGTCCGGACCGGCGTAGCCAGGAAAGCAGACGCAGCCCTCGCTGGTCGGGCCGAAAAGAGGGGAGCCGAGAGGGCTGGTAGTGTTTGAAGAATCTTGCGTGAAGGCCGAGGCATTGCCCTCCGTGGCGAGCCAGTCTTGCTCGCAAAGACCGCCATAACGACAGCGTTGCTCTGACTGACACGCCGTGAGACGGCAATGGCCCGAGGCGACGCAAAATCCAGCGTGCTCTCCCAGTTGGCAGGGTGTGTCCGAATCGCGGGGGCTATCGATCACACATTTTTGCTGCAAACAGGCAGTCAGCTGGTAGCAAGGGTAGAGTGCGCGGCACTCTGCATTCGTGGAGCAGGCCTGTTGTGCCTCGACTGGGACAAGCACGGCCAAGAGGCCCAGAAGGAGGGCCAGCAGATATGCAGGGTGGGGGACAATCATGTTGAACCGTCCGCTGCAATGGGGAACCGGAACACAATGACCAAGGGAGGGCGGCGATGTCAGCCAGAGCTGGGCACCACACTGAGACCGATGAATCGGCTTGCAAACTCAAAGGTTGCAAGAAAACAAGGTCATGGCGCACCTTAGATTCGAACGAAGAGACAAACAACAAGGACTGTGCGGGGATGGACCGACCATTGGCGGGCGGAACCATTGATGTACCGAACCAGACCAGGAGGGCCAGCGTAGCGATCATTTAGTGAAGGGACGCAACGGTACAATCACACCTCCTGGCGTTGATATGTGTGCGCTTGTGTGGCGCGGTCGCCGCACCTGACTTGACCTGAAACGAAAGGAAGGGCGTCAACAAGCGGATGGCACGCCGATTGGGTCTTGAAGAGAGGGCGGCCAACCCCGAAGCAGCGGGCCTGTGCCCGGATTGATGGACACCAAGACCCAGATGGTGCCCTGTTTTTCTGCCGTGGTTGATTCTGTTAAGGCAGGCGCGCACTGACAGCCAGCGTGATGTGCTTGGGTTGGCCCAATGGCGACTTTGGACGCCAACTTGTTCGACCCTTCGCAACAAACACGGTGGGCGACGTGCGATCTGGGGCGGCGCTTGACTGCACACCAAAAAGAAAAACACAGCCCCACTCCCCCCTTCTCTTTGACGCGACTTGTTCAAAGAGAGCCAACCAGGAACCTGCAGTCGTGCGCATAAACAATGGTCACCGGGAAACCAGCTGCAGCATGCAGGCAAGCTGCATACGACTGCCATCGTGCTCGTGGACGGACGCTTGAAGGCGTCGTGCGTCCACCGTCACCGTGCGCTATGCGGTAGTGTGATATAAAGCACACTCATGGCTGAGGGATTTGTCAGATAAAGTTTTCAGAGAGTCGTGGAACTGGCAATGGAGTTTGCAGAGAGGGTGGAGCTGTTGAGATCAGATGTAGCGTCAAATGGGAGGTAAAACAAGAGATGCCACCCATAGAGACTGACCGGGAAGAGGTTTGCGCTGAACCGCCTGCTCGAGCTTATTCTGCTGTTCCTTCTTCCTGTTCCCTGATTTTCAGACCCTTCATTCCATCGAGGCTCGGCCCGGCAGCCGGTACGTGGTTGATGCGCCCGGTTGGTTGTGGCCCTGGTCTTCGAGCAGCGAGACTGGAAATGCTTGCCAAGGAAAGAAGTGGGCAGTGACGGGTGTGGGGTGCAACCGCATCAACCGATGATACTGACCCTTATGCGGCATGATTTGTCTCCCACCACCACCCCCCGAAGGCAGGTCGAGTTTCTCCAGTGCCACTCCCCGCCGCGACCCTGACCGGGCTGGCGCGGTTCTTTACCGTCGCCAGGAGAACGGCCTGTCTCTGCTCGGCGTGTTTGTAACTGGTGCTTGCCCGCACGCTACATGCATCTGCCCTCGCCCAACGCAGTGCCACTCCAGCAACCGGCAACATGAGGTACTACCGCGATCCATGTCGCCTGGATAAAGCAAGAATTCGGCAGACAGGCACCAATCATCTTGTCTCCGCCCTGTGTCCACAGTGAAAAGGCCATCCACAAGACGTCAGCCCACGTTTTTCGCATCGATCCTGCCACAAAGTCAAGCTGGCAGCCCATATCCAAGCGGGCTGTGCCCGTCCACGTCTACCATGATGCTGACAAGAAATTTTCCCGCATCGTGGCCATGGAAGGGAGCTCAGCCTTGATTAATTGCATCCTCAGTGAGGGCATTATCTTCACCAAAACCTCACCCAAATTTGGTCAATGGCGCGATCCACGCGCCAAAGCCGTCTACGGTCTAGGCTTTGCCACTGAAGACGAGATGCAACAGGTTTGTTGCAGCTCCGTTTCTTATCCACGCACGTTGATCGGTGTTGATCCGGCGCCCGTCACCCAACGTTAAATCCCTTTTCACACAAAGCGTGCACTTGAGTTTTCATGCGCTGACACTGTGACGATTGTCCCCCTGAGGCAGTTTGCCGACGCTTTTGATCAAGCCATGCAGCAGGCCGTTGGCGAGTCGACCTTGCGCCAGCGCACTGGCTCCATCAGGTTTCTTCGCCTCGACTGTTGGCAGCAAACTCCATTGCGAATCAAGTACACAACGTCTCATCGCACCTGGCCTGTCCTTCATCATCCCTCCGCAGCTCCGTTCGGTCTTTTCAGGCAACTGCCCCGGTCCAGTCTACGCCGGCATCAACGCCGTCGACCATGAGTCCAACGCCTGCTCCGCCCCAAGCTCCCAGTGAGAGCCCAGCCGCGCCAGCTCCCATCAAAGCGCGCGATACAACCAGTACCGCGGCGGTGGCCTCTGCACCTCAAACGCCAACAGACACCACACCCCCAGACGCAACAGCGAAATCAGATGTACGTGTGTACTCTACAGCCACCTCGGCTGTGCAGCACACAGCGCCTTTGAGTGGACTCTATTGACAGCCTCTTTGGTAAACCCCGTTGCCGCGCAGGCTGCTGCACTCAAATATGAGAATGAGCGGCTACGCAATGCTCTTAAAACCTCAAAAGCCAACGCATCCAAGTGGGAAGAAGAGCTTCGCAACCTTCGCAACACAAACGCACGGCTGACAACAGCCATGCAGGACAGTGCCAAAAATGTCGAGCAGTGGAAGCACCAGGTAGGTCATTGAGCGTGACCTCATCGGACATGGTGCCGCCTTGCACATGCTGATGAGACATCCCATTCGTGCGTGGCGCCTGTACACAGCTGGCTGCTTGGAAGTCAGAGACGGAGAAACTAAAAGCCGATCTCAAAGCCGAAAAGGATCGGGCCTCTGCTCTTGAGGAGCAAGCAGCAGCCTCCACTGGACCAACCCCCGAGCAACAGGTAGGCGCTACACCAAGTGGCTGGCAGACCATGTACCGTGGCCGCGCATTGCGCATTCTTAGTGAGCAGTGCCTTGCTCGCTACCACGTGTGAACCGGCTAGGCGGAACTGGACGAACTGCGACAGGCCCTCGAGGCCAAAACCGAAGCCCATAAACGCGCCGAACAGGAGCGTGAGGAAAGCCACGCTGCCCTGGCGGAGCGCGACGTAACCATCGCTAATCTGGAGCGCAAAGTTCAGGTCTGCTCTCGGCTTGTTCTGTCCTCTGGCACCATCCTGACCCTCTCACGATTCCCTTTGAACCTCACGTCATCGCTTGCTTCATCTCTATTCAATAACCCCTTAGGAGATGGAGGGCTTGGCAGCATTCAAGGAGCATTCGGAAATGCTCCAGCGCGAGATGGTGGCATGGAAACACTCTTTTGCGGAAAAATATGCCGAGCTTGGTGACTTTTTGACCGCCTTTGATGGTCTTTTGCATCAATAGGCATACCCATGGTCTTGCATACGCGCTGCTCCGTTTTACACCTTCTACTCCGCCTTGTGCTACATTTTCGTTTTGTCTTCTTCTTTCTTTGGAAGGTTTCTTGACTAAGAGGGTTTAATTCACAACTTAGTGATAAAATTGATTTACAGGCCATCTCAGACCCCATGAGTCTGCGCCGGAAGGAACACTGCCCACATCTACCACATGGTAAGGGAATGCGTTGTCGCATGATATGGAAGTGATTACTCCAAGTCATGGCTGCCATGAACCGTCGTTTTAAAAGAGTCAGAATAACACACATACACACACACACACACACACACACACACACACACACACACAACGCACTGAGCATGACGCGAGATTGTGACCAATGCACGCAGCCTCAACTTCTACGAGGCACCATCAAGAAGCATGGCGCTGAAGCCACTTTCTTGCTGTACGATGTAGGAGGTCGAGAATCCAGTCACCTGAACAAACACGGAGACGTAGTCGCCCTTCCTCAAGTATACAACACCCACTGGGCTCAAGGTTTGGTACGCGGGATTGACAGTGCCGTATGGAGTACGAACGGACGTCAAGCCAGCGTCCGTGTATGTGTTGTCGGCGCTGGATTTGATTGTGACCAGGGTCTGAGAGGCGGTATTCACTCCATCAACGCGGATGTTGGCAGCCACGTAATAAAAGCCGGAACGGCGAGCCGTAAAGCGTCCGCTGGCGGGGTCAAAAGCACCACCCTTGTTAAAGCAAATGGAAACAGTCGCCGGCGTGACGGTCCAAGCGTTAATTTCTACCGGGTCACTGGTCGTCACTGTCATCGATGAGGACATCAAAGCACTGAAGGCATGACTGGTCTCAAGTCGGGCTACTGTCAAATGCGACTGGGGACTATAAGCAAAGCTGAAGGCATAGCTGTTAAAGCCGTACGGCTGTACACGATCGCCGGCGTTGAGGTAAGCCAAGCCACCGACGTAATTAACCATGTAATCATTTGGAAAGGGCGTGCCTTGGATCATGTGCAGAGGCGTGTTGTGCGTAGGGCTATCGTTGACGACAATGGACAGGCGATGGTAGTGGCTACCGGTTGCGCCAGTGTCGCCGGGTCCATCCAAGCGCACGGTGGCGCTCAAGAGAAACACGCCGCTTTCTTTCACCACGTAGGCCGAGCTTTGCAAGCTACCCCCAAACAAGTAGCGGGTTCGGCTGGTTGCCACGTCTGTGGTCCAACCATTGATCTTGAACCAGCTAGCGCTAGTCGTGATGCTGTAAGACGAGGTCAAAAGGGCATAAACACCCTCAGTGGGGTGCACACGATACGCTGACATGCCCGAGTCCTCATGCACTGTGAAATCGTTGTCGGCCACGGCGGCCATAAAGACGCCCACGCCCGTGCCGGATACCAGCTGAACGATGCCAGCGTTGGAGAAGGTCCACTGCTTGTAGTCGGTAGTACCCCGGACAAGGCTCATTCCGTCGACCGCGGGATCGTTTGCGCCATTGAAACCCATGTTACAGTGCACCCAATTGTCCGATATGTCATCAATCCGAATGTTGTAGGCCAGGAAATAGTGACCGGCGTCGGTTGTGCTGACAGTGGTTCCATCAAAAGTTGTGCCTGCGCGAAGGAACGTGCTGTGCAGACTGGAGACATTCTGGCTAAAGCCCGTCAATGGCACATAGCTTCCTGCCCGGTTTAGCTGATGCAGGGATGTTGCCAGGTCAACGTTGAGGCCCCAGTTGGGAGCGAGGCAGACCGTGTCCGCCGCAGCACTACAAGCCGTCAGCACCTCATCCTCTCCGCAGTCGGTGCATCGCAGGCACAGTGTGTCCGCGGTTGCTGAGCAGGCCCGAGCCTCGTAGAATCCAGCCTCACAGACCGTGCAGGTCTGGCACACGGCGTTGCTATCACTCTTGCACGGCTCAGCCATCCACTCGTTGGCTGCGCATGCGGTTGTGCACGCGTTGCACACACGCTCGCTGCTCACCGTGCATTCGCTGGCAATGTACTCGTTGCTGGCACACGTTGCGCAGCTTGAGCAGACACGGTTCGTCGACGTCGTACATGCCGTCGTCTCGTAGGTGCGCCCAGGCACGCACGTGGTGCAGCGCGCACAGACACGATCCGAGGAAGCCGTGCAGCCGTGCACCTCATAATCGTCTGCAGCGCACGACTCGCAGTTGGTGCAGCTGGGAACGGATCCACCGTAGGAAAAGGATCCGGTACCGCATGCTGAGCACACGCGTGCGGTCCCAGCCCCGACATTGCATGCCGTCGCCTCGTATGTACCGGCCGCGCAGGCAGCACCGCAGTCCGTGCCCAGGCTCGCTTCTGCCGCGCCCAGGCGCGTCGCCAAATCATCCAGCACCAGACGCAGGGCGTTGTTGTCCCCCTCCGGGTTGTTGACAATGTCGTTGAGGAGGTCACGCGCGTCCTCGTCAGCGTATTGGGTAACTGCATCCACCTTGGCATCCAAGGCGTTGCGCACGGCGTTGTTGGCGGGTTCGTTGTTGACCATGGCTGTCATGACCGCCCGGATCTGATCGTCAGTGCGGACGTCCGTGGCATCGGCCTTGGTTGAAGCCAACGACTCCACGACCGTAGCCAGGGTGTTATTGGCTTGCTCGAGGGCGGTGAGGCGCTCCTCAGCTGCAAAAGCACGCTGGCTGTTATCAGCGGCGAGGGTCTCGGCGCCCTGCAGCCGGGTGCGCAGGGCCGAGGCATTGGCCGTGTCTATGAGCATGGCATCCACGGTGGCTGCAAGTTCGGTGACGTTGAGCTTGGCATCGAGCTGGGCCTGCATTCGCTCCTGCATTTGCGCAAAACGCAACGCCCAACGACTCTCCATCGTTGCCTCCAAAGTCGTCAGCAACGCAGCGACTTGCGCCTGGGCAACCATGCAACCAAGCCGCTTTGATGAGCAAGCATGACACCGCTTGGAGTAGAATCCACCATCGCACCAACCTTGGTCAAGAGTTGCGCATCATCGTCGGTGAAGAGATCGGTCTCTGCCTCGGCGGCCCCGCCAATGACCACGCGATTTGTTGCGGGATCGTCCAAAACGATGGCCAGATTTCCATCCACCACAACGATTTCGGCAGCACGAGTGTTCACCACAACCATCACAAACGCCGCAAGGGCCATTCGGTACCACCCCACCAAGCGCCGTCCATCATTGGTTGGCGGTGCCATTTCGACCAACCGCGAGTGGGCGTCGCGGCCTGCTTCACGATGAGAGCGCGGGGAGGCGTGGTGATGAAGAGGCGATATCTCGCACGAAAAGTCAGCAAAACGTTGCGAAAAAGATGAATGGAGTTGTTACGTCATCAAGGTGTGAGGATGCATATGGGCCATCACATTCATAATAGGCGTGGGTACCACAATGTCATTTAAAATTTTGATTTGCCAATCCCCCACGCCCCCCTTCCCTGGTCGAGGGCGTAGAGGCGGGCTGCGGCAGGGCGCAATTTAAACCCCCGACCCTTGACACACCTTTATCCTCATCTTGACACAGCCTTCTGAAATCTGGAATTGATTAGCATAAATTCGAAGCCACACGTCAACAGTTTGCTATGTTCGTATCGACAAGAAAAATTATCTCTGGATCAGATCTGGAGTTTGCAGCTTACAGGGCAACCCACACTGTCAACGCCTCACACTGTCACCTCGCTGCCCGAGGGACTTTTATTGGGGGTGGAGCTAGTACTCCACAGCCGACCAAGAGACGAAAGCATACGCTTGCCAGCGGCACCACGTGGCGTGGATGCCGGCGCGGACGGAGGCGAGGCTCCCACACCATGAGCAGGACCGGAGATGGACGAGCGCCGAGACCAGCTTCCGAAAAACGAGGTTGAGCGGCTACGCTGCAACAAGGCTGCATTGGAGGGACTGCTTCCTAGCGGACCTGGGCTACTGCGCCGCGATGAGAGCTGTGGCGTTGTCCGCGTAGACTTTGTTGGATGTGTGTCCATGTCTGTGGCCAGGACCATGTCAATGACAGGTTTGAGGACAGTCTTCTTGAGATGAATCTCGTTGCGGTAGGTCTCACGCTCACCCAGCGTGCGCAGCAGCAGCTTGTTTCGGGCCGCCACCAGATCCTTGAGGGTTTGCCGTAGCTGGCGCAACTCGGGCACGGACATGTTTGCTGCTGAAGCCGGCGTCACAATCTTGACGCCCACCAAGTGTTGTGTAGAGGCAGCATAGAGTCGGAGGACTTGATTCAACTTGTCTTCCACCCGATTGGTGGCTTCGTCGGCCTGAGCCGACAAGACGGCATCAGCAAGGGGCGGGATAGCATTGGTGAATGGCGCTGGCACGGCCGATACCTCTTCAGGCAGTGCCGTCTCGGGCGCCTCGGTCATCTGCTGGGCCGACCCGGTCACGATCGGGGGATCGACCGAGGGTGTAATGATGCGCTCGCGAATGACTGACGGCGACGGTGAGCGGTCCTCAAATACACTACCATTGGTGTCCGAATTGCTATGAATAGCTGCCGCCACGTGAGCCAATGAATTTGGCACTCCTGGGTTGGCCGTGACCTGGCCTGCGCGCGTGTCAGTGGGTTTGTAAATGGATTGCGCCACCAGTGAACCATTTTGTGAGGCCAAGCGCGTTTCCTGTAGATGTGGCAAGAGCTGCTGCAGCATGGAGACTGTGAGAGCGTCGTTGTCCTTGGTCTCTTCCTTGAGCTGGCTCATGACCAGGTCCTCAATTTCATTGAGGACTGAGCCCTTTGTAATGCCCTCCTCACCAAGCGCCATGCTGGAGAGCGTCATCTTGGCATCCTGCAGCTCCTCGCGCAGATTGATCATTTCAGTGTCGCGCATAGCAATGGCTTCTTGAAGCTCATGCACCTGTTCCTGTAGTGATACCACCTCGTGCTGATGTGACGAGGCTGTGGCGTCCAAGGAACGAAGGCGTTCGTGGCCCTCGCTATGGCGACGCGTGAGCAGCTGATGCTCGTGTGAAAGGGTCACATGAGCATCGCGAAGCTGGTCCAGCTCAACATGCAGCAGGGTGCTCTCCTGACACGTCAGGTTGAGTTGATCTGTGGTGGCACTGAGTTCTTGCTCCATCTGCCGAGCTCGCTCCACAGTCTCTGCGAGTCGCGTCTCGAGCTCTGATATGGTGGCGCGCAGTTCCTGCTCGGTCTGTCCTTGCCGCGTTGATTCCGCTTCGAGATCTTGTAGCTAAAATGTGTACATAATTGTGAGCAACTTGACATTAAAAAAAAAAAAAAAAAGACGCGAGGATGACATCACTTCATACACCGGCCCTCCCACTCTCACAAAAGTCACACTCGGCACCAGGGGCTGAAAGTAGGAGATAAACAGGCACACCTTGTGTTCCAAGCGTTGCGATTCTTGTAGTGCAGTACGAGTTGCCTTTTGCTGAGCAAGCTGATCGTTGAGCTCGCTCTCCATGCGCTGGCATTCCTGCGTCAGGCTCTCATTGACACGGTAAATGCGCTCCAGCTCAGCCCGCGCCCCATTGAGATTGGCGCTGGCTTGGTTCTGCAGGCGCTCAAACTCGCCGAAAGTCAACTGCAAATACACAGAAGACCAACACATCGGATTGCATTGGGCAGGGTGAGGCGTATTGTGCACATTTGACTCTTTCATGTTGAGCCCCGAGTCCACGAGAAGCTTCCAAAGGAAAGACCTGCGTTGATCAAGACCTGCAGAGAGCCGCGCACCTCTTGAAGCTCACGGACTAGGCCCGAGTTGATACCAGACTGCTGCAGCTGACGCAGCAGCTGTTCGAGGCGATCAGTACCACCCTCGACTGACGTCGAATCGCTGGTCACATTGGAGCGCTGGCGCGCACCTCGAAGAGGCGAGGCACGGGGGCTCCTACATGCATGGAACGTCAAAGCATGGCTTGAGCAAGGCGCAGTCATCGAGGCAAGGCACCACAGCACAAAGGCAACGTACTGCTGCTGTTGCTGTTGTTCTGCATGGGCCTGGAGAAAAGGGGCCATGGCAGTTGCAAAGTCTTCTTCAGAAACAACACCGTCACCTGTGGCCGAGGATGCCAGCAATATGCGAGCAGCCCTGAGTGGATCGCAACGGCTCAACAAAGACAGCATTTGATATTGAGCCAAAAGCCCACGATAGAGGATGAGCAGCAAAAGACCCACCATCAACGTCCAGTTGCGCCAGCATGGCAGCAACCTGAGTAGGCTCTTCCATCACGACGCCGTATGCATCCAAAACGTGTTGCAGCTCGATGAGACCAAACTCGCCCAACTCGCTGCAGAAGCTTCGGTACATGTCACGAGGAGACGGCATGAAGATGTCGTCCTCAACTTCGGGGCTCGCCATGGTGATGGCACCTGAGGTAGCGGGTGCCACGGCCCAGGCACAAAGCTAAGTGCACAGTTTGCTCAAATTAGTGCCCGTGCCTTCACGGGGCAACACCAATGGTGTGGTGACAGTCACTGTGGCTTGGAGGGCACATAAAAAGGCCAAGTTGAGCTCGCCACATTTTTTAAACCCCTTGCACTAGCGAGGCTCCCAGCACCAAAGCGGGCTGGGAGAGGGTGAACCCAAAGTGGCGCCGCCTTCCTTGATCCACGGAGCAAACAAGTGGGGACAAAAGGGAGGAGAGATGGTCGTCACACCACGCCTGGCGAAGCAAACAGCCGGTGATTGAGCTTCCTTTCCTGCCGTGTGGTGATCGAACGAGCCTGACGTGAATCTTGATTGGAACGACAAATTCGAGCCGGTAAATAGTTGCTTGGCCGTGTACAGGGTCATGCAGGGCCGCCGTGGGCCTCTCGCCTCTGGCACAACAACAAAGACTGCAAGACCCTCAGACGGCACAGCACAGAGACAGGGAGACACAGAGCGGGACCCACACTCCCAGCCGCGATGGTGAAAGGGAAATGATCATGCACACACGCAACGGTCACAACAGTCAGTCATGTGGTGACGACACACTTCAAAAAACAAACAAAAGGAATACAAAGTGTGTGTGTGAAGAAAAAGAAAAAGTGCGTGACACCCGCCACCGCGACCGTGTGAAGGGCAGCCAGCAAGAGTGTGAGCCGCCTTTTGACGCCCCTCACACACCCCAGCACTGGCAAACGGTTGAGCGTCCCAAACTTCAAGAGGGTTTTGGTCCAAGTTTCGCGACCTTCCCTAAGCAACCGCAGGGCTGGCACGGCAACCGCTCGTGGTGTTGACTAGCAACATCGCGACAGGGGCGAAATTTCAAAGTTTCACGACAAGACCTTTGAGTAGGAAATGCCGGTGCATTGCATGAAACCCTTGAGACTCGACCCCGCTACGTCGCTGCATGTCGCGTTCTCGTCCTTTTGATCCCAGCCAACTAGTCAAACCGTGGCCCCTCCAATAATTACTGTCAAGTACTAACCATAAATATACTGGCAATCCCCGAACTTTTCAATTATGACGCCAATGATCCCGGGGCTACCCTGGCGAGGCACCGTTAGGCAGCCGTCAACAGCGTTTCGATGGCTCGATGCAGATCCCCAGCGCGCTTCCGCAACGCTGCCTCACTCTGCGCACGATCAAAGCCGAGCTCCTGCAGCGTATGCAAGGCTTGCTCGCGCGCCTGCTCCAGGCAAGCAGCGTCGCAAGGGTTGTGAGCGCCGAGAGAGCCCAGTGGTCATTTGAATCGGTGGTTGACTGACAGGAAGGCGTACTGCCACACACCTCGGCAATACAGATATTCATATGCGGTTGAGGCCGAAGTGCTTGCTGGCTCAAGGCAACGCTCTGCTTGATGGCCTCCGCTTCTGCTCGCCAGCAACCCACACACACGTGACCAATGCGCCGTGGTCGCACCAATTACAACTAAACATGGGGGATTAAACGACGGACGTACGCTCCAACGGGGCACCGCGACACGTGGCGCAATTGGGCACTTGGCATTGATTTGAGCCGCACCCTTGCGTTGCCTGCGGGTCCAGAGGGGAAATGTATGAACGATCAGACTTTGAGGCGTGAGGTGTACCTCGAAGCAAGGCACAACAGGGCAAAGCACGAACCTGAGAAAAATAATAGCGAACAAGCAGACCCAGCAAGGCCTTGGCATCGTCCTGGGGTAGGGCTTCCATCTCCAAGCGAGCACAAAGCTAAGGCACCCAAAGGTCAGTTGCAGGCAGGGCTGCGCAAAGAGCAAGGCTGGCGGATTTCCCCGCGTGCCCAGGCTGCGCTCGCAGTTGGACCCATGCCTTACCGTCTGTTGACAAAGCGCACACAAAAGTCCACTGCTGAGGCGTGTATTGTTGCACTGGGCATTGGCGCACTCCATGGACACTGGAGGCGCTGGCTCTGCTATTGTTGTTGGCTTTGGTCTGGGCGCTGGCACAGAGGCAGGGGTTGACGAACCAGCCCCGTAAAACTCATATCCTGCCGCGGCATACCGACGAGCCAGCTCGGCGGCATCCACGGGGGCTGATTGCGCTACGGTGCCCACGCTGCTGCGCGGTTGGTCTGTTGTCGTTGTGGACGCTGGATGCAGCAAACGATGCACGGGAAATTGCTTCAATTGCACGCGTTGTCCGCATACCTCGCACACCTCAGTTCGGGCCCCACACTCGCTCTGAGAGAGAAAGAGCCACCAGACACACCAGGTTCGAACATTGAGCTGAATAGCCAAGCGTTGACCCGGACAGAGAAAATAAAGCATGAACCAAACACACCAACCTCGTGCGCAGTGAGCCCGGCCAAGCGATCGTTGTGGTTGCTCGGAGCAGCCCCGGCTTCGTGATGCAGATAACAGAAGCGGCATATGACGGTCCGTTGGGGGCAGGTCTAATCCGCAAAACATAGTACCGAGACTGCGATGAGGACAACGTCTTGCAAGCGAATGCAGGCATGCGAGTGGACAGCACGTCCAGGTTGGGAAAAATGGGACAGACCTGGCGTCGATGCTCCTGCAGAGCCAATATGTCAAGCCGGGCTCCACATGTGCAAGTCTGGGGAGTGTGAAACACGTCCCTGTGTTTCTGGGCCAAGGCCTCGGTGGGCAAGACCACGACCTGGTCGATGCAATCCTCGCAATGCCGATGCTGCTCCCAGTCTACCTAGACACCGTGTTGGATCGGGCTCAGTGTGAGGCAAGCGTTGCACTATGCGAGCCCAAGTGCGCGCCCAAATTTGCCTTGAAGCTTGCATCACACAAACCTTGCGTACGACGCGATTACAGATGGTACATTTCTTGTTGTGCCGCACGCAGTAGGCCGTGTGCATTGTCAAGCGCGAGGAAGGAACTTGTTCGCCGCAGTTGGGGCAAGCCGTTCGCTCTCCCTGTCCCATAACATGATGATTCAAATGCATTGTGTGAACGTTACAGCGGGACACAGGAGCACGCACCCACACCGGCGTGCAAGGGTAAGGATATTCCAAATGCGAAGAACAAGATGCCAAGACTCACCAGGGGGTCTGGGATCTGAGAGTCTGTCGCAGGCACACCTTGCGCCTCACTCGGCTGGCTTGCAACCTGCCCAGCCGCAGCCGCTGATCCGTACGCATAGATTCCGATATAAAAGGTGGATGAATGCTTGATCGGGGTAGGCACAACCACCCGTGCCAAACCCGGCTGATATTCTGGGCCAACGTCAAGCATCCAATGCAAACAAATGAGCTATGGTGGCCTCGAGCTGCAGATGCTGGAAGAAGAGCAGAATTGAGCCACATGAGGCTGCTTCAACTTGGCAAATCACCCACCGCGGCAAGTAAAGGTAAAGTTGGTACGACTAGGGCGTCTGGTTTCATCAACAGAGGCGACATACACCTCGGCATCCCCGCTCTTAATCTAATAAAAAGTTGAGGCGGTGGAAAAGAAAAGAAGTCCCGCTTGAGCTCTCGCGCGCATCTTCAATCAGATCACGCCACCCTAGCGAACACGGGGACGCGACTATGGACTATGTAGAGGGCATGATGAAATGCATCGGATCTTGCCTGAACAACGACTTGAAACCCTTTGTCCAAAGCCGGCACGTCGACCTTGACAAACGTTGGCTCATTCGCTGTGCAGGACCAAGGAATGCCGTCCACAAAGCCGAATGGGATTTCTCCGCGGTCCTAATGTTGCCAATTGAAGTGTAGTTGAACATCGGAGACACAAGAGCAAAGGATGGTCGATCATGAGGGCCACGCTCTGGAAAGAAAGCCGACCGGGCGAAAGGGTGGCTAAAACGTGTGTACGATTATACACAAGCGTGTGTACGCGTTGGATGCAACTCTGTGCCCCGCGCCAAAGTCAATGGTGGTCCAGCGCTGACTGACGTACTTTGGTGGGACTTTCGGGTGCCTCATTGGTCATGCCAACGAGGTCGACCACCAACTCTTTGTCAACAAACAACAATTGGAGAATGAATAAGTGAATTAAGCAATCGCAGGTGCTACCACCTGCACAACTGGGAGCCGCCGATTGGAGGAACCTTGGATGATGTTGCGCACCTGTGTCCATGAGCTTGCAGGATCGTTCCGGCTCCAACGCAGTGACTTGCAATGCAAAAGGTCGCCCGTTATGAGCAATGACAATTTTGGCACCCTAATGGTTCAAACACCATGAGGCCGCTGCTTCATCACGCCACTGGAGTGTGGGGGCAGAATTCTCCTGGCTCGTCTCGCCTGCACTATCAACGCCGCCCCGAGTATACATGACAGATGTGCACGCACTATGCATTGTTTTTTTTTTTCATTTCCCCAGTTTCCCCTGATGGTAGGAAGGCCTACCTCAGTGAGTGTGCGATACGAGGCGCTGAGAGCGTTCTCCAGGACGGCGCGTGGGTTGGGCAGCTCCAAAAACGCAGGGTCATTGGCCTTGAGCTGTACAGTATCAGCACGTGGCAAAGCCGTGCCCTCCACGACCTCAAAGCGAATACGAGCACCCTCCTTGACCCCCAAAACCTCCATCATCCAGACGGGCAGGTAAAACGTGTCTGGCGGGGCGTCAAAGTGTCCCACTCCAGCCGTCACAGATTTGCTCAGGTCTCCAAAGGCATTGGGGAAGAAGCGAAGATAAAGCGGCTCGCCTGGAGGTGTGAACGACGAGCGGGGTCACGCACCGGCATCAGAAAAGGCACTGGGCAGCAAGTACGGAAGAAACCACGCGACCATTGCAAAGTTGCGGCTGGTGGGGCTGCCACGTCATGCACGTACCCGACTGCATGCGCCCGCTGAGGGGCTCCAGCATTGCGGTGGGCAAGCTAACCAGGTCAGTAAAGTTCCTCTCCCGCTGCTCCGCTGCCGGCACTCGCACCAATCCCCAGTACGTTGGAGCCCGCCCCCTCCCAGCCATTTTGCCGTTTGTCTCTGTGCCAGTCCCTCCCTCCACGTCACAGTGTGCTCCAGTCGTCGACTTGTTGATCAAATGAATGAAGTGTGCTGGCCACTTCAAGCCGAGCTGACAATTCCAAAAAAAAAAAAATCAGCAGAAATTGCGGACAGGTGCTCGACAACAGAAATCCAATGATCATTCGCTTTTTTTTTTTTCCTTCTGTCTCTGGATCGAGATCGAGAGCTTCCGCCTGTCGGTTCTTTTGCTCCCTGTCTCTTGAGCCTGGGCGCCGAGAGAAAGGCAGGGCAATACAGGTCAAGTGAACATGGCTGCTTCTTTGCTTAACGTTGTGCTGGGTGCCACACTGTTGGCAACAGCCGTCAAGGCCGATGATGTCGATTGGCGTCGCCTTGATGCTGGTCGAATCATGTACTCAGAGATCGCGACAAATGGCTACATGGATCAACCGGTATGTGCTGCCGAAACCCAAGCAACCACCGCTTTTTGCCGTTTGTGCTCTTGTCGACTCGGAAAAGAGGTGTGTCATTCAGATGAGAAGGAGCCATCTCACCTGTGCTCGCGGACATGGCTTGCTCGCTGCCCCCAAGTATTGCAGCGTGCTCACGCCAGAGCAAGTGGGCCGAAGCAGCAACGGGTCAAGTCGCTGGCTCTGCTCTGTCACTCTCAATGATCGACCTGAGGGAAGCGCCGGGGAACATGTGGCCACGTTGTACACGGATAACCAAGGCCTCAACTGGACCGGTGAGCCTCGTCACTTTCCCCCAGCCGCGCGTGCGAGCACATGTCAATCCATGGGTGTGCCATCTCACTCTCTTCTCGGACTGGCTGCATGGGGCCTATAGAACCACACGTTTTGTATCCAGAGCTGCTGGCTCAAAACATTGACACTGCCTACAGTGCCAATATTCTCAGCCATGCAGGCCGTGTGTACGTGCTCAACAACGCCAATCTTGGTTCGTGCATCGATCCCATCCCCACCAGTCTCGGCCCGGAATAGCTCCGATTTGAACCTCCTCACCCATTTGCTCCTAACTGTTCGATTCCGACCTTATCGCTTCGCGGCCTGGTGCTCTGTGGGCATCATACTGGCTATTAGATAATGTCACGACTCTTCCAGATGGCAGCCCGCTCGGCCGCACCGACGAGCTGGGCTACTTTGTCTTTCGCTATACGGATGATGGGGGCGCATCTTGGAGCCCAAACTTTTACAACATTTCCAACCGCCAGACAGCCATTGACCGAAACAACTCCTTTGCTGGCCGGACCAACATCTTTTGGAACGTAGACCAGTTCAAGTCCCGAGGGAACGACACCTACGCCATGTTCACCAAGATCAAGTCGTATCCACAAAACCCACCGGAACAAGGCTTTGTGCTGCATTCACCCAATGCTCTCACAGAGCTCAATGCCTCGGCCGTGCTCTGGAATTTGCTGCCAGATGCTGATGACGGGCCAACGGCCCCAACCCCCTTTGACTCGGCGAAGGTAGTGGCTGAAGAATGGCACGTCGTTCCGTTGGCCCAATCCCCGGGCTTTTTTGCCGTCTTCCGCACCTCTACAGGCTACTTGGGTGCAACCAAAACGGCCGATCCCACGGGCCGCGCCGGCTGGGAGCCCTCGTCGTTGGCCACCTACGATGCCCAACCCTTGCCTGGTTACCGGGCGAATGCCACCACCAGCCTCAAGAACCCACGCGGGCCCATTACCCTCAAGCGTTTCCAAAACGGCCGCTACCTGCTTCTGTGGTATTTCAACAGTGCGAGTGGATATACAGCCGGTGCACGCAGCAGTCGTAACCCTTACTGGCTCTCGTCGGGACGCGAAGTGGATGGGGCCGTGCTTTTTTCGCAGCCTGAAATCGTTCTCTATGATACAGCCTCCACCAACGCTCGCATCGGCTATCCGGATTTCATCGAGGACGTGGATGGTTCTATTTGGATCACGGAGACGGACAAAGTCACCGCTCGCGTCCACTCCTTGCCCGCGGGCTTTGTGAACGCGCTTTTCGGTCAATTCGAGGCCAATCGCCTCATTACGAACGGGCTCGTTCTCAACGTCACCCAGAATGCCACCGCCCGGACTCACTTCGCCGTTCCTCTTTCCTCCCACACCGAAACCTCTTTTGCGGCGGGTGGCATTGGTCAAAGCGCCGGATCCGGCACCACCGTGGTGTTCTGGCTACCGACCAAAGCCCCGCCCGGTGAGCTGTTTCACGCAAGCAACGGTTCGGCCACACTCCATGTGCAACTTCTGCCCAACTGCACCGCCGTATGGCAGGCTGAGCAGGAGAACACCACGTCCACTCTGGCCACAGACCCCGCTTGCTCGGCAACGCTTGGCACAAGTGGACCTCACTTCTTGGCGTTTGTCTGCGACACGGCTGCCGGTCTCGTCTACGTGATGGTGGATGGCCACGTTTGTGATGGTGCACACGTGGAGGAGTGGGGCTGGAACTGGCTCGCCTCTGATCAGGTGATTGTGGGCCGCGGCACTAGCGCCTCGGTGTCTGACGCCGTGCATCAAGGCCTGGTCTATGACCGAGCCCTCCTCACAACCGAACTTGTCTCTCTCTGGCGAGCCTCGGCCCCCTACCAAATCTGAGAATTCCCGACTAAAGTTGTCCAATGCAAGGATCGCTCTTGTCTCAAATTTTCAATAGAAAACCAATGAAAAAACTTGTTCTGAACAATATCAATCACCGACGTCTTGACAACGAGCAGCATCGAATGCTCCTTTGGCATTCACCGCTTCGGTCAAGTTCCTCACGCACCGGAAGACTTTGAGTTGCCACCATTGCCGATTCCACGAGTCGCATCTGTGTCCTCGAGGCAGAAAACGGCCAGACGGTCGATGCGCACAGCTAGCCCTCCCTGTCTTCTTTTCTTGCTGTCTCTGCCTCTCTCTTTGCTGAGCGAGCGCCCCCATTGTTCCTGGTGTGCTGATCCGTGGACCTGCCGACATGGGTGATCCAAACGCCAGCTTGGCCGCCTATAACGGCTTTGTTGCTGAAGGTGGTACCTTTGAGCAGGCCGGCAACCATGCGCGTGCGATTGACTGTTACACCAAGGTACGTGGCTTTGGCGCAGCCGACTGTGCCACGCCTAGTCATGATCGTGTGCGCATGTCTGGTGATGATCGCCTCCCGGTGCGGGGCCGCCTCACCCTTCTTGCCGGTATTGCTGCGCACTAGGCGCTGGAAGCCATCTCCGTGAACGGTGTGCTGCAAGACCCAATTGGCATCAATTGCCTGTGCTCGCGCAGCCGTTGCTATCTTCAGCTGGGAGAGCTTGACGCTGCCCTGACCGATGCTGAAGATTCGCTCAAGGAAAACCCAGAGTTCAATAAGGTAATGCCGTCGAACAGGCTTTTTCCCCCAGCAAGCCTTGGCATGCTGGCCTTGAATAGCGTTTCATGAACACGTCTTCTCTCAACATGTCTGGATTGTGCGGCTTTGCGCAGGGCTTGTTCGCCAAGGCCGAAGCCTTGTACAGCAAGGGTGAATTCGAGTTTGCCCTGCTCAACTTTCACAAGGGCCAGCATCTGCGCCCAGACATGGCTCAGTTTCGCTTGGGCGTGCAAAAGGCACGCGAGGCTATTGAGACAGCCATTGGTGACACGCGCCGCTGCCAACTCTCGAGCGAGGGCGACCTCACGCTCTACCACGACTTTGTGGCTGAGCAGGAGGCTGCACGGATAGCACGCAACAAGCGTGGTGGCAAGAAGGTTGCCACGATGGCCGCCCCCTCGCGGCGACGCCCCGACGCGCACCGGGCACGCAGCGGCAAGAAACCCACCAGCAACGTTAAGCAGCTTCTTGGTGAATTGTACACAGATCGCGAATATCTGGAGAACCTTTTGGCAGATCCCAGTCTGAAGCTGGGAGAGGGTACCTCTGTCAAGTCTTTGGCTAAAAACGGTATCCAGTACCTCGACAAGCGAACTGAGTTTTGGCGCCAGCAAAAGCCCATGTATGTGCGCAAGAGCGAGCAGCGCGAACTCCGTTCCACCAAGTCCAAGTGAGTAGCCATGCTTCGGCTTGACCAGGGTACTCTCACCTCAGCGACCATTGTGCGCTCGAATTCACGTCACCGAGTGCCCCCGTGTTTCCCAGGTCTAAGAGCACAACACAACGCATGGCCACTGCACCTTCCGTAGATCGCGTAGCTCGCCTGATCGAGCAGGCTGAAAATCGTTCGTGCCCACACCGAACCTTGACACCACCCAACAAACATCACTGCTTCCCCCGCTCACCTGAACTTGGGTTGCCCTACCTTGTCCTCTTGATACAGTCAATGATAAGGGCAACTTCGATACAGGCTTGGAAAAGGCCGAACAAGCCAAGGCCGGTGTGGCTGGCGTAATCTCGGCCGACAAGGATCTCTTCGTGGCACGTGTGCACAATGCCTTGGGCACGGCCCTTTTTGCCACAAGCAAAATTGATCAGGCCCATGATGAGTTTTCACAGGTTTGTGCCAGTGCGAATGCGTGTGCGTGTCTTGGCCTCGCTTTGAGGCAAGGCGTGGCGGGCTTTCATGGCCTCTCATGGTCACATCTCACAACTTTGCCCTTCCAAAATTCAGGCAGTGGACGTGGCGCGCAACTTGAAGGACCCTGAATTGCTGGCACGATCCTTGTCCAACCTGGCCAAGAGTCATGCGGCCAAGGGCAATTTCGATGCCGCTGTGACCTGTTGGTCCGAGGCGCAGCCAAACATTACGGACCGCGTGGAGCAGTCTTGGCTGCAACACGAAATGGGCCGTGCGCATCTGGAAATGGGCAAGGCCGACGAGGCTCTAGAGTGCGGCCTGGCCGCGGAGCGGGCCGCAAATGAGACAGGCGATCAAGACTGGCAACTGCACTCTTGGATCCTCTGTGCACAGGCCAATGTTGCGCTGGGCGGTCATCAGTCGGCACTCTCTTATTACGAACAGGCCGCCCAACTGGCGCAACGGCTGCACAAAAGTTCTCTGCATGATGCCATCCGTCAGGAAATGGTGCTGATCGAAGCGCAAGCGTCAGCAGCTTCTGTGCTTGACGGTAGGTCCTGGTAATGATTAATGATTGCTAAGAGACGTAGGCAGAGCAGCTACGAGTTGCACATGACGTGCGAGTTGCACATGACGTGCGGGTTGCACGTCCACCGAGCTCACCGTGTCGCCATCTCTTTCTAGAAGACGAGGACGAAGAGACAGAAGCTGAGAACACCGGTACCGACAATGCTCAAGCTGAGGACCACGCGGATGCAAATGAAGAGTCGACAGCAGAAGATGCGGCTGTGGAGGACCCTGATGCCAATGATGAGGGCGAAGACAATGCGAGCTCTGCCTAAGTGGATCAAATGTCCTTGCAATTTTCGTTGCGCCGAGCCATCACACCTGTGTCTTCCTATGCAAGGACGCATCATGTATTATCTGTCTCATGTTTTCATCACTTGTTCGGTGGGTGCAGCGCATGCTGTCCTATTTTATCCCATCTGCCAGCCTCGGCAGGCAGCTGTGGATGCGCCTTTTGTATGCTGACGAGTAACCTTCACAAAATTGACTGAAACTTGCCAAAGGGCAACAAATCGGCATGGAAGAAGGGTGATGGTGTTGGGGTTTGGGTTTGGGTAGCCAGAAGAGACAGGCCGGCCTCTAGGGCAGGATGAATCGCTAATCGACATGCAGTTGAACAGCTCACAGGTCAAGTTTCAAATTTTCCATAGTTTCCAAATGCCAGCATTTTCACTCGCGCGCCGTGTCCTAACCGCAGACTTTCTGAGGAAATGCAGAAGCCCGTTGCACCAAAGAGCAATGACGAGGGGCGAGATATGTAATCGTGATCTTGTGGTAATGTTGTAGTGGTGGTGCGTTGAGTGCAGATGGTTCTTCAAAGAGGCAAGGAGATGTAGGTGCACGAGACGGGATGGAGAAAGAACCAGACCCCAGACCGCCCATCGCACCATTCCATTCAGCCCGGGCCGTAATTACTGCAAAGAAGGCTTTGATCGATCGGTATCGTACGTCTCAAACGCACCGTCCAAACCCTGACAAGCATCCAGCGTGAGCATGCTGGAGCACGATGTGCGAGCGAAAGTGATGCGCAAGAAAAGCCATGGGCGTGTACCGGGATGGACACCGTGAATTTGTCAAAATACTCACCAGTTTTTCAAAAACGCAGGTATCCAGAGCCGACTGCGTCTCGCGGCACTTGGTAAAGTCCTGGTTCTTCTGGTCCAAGCATTGCCACTGGGCATCCAGCTCTGCGCCGCAGTGCTCGCGCATCTGACGAAAGCTGCAAAAAGACCCAATGTTCCATTCCCAGGACCACACCTTCATAAGTTGAGCCCGATGCACAAGCATCTGCATGGAATCTGACCCGAACTTCCCGAGTCCCAGCAGCTCCAGATATCAGCTGCAAAAAAAAAAAAACGTTGCGTTGGAACGACCTCAGACCAGCCGGGCTGGTTCAAGGAAGACTTACAAGTTGATAGCACAAGTTGTGACGGCAGTACCCTGATCCAGACAGGCACTAGGATCGCCGTTGTTATCGGCCTTGCACCTGCGTGTATGGAGGACACCAGCGCCGACCATGCATGAGGCGCGAAGCAAAGAGCTTTACATGCAAAGAGCACTGCTTGACCAAAAGCGTGCGTGTCGGCTGGAGCCAAGGAGCGCTCTCCAAAGTGGCAAGAGAAGAGGAAAACGCACTTAACAAACGCTTCGTTCTGGGCCTTGCAGGCTTGACCGAGGTGACGCGCAGCGGCCAGTAGCACGGCCGACGTGACGGGCAGCTCGGGGCTGCTCATAGCCTTCTTGTATGCTTCACTGTCCATCCTGCCGGTCGTGTCCGTGCCCAAGCTTACTCGACCGTCGTAACCTGTGAGAAGATGCAGATTTTGCAGCCCTGTGAGACCGTGGTGGATGGGAGGCCATTGTTTCGAACCGAGGCACTTGATGCTTTGAACGCCGAGGCCCTGACCCCTCACTCCCTTCTCATCAAGGTAGACAACAGTCAAGCTGGCCTTGGAGAGCAGCTGCACAGGGCAGTACGAGTGTATCCCCCTCCACAACGCCTCTGCAACACCCGCACAGCTAATCCCTAAAGATGCTATACTATTCCAAGAGACGCAGCCCGGGGTTCCGCTCGACTCAAGACCCAGGAGGCAGGCGCGAGGCGGCAGCCAGCATCCAGCCTTCAGGTACCTGATGGTGTTGAATGAATGAAGCAAGAAGAGACGACGACCAACAAGTTTTTTGTGAATCAACCCTCTCCTCTTTTTTACCAGCATTCTAATTCAAGTTTTTGGTTTTTGCTTGAGGTTCAAGAGGTCTCGCTGGTGAGGTCATAAGTGTATCAAAAACCACACTTCCTTTCCCCTCTCTCTCTCTCTCTCTCTCTCTCTCTCTCTCTCTCTCTCTCTCTCTCTCTCTCTCTCTCTCTCTCTCTCTCTCTCTCTCTCTCTCTCTCTCTCTCTTCGACCACGAGCACAGGATGGCCATGTTCCTGAACCGCGTGCAGCGCCACTTGGTCGCCCCGCGGCAGCCTCTGGCGGTGCTTTACCGCCGTGCGTTGAGCCGTGCCACTCCGCTTTGGGCAAACAAGGATGATGAGGATGTCCTGGCTGCACTGCAAGGTATTGCCCTGGAACCCCAGACTGAGACAACCAGCGCCCAACCTCGCGCTTCGACCGAGCCGAGCCCTCAAAGTGCAGCGGAGGTCACGGAGGGGGCCGCTTCCGAGGCAGGCAACCTCTCCACGATGCTGAAGGACAACGATAAGAAGGGAGAAACTCCCAATTCAATTCCGTCCTGGGCCCGCCTGGCCACGTTGTCCGGTGCGTCTTTCCACCCTTCACCGCTTGTGCTACACCCATGTCTGCCACGGCCGCAGTTCGGTCGCACTCATTATGCACCGCTGCCCCAACTGTAATAGGTGCGGCCGCCCCTCGTACGCAGGATCTGCGCGCTGTGCTGCACAAGGCTGCTGATCAATGGTGAGCTACGACCACCCGGGCCACTTCACGCTCACCCTCCTTGAGCTCAAAGATGTGGGCTCGTGTCTGCGCTGTTCGTCCTCACTGTGCTACCGCCCCGTTCATCCCCCTCTTACACAGGAATGCGCGCCGCGCGCTCCCCAAGGCTGACTTGAGCCGTTTCCCGGGTGGCATGGACAATGACGATGCTGTCTATGCTCTGGTACGTTGCCTCTCCCTGGCTGTGTGCGAGTGATGCTTTGAGATCCTTGCCAGCTCATTCTACGCTAAATGGGGCCTGTGGCGAATCGATAGGGACTCGTCGATGCCTCGCTGTCGGTCGAGGAGCAAATCAAGGCTCACACGGACTTTAGTTCACAGTTGGAAGAGCTCAAATCTGAGCCCGCCTACGCCCGTTACTTTGGTCATCTTTCTGCAACGGCCCTCGGTCGCAACCCTCATATGAGTGCTGAGCGCAAGCGGGAAATTCTGCAAAACATCTTCACGGAGCTCAAGGGGGCCATTGCCGCTCGCAAGGCCACTGCATAATGCAGTTCACACCCACCTAGCAGTCGTCATCTGGCCCAGTCTCCTTGCAACCTTCCGTCTCACAATAGCCGCTCCTCTTTATTCTTTCATGCTGACGCTGTGTGTGCCCTGTGCGCAAAACACAGCATTCGTCCCTTGACCAAACTTCTTTCACCTCACTCCGATGCAATGACCTTGTCTTCATCCATAAATGAATTTTCCCCGACCCCTTCCTGTATCCCTTGTTTTCCCTTGCTCCCTCGCCCCCTTTTTTCTCCCCTTTCCACCACTCTGCCTTCGTTTTTTAAAAGAACAATTGTATCCCACTGAATCCTGCTTCGTCCACTCGTGTGCCGCGGACTGCAAGCCCAGCCCCACGCAAAGAACGAGGCAGCCATGCAAGGATGACAAACAACTTTCTATTGTTTATTGGACAGGTGGCCCGGCGGGATTAAGACGTCTCCCACACGAAAGCAGATAAAGGCACTCCAAATTTTCCACGAAAACGACAGAGAACAATGCACCAAAGGAGGGGACACAAAGCACCACCTTGAGCTAGAGTAGTAGACGTACAACGTCACAAAAGAAGAAACACACAATGCGCCAAGGGCTGGCAGGAACAGATATGGAAGGAGAGAAAAAAAAAGGAAAAAGCAAGCAATCGCCATACACATGTACCAGGCAACACAAGTCCCAGCTCACCAGGAGAAGCCTTGGGCACGCACACATTCAGTTAAAAAAAAACAGCTCCCCTGACACAAAATCAGGTGAGTGGGGTATACCTGACACAAAGGAGGTATAACTACGCCTTCTGCTCCTCCACAAAAGCTTGCAGGGTGCGCAGAATGGCCTTGCTCTCCGCCACTACGCCGTCCACGCCACCCTCCAAGGTTTCAAGCTGCTCGTGAATCTCATTGGCAAAGGGAGTGAACATCTGGATCAGCCGGCGCACCGAGTTGGCAAAGGCTTTGCGCTCCTGGGCCTGTGCCACCTGAAGCTGCTGCTGCTTGGCCTCAAGATCGGCCTTACGCGCCAGCATATCCTGTAGGTCGCCGGCCAGCTGCATACGGCGTTTCTGGTTCTCGCTTTGCATGATGGTCACGTGACTTTGCTGCTTCTTGTACTCGCGGCTGATGACCTCTTGCAGCTCGCCACACTGCTGTTCCAGTGCTTCCAGCTGCGTTTGCATCACGCTTAAGTCATCGCGCTTGGTGACAACAGCCTCCTCCAGCTGTTGGCAGCGGTCCTTGAGCTCCAGCTTGTGCAAATCACTGTCCTTGGTCTGACTTGTCAGCTTGTGCAACTGACCCTGCAACACAGGCAACACTTGTCGTTGCAACAGACCTACGACATGAAGACGGTGAATTAAGCGCCACAGGATGTGAGATCTCGCCGGGTTGTTGCCTAGCACCAAAGGTGAACAAGGCATGCACATCATCAATCCAACAGGTGGGAAACTGACGGTTGAGCTGTTCATGGGGTTGGTCCACGCTGCCGTTCACGGAGACGACCGCCTCCATGCCAAACTGTTGCAGCAAAACATTGGCTTCTGCTGTTTGCTCCTGCAAGCCATCGACGGTCTTGGAGATGTCAATCTCGACTTTGCACAGGTCTTGCTCGAGCTGATCCTTGCGCTGCTCTGCCAAATCCAGGTCACGCTCCAGCTGACGCTGTTTGGCGTTGATGCGCTCCACGTCTGCAGTCGTCATCTCTTGCTGATCTCGCATCACCTGAAGTATATTTAGCACAAACGTGATGAGAATGAAACAACAGAGCCAAAAAAAAAAAAAAAAAAAAAAAAAAAGAGTAACAACAAACAAAAAACGCCAGACCAACACCAGCCTGATTGGCTCGATGCCGTTGGGCTGAGCCCGGCACGAAACTCATGGGGCCAAGCAAGCTGAGCCTTTCCCAACCTTGAGCTTGGCAATCTCGGCGTTCAGCGCCTCGAGCTCTTGCTCCTTTTCCGTGATGGCCTGCATGGTCTGAGCAGTCTTGAGCTGATAGCGCTCTTGGTGCTGCTTGAGCGTCTTGATGAGCTCCAAGAAGCGCGTACGGTCCTCCTGCAATGCCGAGCGCTTTGTCTCAATGGCCGACAGGGCCGGGCACTCTGCCTCGAGCTTCTGTAGCTCCTCAATGCAACCCTGGTGTTTCTCCTCCAGGTGTGCGTGGGTATTGACGAGCTCCTCCATGCGACCCGCAAACAGCAGTTCACACGAGGGCTTGTCGATGTGTCCGGACATGAAATCGGCATATGACTACACGGATGAGCCGCCGGGGCAGCCGGCCAGAGATTTGAAGTCACCAACATGAGGACTGGTATGCGTACTATTACCATACCCTTGATTGAGCTGCAAGAAACACCACGCGCAACGCACCTGGATGCCGTGATCGAAGATGTCGGCTGAGAAGAAGAGATCTGAGTCCTGGGGGTCGAAGATGTTCTCGCTAATGCGGGTTAGCGTGATGATTTCGTCCTCCATATCAAGAAACTGCACAAGCATGGCGCAACGAACAGACGAAAATGGAATCAAAATGATGCTCGATGGCAACAAAACACACGAGTGCATGCCGACTGAACGCGGGGGGAAGCCGGCACGCTGTACGTTGACAGGTCGAGGTTCAGCCCCAACGCTCTGGCAAGATTGACATACCCGAGTAGCATCGACGAGCCACGTCAGCGCGCCCAGCAGCTTGGGCCAGTTGTGCGAGGAGCCCGACGCAAAGATGGTTGACTTTTTGATCGGGAAGGGGTAACCCAAATACTTCATTATCTCGGGGATCTCGTCTTCAGGCTTGTACTTGTCCCAGGGAAACATGGGGTCAAGCAGGCCATAGATGTGCTGAAACATTTTCACAAAGATCTTGTTGGAGGGAGCGGCCAGCATCTTGGCCGAGATCATGTCAGGATAGCCGGTCTCGCTGAGAAACACCACCAGGTCTCGGATGGCCTTCTTCAGGTATTGCTTGTCGGACCATTCTCGAGGGTCGCTGGTGCCTGTGGCGGAACCGTGGATGCTGGAGCGACGACCGCCGATGCTGCGACGACTGCTCATGGACGACGCGAGAGATCCGCGGCTAATAGACTGGCGCGACGCATCCCACGCCGCTGACGAGGTTGGACGCGAGCTCAATCCCATGGACCGACGACTCACTCCCATGGATTGTCGGCTCACACCAACGCTCTGACGGTCCTTCTTAACCACTCGCCGAGCATCGCCAAACGACTGACGGCCGTGCAAGTTCTCCAAACCTCCGAGTGAGGCGCGAGACGTCATGGTGACGGTGGCAGCCAGCGCACAACAGCCGCCCAACTCGTCACGATCGCTCCAAAACTCAAGCTTGGTGCAGCTGTGCGACAACGAAATAAAAAAAATGCTGGGCTGACGACACCTTTCGCCCTTTGCGAATAAGAATTTCAAATTTTGGCGCCAATGAAATTCGTGACACCATTCAGGGGGTCAACCTATAGCTAAATTTTTTCGCGGCAATTTTCAAACGACAATCATCCATCGTCTCAAGTGTGGTCTCTCTATCTCTCTCTCTCTCTCTTCCTCTCTCTTCCTCATTTTCTTTTCATCTTTCTTTTCTATACTGTTCTCTCTCTTTTTCTCTCTCGTGACAAAATTTTCAGGAGACGGTTTTTTTTGGGGGGTGGGGAGTGTGCGTGTGTGTTTTTAGGGGGGATCGGGTGCCTGAAGACTTGGTTCCGGCTCCTGTCTGCCTTCCCTGCAACAGCAGTGGCTATCGCTGACAACGAGGGGTAGGCACCAGTGCTTCCATCCCCTGTAGCGCAGTCACATCTCTCCCACAGACTGACCTGACGCCTGTTGGTTCAATGTCCACGGCCTCGATGTTTAGAGTGTCAGGCGAAAGCACATTGTGATATACATCATGGCCCCGCGACGCTCGACGGGAGGCGAACGGTGAGCCTTCGCGGTTGAGCTTCTTCCTGTCGCAAACCCGCCTAGTCATTGGCTGGCACGCTGACAAGCGCGGCTAGTCAGGCAGAAATCAGTCTTTCTCACGCATTCGCCGCCTCTGCTTGCGACCACCTCGGCTAGGGAGAACATCCTGGTCGCCGCTCGTGTTCGCCCAAACATCCATTCAGGCGTCAACGATGACGATGAACAGGAGTGTGTCACAGTCAATGGCAACCGCATCATTGTCAATGACCGCAACTTTGACTATGACCAAGTTTTAGACAACTCTAGCAGCCAGGTACGTGGACCTCAGTCCCAACGACTTGAATCGCCTTCCTGTATGCGCTCACCTTGGTATATGCCATGCTCTCTACCTGAGTTCAGGCTGATGTTTTTGAGCGAATCGGGAAGCATGTCGTGATGGGCTGTCTCGATGGCTTCAACGGCACCATCTTTGCCTAGTATGAATCGCTCCCACCCCTGGCGCCTCAGCCACGACCCCCATGAAGCCATGCCAATTCACAAATTGTGCTTGCTCGGCCCCCACCTACAGTGGCCAAACGGGTAGCGGCAAGACTTTTACCATGCTGGGTAAGGCAAGAGTGGTACTGTACGCCATCTGCATCTCTTCTCTCCGGCAACCCTGAGTGGCTCACGCGCATCAAATTCACAAACTAGGTGCGCAAAGCACTCTCGGCAGCCTTGTGGAGAACATGCAGGGCGTCATTCCCCGGGCGTGTGACTACATTTTTGATCACTTGGTACGTGGAAAGAGCGTGAAAGAACCTCACGAGGGGTTTTCCCATTCAATCACAAATGCCACTTGCTTTGCTCTCACGCTTGGGCATACCCCCGCCGCGCTTCAGAATGAAAGCGGATCAAGCTTCAAGATCAAATGCTCCATGGCCGAAATTTACAACGAGGCCGTCTATGATCTACTCGATCCAGCGGCCAAGGCTAAACCTGTGCGCGAGGACAACGCCCGAGACATCGTGTTTGTTGAAGGACAAGAAGAGAAAATCATCGGCTCACCTCAAGAGGCCTTGGCCGTAAGTTGGTCAACGATAGTTCCAGAAGGCGCCCGTGTCAACATGCTGCTGGCGCCATTGAATGCACCCTCTGTGCTGGCACTCACTGCGCGAGAGTGCGCTCTGACGCTTCAATCCAAGTTGGTCGCCTTGTTTCCCTGACGTCCCGGTCTGCCCTCCTCGATGCTGTTATCCATAGGTTCTGGAGGAAGGCAATCGCAACCGCCGCGTGGCTGAGACATCCATGAATCGTGAAAGCAGTCGCTCTCACGCTATTTTCACCCTGAACATCGAAGTTGTGGTAAGTTGTTAATTCTGCTCGGCCCAAGAACACGTTGGTGGAACACTCACGCATACATACTCACATACCTGACCCACCTTGTGATTGCTTATCAACAGCAAGAGCACGAGGGTGGCATCAAGACAGTGCGAAAGTCCCGGCTAAATCTTGTTGACTTGGCCGGCTCGGAGCGCCAACGTGACACCCAAGCTGCAGGCGAGCGTCTCAAGGAAGCCAGTCAGATCAACAAGTCACTCTCAACTTTGGGCAATGTCATCAACAGCTTGACTCGCACATCAAGCAGTGGGCGCCATGTTCCTTATCGTGATTCAAAGCTTACCTTCTTGTTGCGCGATTCGCTGGGTGGCAATACCCGAACAGCCCTCATCGCCACAATCAACCCCTCCAGCAAGTGAGTATGCACATCCAAATTCACGCCCTTGGGGCGTGCTGATGACCTGCCTGCCATGCCCTTCAAAGCATGTGCTATGCACCAGTTTATCAGGCACATGTCAACTCATCAACCTGATCTGTCCTCCCCGATGGCCAGATCATTTGGCGAGACCCTGTCCACACTTCAGTTCGCGCAACGCGCCAAGCTCATTCAAAATCGCACCAAGAAGAATGAGGGCTTCACTGGCAGCGTAGCCGAGCTGCAAGCTGAGATTAAGCGGCTCAAAACTGCCCTCGAAAAATTTGAACGTACGGTCATTACTACAAGCCGCTTTAACCCCCCATCACCTCCAAGACCTGTCTTTTGATACCTTTCCCTCCCGCTTTTCATGCACACACAAAGTCATCTTTGATATCCATCATACTTGGAACCGAAGCCATGACTCACAGTGCTTGACGTGTTTTTTTTTTTCGGCTCCTCGCCACCTTGTGCTGGCCCGCGATCGCTAGAAGGTGATGGGATTGCTGTGATGTTGCCAGCGGGCGCCAACGAGCCTCTTGCTGTTGTGGCCGCCAATGCACTGGAAAACCATCAAGAAGCTGAGCGTGAGAAGGTGACTCTCACACGCCGCCTCGAGTCAGAGGCCAAGCAGCGAGAAGTGTTGGAGAAGAAGGTTCGCGGCCTCACTATGCAGCTTAAGATGGCCGCTGCTGCCAAGCAACATGCCCGGGGCGGTGATGCCGAAGCCCTGGCCTCTGACGTCAGCAAACTCTCGGAGCTGATTGCTACCTCCGTGCAGAACAACTCGTGGTGGCACGAGACCCAAGTCATTCAAAAGCTCACTCATTATCAAGAGCTTTTGGGTGAGCTAGAGCGCTTGCAGGCCACTTACCCTATCAAAGAGGATCACGCGCAGGTCGTTAAGCTCAAAACGCAGGTGGCGCAACTCGAACACGTTCTCAAAGACATGTTGGTTCGCGAAAATCGTGGTGGGGTTCCACGCACCCCCACACGCAACCCCGCTGATTCACCGGCTCGTGGCGCTGGTCAATCCCCACGAGCGCGAGGCACCATGGCCGCTGATATTGAGCTTTCCAAGGTGCGCGGTGAACTCGAGCAGCGCATCAAGAAGCTTGAAGAAGCGCTGGAGGAGCAAAAGCGTCTCAGCTTGACGGTATGTAATGCAAATCACAGTAACACCATTTTGTGTGCTGGCACGCTTGGGTTGATGGTGCAACACTCATGCTAGCATCAATGATGTCTCCTCTTGCAGCGTGAAGACGAGTTTGCCACGGCTAAGGCTGAATTGCTAGCCCAACGTGACACGGCTCGCCGTGATCGCGACGAAATGGCTGACAATATGGAGGTGCTCCAAGAACAGCTTAGCCTCTTGACGAATCGTATTCAAGACGTCCAACTTGATGGCCTCAACGCAGGGCTCAGTGCCACTTCGGTGCGCCTATGCTCCTGCTTGTGCAATGATGTATCCATGATCATGCTCGTTTGAGTGCTCGAAAACACACTTTCTCAACCCCCGCCGGCCACTCGCACAGGGAGAGAGCTCGGTGCAAGATTTTGCCCAAAAGCTCGGCGCCATGAACCAGGAGCTTCAATCGCTGCGCGAGGCCAACAGCGATCTCATGGCCAAGGTTTGTTGTTGGAGATTGAAACCGACCCCATCTGTTGATCCTGCGATGCAGCAGGCATCTGCTCACTCTGCCATACCGGGCTGGTGGGGCAAATTTCAGAACAAGACGCTCGGTTCGACAGTGCGTACCCACCGCGATGAATATGAAACCATCAAGGCCCGCTGCACCTCGCTCCAGGTATGACAGGAGGATGCTCGCGAGATGGGCGTGCCACCTGCAACCGCGCTAATCCATCGTCTCTGCCAAAACTTTCAAAGGCCCTATTGGACGAGAAAGACCGGCAGCTGACCGACGCCTTGGCGGCCCATCAAGTTGCGTAAGTAGCTTGTTCCCTTGAACCTGTTCCAACACGCGCACCCTGTCCAGCATGTTCACCGCACACACTGCTTTCCTTCTTTTTTCGGATCTTAGTTTGCAAGCCAAAGTAGAGGAAGTAGACACCCTGACAACGCGAGTCGAGACAGCGGAACGTGACTTGGAGACCGCTCAGGCTCGTGAATCGCTTCTTCAAGACGTAAGTTGTTTTATACTCCTGTATATTTTAAATTTTTCAAAAATAAATTTCGGAGGGGCAATGAGTGGTGCACCGGTTGCCCCGAACCCCGAGCAACACGTCTGTTTCACTGCGGTGGGTCCATTGCACCCGATTTCTTTAGACGCATGAGGAGCAACTCAAGGGTTTGCGCGCCAGTGCCATGAAAATGGAGCATACTTTGAGCAGTGCCAATTCTCGCATCGAGGCGCTTGAAACGGATTTGGAATCCAAGGAGGAGCGAGTGCTTGAGCTCACGGTGTGTGCCCCTCATCGCTGGCGAAGGACGTTTGTCTGCTACATTGAAACTTGTTTACGCTGTCATAATCTTTGCTTGTACTCACGAGTGGGATTATTGCTCAACGTGGCCTCATTAAACTGAACACCTTGGCATTGTCTGTACAGGATGAGAACACGGTGTTGGATGAGGAGAAGAAGTTTTTGCAGAACCGCTACGACAACTTGCAAGCGGTAGGTTTGATGCAGGACGACACTTACCATGAGCTCTATGATTGCAACAAAACGATTGCATGTTGCTTGTTCTTACGCGCAACCCGATGCTGACGCGCTTGCCCGGCTGCAACGTATATAGTCGCTGAGTTCCACAGCGAACGAGCTACGACAAGCGCGTGAGGCCGTCAGTACATTGGAGGAACGACTTGCGGAAGAGATCAAAAATGCAAACAAGCTTCGAGAGCAAGCTGCTCAAGATGAAGGCGCTGCTGCCGAGCTGCAGCGCCTCGCCACCCTCGAAGAGGAACTGCAACAGGAACTGCGTGAGCAACGCAAGGAGAGCGAGCGTCTTGCTGATCGCCTTGCAGCAGCTCAAGATGAGCTTCAACAAGCCCATGCTACATATCAAGCAAAAAGCCAGGATAACGCTGCTCTCGTTGCGGACCTGACCTCCAAGTATCAGGACGTGCAAGCCAAGCTTCAGGTACGGGAACGAAGGCGCGTTTGCTTTGAACCAGCGTTATTTTGAGAAAACAAAATGGTGTCTCAAAGCAAAGTGTGACCATGCGCGTTTCTGATCGTCGCGTTCATGGCTTGCACCACACAGGTGAAGAATGAAAGCTATACAGAGCTCCAAGCTACTCTGGAAACCACCCAAGCGGCTTTGCATGAGCATGAGCAGAAGCTGGACGCCAAGGATGCGCAGTTGTCGCACTTGCAGGTTGGCGCAGACCCTTGCAGATGAGCCAATGTTCTTTCTTTTCTCGAGCATTCTGTGATGCTCTCACTTGATACTCCAACCGTTTTGAACACGGCCACCTGCTCCTAGTCTGAGCTCTCGCGCTTGCAAGTAACTATGGATGCCGATTCTTCGAGCCATGAAGCCAAGCAAGAGGCTTTGTTGGACGAACTGACAACCGCTACTGCACAGGTCAAAGAATTTGAGTCGCAACGTGATACGTTGCAAGCAAACGTTACGGTATGTTTGCTTGGCTTGTGGGTTCCGTCGCTTGGTCGCCCACGGCGCAAGGTGCCGTTGTGGCGCTTGGCATCAAGTGGAGGATTCATGGGTCGCGATTTTTGTTGCCAGGCTGTGCGTGAAGAATTAACCAACGTCAAGCAGCAGCTAGCTGATGCCCTGGCTGCTAAAGACGCTCTTCAATGCAAATTGGAGGTGACACAACAAGACTTTGAGAAAACGCAAGAGGTGCGTTTGGCTAAATTTGCAGCTGCCTTGAAACCTGTCCACCAATGCCCGCGTAGTTGTGGGCGTTTGGTGACGTACATTCGGTGTAGTGCTCATGCAAGTGGGAGTTGGCTTTAATAGGAGGTCGGTGCTCTGCGAGAACAGCTGAAGGCGGCCGATGGCACGAGTGACGCGGTGCAGTCGTTGCGAGAGGAGCTGAACGCCAAGAGCGAGAAGCTGCGCGAACTTGCACAGCAGAACGTACGCCATGGCCGATGCTTTTGCTATTGCCTTGTCCGCCACTCTGCACTGCTCGTCTCACACTTGCCTGCTACTGATGGAATGCTTTGCTACAGGACAAGGTCGTGCAGCATCTGACGCGAAGTGATGAAATCCGTGTGAGCTTGTACAAGGAGGTGGCACCATTGAAGAAGGAGGTGTCTGATCTCAAGGACCAGCTGGCCCAGGCTCGCGAGGAGGCGACACAGCAGCAAAAGGAGTTGTTGGCCGCGAATGACGATCGCCAGGCTTTGACGAGCGAGGTTGAGCGTTTGCAGCGTCAACTCACAGAGGCGCGTGCTGCTGGTGACTCCAAGGCCTCGGAGATTGAACAGCTAAACGAACAGATCAAGGTCAGTCTTCGATTGTGGGTGTCTGGGCGTGCGGCGAAGCAGGTGGCAAGGGACGTGGCGCTTGAGAGTGTTCAGGGCACCATTGTTCGAGGTGTTGTCAGGCTGACTTGTTGTGGTTCTGCCATACCCCCACGAGCAGAACTTTCGCAAAGTGGCAGATCACGCCACGCTCATCTCCGAGGCAATCGAGGATCACATGAAGACGAGTGCCGGACTCAAGGCAGAAAAGGAGGAGTATCGTCGACGCTACACAGAAACCAAAAAGAAGCTGTCCACGGCTCGCTCCGACATTCGACTGTTGGAGAAGGACAAGAAGGATCTGGACCGTCAGGTTCAGGATGCTCGTCGCGAGCGAGACGAGCTTTTGGGCCACTCCAACCCCAAGCAAAAGATTCAGTACACCGCACAAATGAAGGAGCAATACAACCAACTCCAACGAGACTTTGCCAAGTTGCAAGCTGACTATGCCCGCCTGCAGAAGGTTTGTACAGCGTGATACGTGTAGATAGACGTGTCGGGGAAGATGAGTTGGAGGTTGGCTCGAGCTGTGAAATTTTTGGTATTTTTGGGGTATTTTGCTCGACTTTTAGTTTTTTTTCTTTTTCCTAACTCTTTCTCTCTCGTTCCTTTCTTTCGTTTGCCCTTTGCTCCAGGAATCGAAGTGTGGTGCTGCTGGTACGGAGAAGGAGAACGGCATTGCCAACTAGACCGACGTTTGTGTGGTGATGCTGTCACGTGTTATGATTTGTGTCCTTTCGCCGGTTGATGACCTCGTCAATTTCAAGTGTCAAGGAAGTCAGGAAAAGAAGAAAAAGCTGAGATGAAGATGTTCGTCTGCTCAATCGCACGATATTTAGTAATGTTTCGAGAAATCCAATTCATATTGATCTACCTGATGATGATCCTCAAAGACCGATTGACCGACAGCAGGTCACACCGTCGTCGAGGTTGAGTGAGAGCCCGTGGCATCCCTTCCTTCTGTTTTCGAACAGGGGGCGCTCAATATTTAAAATTAAAAGTAGGAAGGTTCTTGTCAGCCACGAGCAACTGCACTATTCGAGCTTCAATTAACATTCGGATGCATGCAATTACTGCAAGTACGTCTACTCTTTCGGAATCTGACCTTCCAATCGCGCACCAAAGACAACGCGCAATGCCCGGCACAGAACATGCAATTTCGAGTCACACACTTCAATTCAATGGTTGTTATGGTTGTGAGTAGAATCACATCATTCGGCAGACACTGGTAGAGGTACGTCGCTCCGCATCAGCTGCACCGGTGCGTCCGGACGTCGGTGCACGTGCACCCGCCTGTGCGGACAGCCGGTTGTAGCCGAGCTCACTATCTTGTGAAGGAACACCGAGTAGATGACTCTCGGTTTGCAGCTGTTGCTGGTACTGAGCGAGAAGAAATTGGTTGATGCTACTGGTATCTTCACGAGCATATCCAATCGGACCAAAGGCCGAGCGCTCGCCGGTGGAGGAGAAGGCCGGGCGCACTGTGCTGGCCAGGTGGCGTTGCACATCGCTGGCAGAGAGTTCTTGCTGCACCGGGAGATCGGCGAGCTGCACTCCCTTTTGCTCGCAAAAATCCCTGATGACAATTCGAAGTGCATGGTTGGGCAATAGAATGCGTGAGGGCAGCTCCTTTCCCGTCATGGGCGAGGTAGTATGCTCCTCAAACCAGCGGGCAATGCTCTCGCGCTCGTAGCTAAAGCCATCCGCTGTGAACAGCGATGGATCGGTCACCAAGTCAGATGAGATACAGCGGGGGCCAAGCGGCCATGCGGAGGTGTGGGCGCAGCAAGCATACCTGCAACAACAGGATCCACCATAATGTCATAGGTGATGGAGCACAGATATTCGTTTGGAATTTCTGTTTTGCGGCTCCGGAGGGACCTGGTGGTGGAGGACGCTTGATCGCGGAAGGAGATGATGGAGGAAGCTCGGGGTTGGCGCTGCCAGTTGCAAGATGTGAGCGTCAGTCAGGGTGTCAGTGGGCAACCAAAGACGGGCAAGTGTACAAAAGGTCAACACAAATGGTGCTGGGGACAAAAAGCAGAACTGCCGTACCGGCGTACGATAGCCCGAAGCATCCTTGAGGCGCTGCCGACTTAGGGCCTGCTCAAGGGCCACGATGCGATAGGCCAGAGCTTGAGGTGGCGCAGCGGTCAGCCACTCCTCGGTGCTGCGACTGTCCAAAAATGCAGTTGGTTGCCAAGCTTCGACTTCTTCGTTCTGAGGTAGTTGAAGTGTTGCCTCACGGGTAAGTGAGGGCCAGCTTCCCAGCTCAAGCTCGGCTTCTGATCCACCACCAATGACAGTGTTGGTCTCGTCATCCTCCTCATCGTTGACGTCTCCAAAATCCGAAGGCGGTACGGCATCACTGTTTGCGGAGCGCTCAGAGGGTAGAAACGGGCGAGATCGTCCTCGTTGAAGCTCGGGGAGCGGTTCGTCTGCACCGGCTTCTGCCGCCGTGACCGCCGGAGCCGACCGGGTGCGTCCATCGTCAAGCATCTCGTCTTGTTGTGCCGAGGATGCACCGGACTCAAAATCTGCCAAGTCGTCTTCCTGTGCACTCCAACTGGAGGCCCGGGGCTCAGCTGCCATTGCTTCGATGTTGTTCAGGTCCTCTAGACGCCTGCTGAACTTCAAGCGCCCGCGCGGTTGGGATATGGCTGTGGAGAGCGACACAGGATCGGGTGCGAGGTCAAGACCAACCGAAGACACTGTGCATATCTGTGCACATGCATGCACACACCCATCCACAGACACATATACAGACACAGACACACACTCACAATCATAAAAGCTCAGCGATGCAAAACGCCAAGGCCAGCCACCACCGAGGTTGGTGGGAGGCAAGGAGGGCACAATGCCCGACGCCTCAACCACGTATCGTCTTGTCGTGCATCACCAAGCAAGCGGTATTTTTCTGACAATTAAAATGGCGTTCCTTTTGACAACTGTTGCATCGATGGGCGAGTGGTCTTGAGATGGACTGGCAAGTGTTACAGAATTTGAAGCAAGAGGGGCAGGGGTGCGTTTGGACGGCAGGCTTGAGGAGGGTGATGATCACGTCAAGGAAGGAGAACAAATTGAAAAGATCGCTTTCAAAATCATCAATTGGTGTGCATCAGCCAGAAAGACAGCTGGAAGCGGCGGAATTGGTCGCAACCACAACCATTAAAAGTGTACGCGATGTCGCGCACCAAGCGTGGGGACGCCCACGGGTACGCGAACCACATGTGAGAGTTCATCATAGTCAAAATCAGCCTAGGAACCCGAACATTAAGGTGAGAGGGGCGCAAGAGCTTCGAATCAGGCTGGCATCGGGGCAAAGAGCGCACCGCAGAGCCGTCATGAGCTGTGACAGCGACAGGGCGATCGGCCAGGGTCAGAGCCCATTCGAATGACAAAGTCTGATGCTGGGAGACGGTAAGCTCCATGGTGAAGTCATCCTACATCATATCCCAACGGGGACAGCCACGAGGATAACAACGACACATCATATCACGAGTTCGCACCAAGGCCCATCCAGCCCAAACCACAGGGGGAGAATGAAACAACAGGAAGAGGCTACGGTGAGCCATTCTCAGCCGAGAAGTCGCGGCGCGTGAGCAAGGTTGACCACCCACCTTCCAGGTGTAAGTCACTTCACAGCCATGTCCTTGATGCGGGGCGCTCTCTGAAGTGCGCAGGGCAAACATGTCGCTTCGTACGGAGGGATCCACGGCTACACTCAGCGTGATCCGACCTACAAGGTGCCACCAAGTGAAAACAATGAAGATCACTCGACAGAGAAGGGTTCACGCTTGAGCGTGGGGGCAGGGCGTCGATGAAAGCAAAAAAAAACGCACTGGTTTCGCGTGGGGCGTTGCGTGGCACAATGTAGCCGGCACGTTGGTACACGGGGAACTCAGCGAGGCTAAAGTTCTTCGTCACTTGCGCGCCCGCTGCGCATCCGAGCACCACAAAGCATGAGAACACCAGTCCCACAACAGCGTTAGAGGATAGGGCCCAGTGATGGCGCAGATGCGCTCCAGAGGCGAGCAGCAGCACCCGGATGCATTGGCGGCTATGGTCTACGTACGTGAATAACGGTCTGAGGCGTTGACGAAGCTCACCCAGCTGCTATCGTTAGGCAACGTGAACGTGACTCGGGTGCTTTGGCCTATTCTCATCGCCCATGAAAGAAGCAGTGTCGATTGAGCAGGGGCCACGAAGCACGTGCGACCTTTGAATGCATCGTAGACCGCGACCAAGCTTGCGCTCAACGATGGTCAAGGCAAACGGAGTGTGTTCATCAAATCAGCCCCAACAGCAGCAAGACGCACCATCGCCCGCCTCATTGATCGGGTTCACGAAGATGCGGTCGCCCAACAGGTAGGCATAGGTCGGCGGATTGAAGTCGTCGATGATCTAACGCCATATGCCCGGCAAAGCAGAAGGCGACTGAGAGGCCATAAACGGAGCAGGACGAAGAAGCTCGAGTCAATGACACCCATTGCCAAGGCACAGATGCTTTGATCTGCAGCTCGCCCACAACCGGTCGGCTGTCTCACCTTGTCGATGAGGCTGTCATACGGTGCCATCGGGTGCAGAACACTAGTTCCATTCTCAAGGGCCGCCGAGCCGATTGAGAGCAGATAAGACACCAACGAGTAGTGGGTGTCCACGTAGTTGCGATAAGTCTAATGCCACGAGGACGCGATGTGGATGAGCGGCTCAATCGGTAAATTTGCCAGGAGCAAGCCAGCGATGAGCCACGCAAAGTAGGACCGCGCCGCACGAAGTGAGACGTACGTCGGTGACAAAAGTTGAGCCGTTGGCATCAAACATCCAAGGGCGATGCTCGCCACCACCGCCATTCTAGCCCAAACAAAAGCAGACACAGAGATGGGATGGTGATGTCAACATGCACAAGTGCGTGCAGCAAACCCAGTCTGGCACGGCATTGGTTGTGACGTCAAGGGCCACGTACCTCCATGAGCGGGCTGAATGCACCCAGTTGAGCCCAGCGAAGAAAAAGTTCAGACTGGCGAGGCTTCTGGGGCGTGCGATATCCACCTGAATGGGGTCGGCATTTTCGGCGCCATAAGGACGAGTCTTCATGTACGATCTTGAGTAGGATACAGACGAGGGTTGGCTTGGTTCAACAAACCGATGTCACTGCCAAAGTTGGCATAGTCACGCCAGGCGGACTGCAGATAACGCTTGAGCGCCTGCGTCAGACCGTCAAACGTGTCATCCTGGTCGCCTACCCAGCCCGAGGCCATGACATATTTCGGAGAAAACTCGACGAAAAACGACCCATAGGCGTCGACGGGACGGGACATGACGAGGCGATCGTTGCCAAGCTTCCTGTGCTCAAACGTGCACCAATGGTCGTGTGGTGAGCATGATCATCATTGCAAGCTCTGAGATAACGGCCAAGACTTTCGTACTCGCGCGTGTAGTTGAAGAAATCGCCGTAGTACATATGCGAGTACTCGCTATGGGCCACAACCGAGAGCAGCGGTACAGTAAGAAGAGCGAGCCGAGGCCAGCGGTATCGCGGCACGGGCATGGGCACGTACTGCCAGGTAACAGGGCCTTGAGCGCCTTGTGGCTCAATCAACTCGACGATGTAGGGGTCCGTGCCATCGCACTTCCACCCATCAATGTTCATGTCGAGCATGTTGTCCATCTACGCAAAAAGGAGGGGTCAATCGGCCAGCTTAGCTGTAGAAGGTAGATATTACCATGGACGTGGGTGGATGAGTTGGTGCGCGAGCCATCGTCCACCCAAAGCCAACCTGGTCATGCCACCATGCCACAGCGTCGGGGTTCGTGTAGTCGACCAAACTACCTGTACCGTGCCACCACTTCATCTTGCCAGTCTCGTTCAGGATATTTCGGAGATAGTAGCCTGAGAGTAAGGTCAGTTGAGCAAACGTTGCGGTGCACAAGGCCAGGGATGAATTTAAGCGCGTCGCTTCCCAAATACCACGAGGAACCTCAGTCCAGGCGGGGTGGGAGGACAGTGAGAGCGGCGTACCATGCTTTTCGCCGTCGGCGTAATTGGGGGAGTCAGTATCGACCATGCTGGTGATCCAAAAGATGACACGCAGGTCCAATGCATGCAGTTGTTCGATCATGTCGGTCATGTTGGGAAATCTGAGTGTGAGCAAAGATGCAGGCGCAACGTGTAAGGAACCAGAGTCGGTTCGAGAGCGAGCGATGGCAGTGGCGGCGCGCCAGGCCAGGTGATTGCCACATACTTGTTTGTGTCAGGGATAAAGTTGTTAAAGCCCTGCTCCCAGGTCGAGTCAATGTCCATGGCCCCTGCACATTGTTCGGTCCCGCACATGCTTTGAGGAGGGGGTGCTTTTTTTCTTTTTTTCTTTCAGGCGCCACCCATGTTGAGCCGGGTGCCTGCCAAGCCTACCGATTGTGATATTGTGGGAGATGTAGTCGTGCGCCAGCTCCAAGCAGTCAGCCTGGCCATTGCCTCCATGATCCAGCCAGACCCAATGCTGATTGATGAGTTACATCGAGGGCGGTGAGATGACTTGAGCAGTAGCTAGTTAGCAGTATAACTTGCCCAACGTACATGGTGCGCCCAGTCGGCATAAGGGGCAGCGCGCAGGTGCCGTGCAGCTGGCACGATCGTGGATGCTACTTCCAAGTTATCGAGCGGTGCGCCAAGGCCCATGGCAGCAAATACTGCCATGGCCAAGCCTACCATGGCCATTTCGGACGTGTTGGCCATCCTGATCTCTATGGCCCCTCTCCGCTGCACGTGTCGTCCCACATTGGCGGTGCAGAGTGGTTGGTCAGTCCACCAGCATCAAAAGCAGTGAAAATAGAGAGAGTAGAAGCCTTTCCCCCCTCTTGTCTACACCTAGCCTGCTTGGCACCACCGGCTTCTTCCTCCAGTTGGGCACCGATCAGGAGGTACATCCATGCAGCCCTCGTCCGATCTCAATGATCTTAATGATACCTACCTCCAAGAAAAAAAAAATCATCAAAACTTGTCAAGACAAGAATGACGCTGGGCCGATGACGCTGGGACGATGGCTGTCATGTATTTTTGTGGACGGTTGGATGGCAGCGATCTTGGTAGCTTGAGGACAGTCAACGGGGTAGTGGAACAGGGGCGAGGCAGCGAGGGGGAAGAGGGGCACTACGAGATAGTGGTGGGGGCAGGAGGGTAGGGAGGCCAGGGCTGTCGGGTGCACAGCCGTTAGCTTTTAGCAAAGGAAGGAGGGCGACCTGGTGTCGCGACTTTGGGGCGAGGTGAGCAGCCTGAGGAGGGAGTTGCCTTGCTTCGATTGAGGCTGAGGGTAGCATGGCTCAACTGAGTGTCGAGCAAGCTGCAGCGCTGCAACGCATGCGCACGGGCTATGATGCCTCAGCTTCTGAGCCGTCAAAGAGCACAGCGGCTACGACAGGAACGTCTAGCTTGTGTGACGGTGAGTGTGCTCGCTGTGACTACCCCATGGGGTCTGCTACAAGCAGCAAGGCTGCGTCAACCGGCTGCTGACTTGTGGATCACGATCTGTCAGAGCGTTTCAGCTGCCGCATCTGCCTTGATGCCGTGGGCGACCCCGTTGTGACGCCCTGCGGACATCTCTATTGGTGCGTGGTCGGCTCCAAACTTCATGCGAGCAAAGAAGGAACCTTCTAGCGAAGTGCATGCGTGCTGAGTTCTTTCCTTCTCACCGCTTGATACTGTCTCAACTCACTTGGTACTTTGCTTAGTTGGCCTTGTCTGTACGAGGTAAGCCAACTGGGCCTGGCTGAATCGCATGAGGCGCCACTCGAAGATGTCTTACTCCCCCGTTCCTACTTGTGGATGGCATTCCAATTTCAAGTGGCTGCAGCGTTCGCCTACCTGCCCAGTGTGCAAATCAGGCACACAGGCGGACAAAGTCATTCCTATATTCGTCGATGGCTGTGATCGAGATCCTCGGTACGCCAATCCGAAGCACATTATCCGCTTTCAATTTCACGAATGGCTACGTCCACGTTTTGGCTCTGGCCTGCAGCCCGATATGCGACCTGACACTTGTGTTTCGCCCTTGTAAGGAAAAACACACCGCCGCGCCCTCAACAACATCGCGAGCCGCCTCCACATTTTGCGCAGTCGCTGAGCGACTTGTTTCAAAGCTTCTTCTCGCCAGGACGCCCAGCTACTGGGCTAGCTGACAATCTCAACGCGACCGCTCCAGATGCGGGTGCGGGTGGACAGTTTCAAGCCTTTGTCGGGTTTCCTTTTGTTGGAGGCTTGATGATTCAACGGCAAGGCCAGCTCAGCAGTGTCCACCTCTTCTTCTTCGCGTTGTGGTGTTCCGTGGTGGTGCTACCTGTCCTCACTCAGTTTCTGCACATTGGCTAAATGATGCGCGCCAAGACCCTGGATATCGATTGCAACTTTGGATTCTGAGTCTCATCTCCTCTGTAAAGCGAGCACGAGAACGATAGTGGACCGTTCCGGGCGGTCTGCATGAAGATTATGGGAAGGCGGCTTGAAATGTTAAACGAATAATTTACTCGCAAATACCAAACAAAAAAAACATTAAACCCTCAAGATGTTCAGGACGAATGGGCAACCGTTGAAGTGGTGACGGGCGCGTCGTGCACCAGTAGCGAAGGAAGGGACAGAAGGCTCGATTCGTCGGCCCCGGCTTGCGTGAAGGCGGCTTCAAGGGTGTGCGAGTGCTCGGTGAGAATGGGCTCAGCCTCTTTGAGCATCTAAAAGGCAAACGTGTGCAAAACAGTGAGGGGATCTGACGATGGGCCAACAGGGCAAGCAAGGTATTTTCGCTTGCGTTCTCTTATGTACAGCGGGCATTCACGACGAAACAGCAAGACCTACATCGGAGAGAGCAAAGTCGAGGTTGGGCAGGGCCGAGCTATTGGACATGGTGTCCGAGTGCAAATGGTCCAATATGCCACCCAGCGGGTCAACCCCAGAGCCAGAACCATAGTTGAAGTCCCCTGGTCGACCCCTACATAAATGACCGGTTGGAGAACAACGTTGTCAAAACATGGCGTGACAGAGGTCCATTGTGAGCGGTTGCAAACTATCTTCTCTTTGCCCGTTCTACTTTGCATCTTGCCACCAATTTAGGTTCCACTCACATGTCATAGCGAGCCTGCGTTGAAGGGGCTGTCGTGACGCGCGGCACAAAGTCGTGCTCAAAGTCCGGGAACATGAACTCGGACGAGTTGAGCGATAGCAAGGATGGTGTCAACAAGGCCGCCAAAGAAGGATTTTTCGCCACATCCGATGACGCTTGGCTGGTGGCTGCTCCACTCGCAGACTCCGTGGGCCGCATGAAGGCACTCAACCCATGTGTTGCTTGATCGGAGTATCGCCAGTCTGATTGAAAGTGTGCGGTAGCTGAGCCTTGACCTGCCACCTTGGTTGCTGCAGAAGGTAGTGTTCCGGCAGGCCCCGCGTCTGGGGCCTTGGTGATGCGTTGCCGAAGAAAGACAGCATGATCACTGGCCAAACGTCGCTCCACTAGAAAGGTCAGGTATTCGCCAAATACCAACTGTACCAAGTGGAAGGAGCCTGTCATGATTCACCGATTGACCCCCAAACAAGAAGCGATACACGCAAAACCCTGTGAGTCACAGCTCAGGCTTATTGAACGCTCGGCTCTGGTACATTCTGTCACATCACGTACTAAAGCTGGAAGCATTTCGACGGCGTAGGTCACGCGTCAAGAGGCTGGTATAGTAATTGAAGATCATGATGAACCGCTTGGCGCGGGTTTGATATAAATCACCGTTCTATTCAACGTCGCCATAGCCAGCAATGATGAACGCGGCAATCACTTTTCCCCCTTTCACACTTGCTGCACCGTGGCAAACATGCAAGAGCCAACCGTACCTTGACCCCGACGCAGTTTTCCAAAAGCTTGGAGAACCATTGGATATAGCTCTCTAGTGGGGTGCGCCGCCACAGCATCTCGGCAAACACATCCCGGGCTAAAGTTGAACAGGCCCCAGCCGTGTTAAAAAAAGGTCATGACGACAAACGCAACAAGCAGCCTTGATGGGACACGCACGCCATCTATGGGCAACTGGCTCGGGCCTGGCTTACCTCGGTGAATGTTGTGCATGATGGAACGTGTCAAACACATGGAGACTTGCATGTCAATACTGGACCGATCGAGAAGCACATCTCAAGGTCAGTCCAATCGGAAGAGAGGGGGAATGCGCACACACGTATCAAAGTGACGGTATCACAGGCATGTTTCTGCTCTCAGACGTACGCTTCAAAGTCAAGGCGACTCCAATCGGTGCGCATTTGGTCGGTGATTGTGTCGGTGTTGAAGACGGTGATGGCCGCCTGCAACGCAATAGGGTTGAGCAATGGGACAATTTTCTGGTCACGATACGCCACTGATAGCAGCCACGCCAAAGGCGTTCAGTTGCCAGCATTTCCCTAGCTTTGCAGTCAACGCACCTGGGCGACATGGTTCAGTGACGTCTGTCGCTCAATGGCCTTGACAAATACACGAGCGGTCTCTACACGCTTGGATAAAGCAGCACGAGACATGTAGGCCGCACTCTGAAATGCAGAAGGAGCATGAGACGGCGACAGCAATCATGTCATCGAGGTGGCAGGAATGTGTGTGTGTGTGTGTGTGTGTGTGTGTGTGTGTGTGTGTGTGTGTGTGTGTGCGTGTGTGTGCGTGTGCGCGCGCACCTGCTCCACCCAAGAAATCCAATGACTGGCTAGGAAGCGCAGATGACGAATGTCGTCGCTACTGAGCGGCGTCAGGATATTTGATATGACTTCTACATGGGTCCCACCAGCCAACAATGTCAGGTCGATAACAGTACGTGAGTGGTCGGGCAAGCGCCACATGTCCTTGCATAGCTTGGTCCACAAACCTGAAAGAATGGTGGTGTAGAGTGTATTGTCGCAAGCACAAATGCAATCGACCACATGGCCCAGACTGAAGAGGTACTGAAGCTGACTTGGTAAACGGGCCCAGAACTCTGTGTATAGCTCGTGAACCTGCTCGCGAATGTGCAGGAGATGAGAGGTGCCTTCAGCATAGTCGTGGGCAGAAAGCAAACAGAGGTGCTTCGTACGTTTTGGTATGAGCCTTCGACAGCGGCTGTCAAAATCTGTTCGTAGGTTTTGCGCATCTCCCCGAACAAGAGAGCCACCTATTATGTGTTATCGAAGAATGAGGGGAAAACTAGTGAGGTGTAGTAGGCGGGGCATAAATGTGTATCTAAAGTGGCGCTGTGAGTGTGCGTCGGGTCCAAGTATTGACAGTGCCCGCCGCCTCTACAATGTACACCGAGCATGTACAAACATGATCGGACGAAGTGCCGGCAGGCAGCAGCTGAAAGTCCACGGTGGGAAACAGTGGCATAAAGGCAGGCTCCTTGGTCTTCTAAAGCGATGGGTAGGAGAGCAGATGCAAAGCGCATGTCAGTTCCATGTGCTCGACCATGGGAGTTCAAGCTGAATAGGTCATAATATGCTTCTCGTGCAAAGGTGTACGTACTCGCGGTGCAGCAGTGGTCTCATTGTAGGTTGACGTGGGCTTGAGCCGCAACCCGTAGTAGTGGTACTTGGACTAGGTTGTTGACCGGGCGGGAGAGATCAAAATGAGGTGCAACATCTGAAAAGTTGTAAAAATCATTGGTAAGCGGGTTGTTTTGGGGAGCACACCTGGCCACGCGTGCCCAGGCGACGCGTTTTGAGTTGCGGGAACTGTTGACGGATGATCTTGCCAAAGTTGGCAGCATTGGTGGGTTCCTGGCTGGTGAGCTCGCAGAACTTGACGTAGTTCTCGTACAAGCTTGAGCGCAAGACGCAAGCGGCTTCCTTGAGCTCATAGTGCTCATGAATCCTGGGGAAAGAGGGGGGGGGGCGGAAATCAGAGACCAAGCATTCGAGAACAACGAGCGTGTAGACACTAGGTGCTGCACTTACCAAGCCACGATGTCAGGTGCTTTTGTGACGGAACCACGCTTCTTGGGAGAGGGCGAGGGGCTACGCTGACTTTCGGAGCTGGTACTGGGCGGCAGCGGGGAGATTGAGCGGATGTGCGGCGCGTGACTGTCCTTTGGGGTATGTTGGTGAGGGTGCACGGGCGTGTTGGCGTGTATCAATCGCTCTACTGGCTGAACGACAGTGACACCACCCGATGGGTTGTCCAAGTCACTAAAACCCGAGTCCTTGCCATGCAGATAGGCCCCATCTGAGGCCCGAATCATGCCAAAGCGAGGGCGGGCATCATAGCCTCGAGGCTGGGCGTCATAAACATGAGCCCGAGCAGCCGGTTCAGGCAGCGAACTGTAGTGTGGGGCTGATGCGGCGCTGTGAGTTGTCTCGTAGGACGGCCCTGGCGCGAAGTGACCAGTAGAGTGGCGCGAACTTGTGTGCGCAGGCACATAGCCGTATGAATGCGCCGTGGGCTTTAAAGTTTGTGCAGGCTGGAGCCGCCGGAGATCTGGTGACGCATAGCCTAGAATTGCAAGTATCAGGGGTTTGGGTAAGCAAGGACGCTTGGAGAACAAGTTGAGCTGATGCCATGTCAGAATTCATGCACGGCAGCTTTGCTACCTTGGCTGTGATGCGCGGCTGAGGTGGAGGGAGCCATGTTAGCCAGTTGACTCATGGTGTGGCGCGGCACGGATTGAGGGGGGTGAGCGTGTCTGGAATCGTAGTGATGACGGTGCTGGGTCAGCTGCCGTGCCTCGTAGGGCTGGTTTAGTGAAAGGGCCGCGGTTGCGCTATCACTGTTGGGATGAGAAGCTGAAAGTATTGCAGAGGCCGACGTTAAGCCTAATGAACTTCCGTAGGTGCTGGCACTTGGGCCCGAATAGGACGTTGGAGCCACGGCCGAGCTGGACGCAGCCCTAGAGCTCGTGTTTGTCATGCCCGAGCCTGAGCCTGAGCCCGAGCCTGATCCCGAGCCTGAGCCTGATCCTGAGCCCGATCCCGAGCCTGAGCCCGAGCTGCTGGAGCTATTATGATGCTGGGCGTGTGAGGCGGCCGTTGAATGACCGTGACCCACAAGGCCGCCGCGCGCCACCGCGCTACCACTGGCGGAGGGCCGCTTGGCTGGTGGGAGTCTTGCACCACGGCCCCGTCGACTGGCGAGCCCGTAGACATTGACTGTGGGTGGCGACTTTTTCTTTGCCGTCGGGGTTGGAGTTCGGTGTGTTGGAGTAGCTCGCGAAGAGCCTGCGTCCTTGGGGTCGGCCATGGTCAGATTTGGTGCATATTTTCCCAAACCAAGGCGTTCAGGTGCTGCTCAGCGTTTTTAGGCACCCAGAAGAACAGGCAAAAAAGCCACGGGACACACCACCAAGCTTCAAAGTCACAAAAGGGCTGGGGTAAATGCCTCTGGGCACTCTTTGAGGTCAAGTGCGAGCCTGGACAGGGACTACAACTGTGTAGCTGTTCAGTCTCCACAGTTCTGGGACAGCACGAGACTTTCCGAGGTGTTTTTTTTTATCAAGGGTCACCTATGTGCTGAGGTCGATAAAGAGGGACGCCGTTTTGCTGTGGTATAGATGCGGGTGAGCGACCGTCAGAGGCTGTGAGGAATAGGAACGAGCGGGAGCAAGCGCCTGGGCAAGAAGCAGAGCGCTACGCCAAGAGCTGTGATGTTCAGGAGTGCAAGCCGCAGACGGACAGTCGGTCGGCTTTATATCAAACAGGCGGGGCTGTAGACATTGAGCGAACGGAGGCGGGGCAGACACACCGTGCAGGGGGTCGGGCTCTGCGCTCTTCCGCTCGAGGGAAGAGGGTGGAACTGAGGTGTGGCATGGGCGCAGAAAGCTCAAGCCGTGGTTGTGACGTGGTACCTGTCACATTCACCTCATGACTTTTCTGGGGTGGAAGCTACTCCTGTGCCCTGCGGCGGTTGTGGATGCATAACAAGGGGAGGAAGCGCCTGCGAAGAGGACACGATGTGGGGGATGGCACCCCCTCGCTGCTACACTGGCCAGTGACGGGAGACCGTTCATGGTACCCAGCACGACCATCACGTCCTGTCATTGTAAAGGTCGAGGCTGTGGGTCTGACTGGGGCCTCACACCGCGTCGGTGAGTGAACAGAAGTGTTGCGGTTATTCGTGCCCAGTTTTGCAGGAAGCTGGCACGGCCAGGTCAGCATCACGGCGCATCGCTCCCCGTTGCTGCGCAAAGCGTTTGGATGCGTGCGTTTGGGTCCGCAGTGCTGACAATTACCACGAAGTGTTTGGAACACCTGTTGAGGAGAGCTGGGGTAATTATTTAAGAGGTTCTCACTGCATTCGTGTTCTACTAAGTTTGAACTGAGCGAGCGGAGCTTGACTGGCAACTGCAGCGGCGATTGTACTTGGTGTGCCACTGCGAAGTTGAGGAGAGACACTTTGCTGCCAAGGGGCATCATGGCACAAGGATGGACGCCCCAGCAGATGCAGCAGATGCAGCAGATGCAGCAAATGCAGCAGATGCAGCAAATGCAGCAGATGCAGCAGATGCAGCAGCAGATGCAGCAGATGCAGCAAGGGCAGCCGATGCAGCCGATGATGATGCAGCCAATGCATACGACCGCTCACCCAGCACAGGCGAATGGGATGCAGCAGCCGCCTCAGATGGCATATGGTATGGGCGCAGGATCGACTCAAGGTCGATCAGCCCCACAGCCAGCGCAGGCATTTGCGGCTGGCCATGCCGGAAACTTGGCAAACATGTCTCCGGTGCGGGCCAGCACAGGTCTGTTTTCTGTCCAAAGAATGTCCCCGGCATGCTGAATTTTGTCCTGATCTGCACGAATAGGGGTCCCCACGGACGGCAGAGTCTGAGCGCAAGCGCCGTCTGGAAGAACAAAAGCGGAAGCTTGAGCGTGTGGTGGGTCGCCCCTGATCCTCTGGCCGTCATGGTGGCTTGTTAAATGCTCATGTCTCTGCTTGGCGCCTCGCTTTGGTAGCGCCAAGGTGGTGGTGCAGCGGGGGCCTTTGACCTTAACACTTTCGATCTGGGTTTGGGAACGGTGAGCGTTTGCACTCGCCCGACGTCCAACGGACAACATGGCTGAACGCCACCTCGTTCTAGCTTCGTCCATGCATAAACCATTCATGGACGGATCATGATTGCACAACGGTCTCGTCTCACCATCCTCTGCTTTGTGTGCGTGTGTGTGCATGTGTGTGCTTGCGTATGCTTGTGCGTCCTGCCATGTTTCAGACGTCAAAGACATCCTCAAAAGCTGGATCTGTGCCTGCCCCCCAGCCAGCATCACATGTGAATGCCGAGGCGGATGATTTTGGATCCTTTGCCGCAGCCACCGCACCCGCACAACCCGAACCACCTCGTGGTGCCCTGCGCGATTACTCAGCCCTCGAAGCTTTGCGTGCCGAGAGCTCAGTCTTTGGTGAACCCACTCACAGCCCCAATTCGGCCTCAACCACAGCAGCATCCACTGCTGGGGCTGCACCGTCATCGATGACAACTGTTTCACCGCCTCATCCGTCAAGCGCGGCGACAACCCAGGTTACGGATGGTCATGACGATTTTGGTGACTTTCAAGGCCAGATGGTCCCTGCAGTTACATCACAACCAACCGCTGTGCCCAACAAAAAAGCAGGCATGCCACAACGTGCACCGACTGCTCCCGCCTCAAGCGTGACACCACCCCCCTATCATGCTGCGTTGACACAGCCGGAATACCTCATTGACGCCGTGCGAGTCCAACCGGGGTCACCGGGTCCCTCTTCTGCTCATGAGCTTTCGAGTGCTGCTTTACGCACTCGGCAGTTCTCCATCAGCAGCGACACGTCACCTGCCATCCCGCCTACTACCAGTGCAGCATCTAGGGTGGGTGCACCGCTCTTTGCTCGTCCAGCTTCCTTTTGCCCGCACTCGAAGCGCATGTCCTTCGTGTTGGTGTGCTTATTTGGTTGTGGCTTGTCCGTCTCCAAACGTCTCTTGGGCGACATTAGATAAGTTCTGATCCCCTCGAACAAGTCGCTTTTCAAGAAGGCATGGGTTACAGTGGCATGGAGCTGGTACCACTTTTACAACGGAGCCAGCTTCCCCAGGTCTGTTCAGAGTATTCACAACCCTGTCTGACCTGCTTCATGCCTACACGAGGCACGACGCTATCCCCTGAGCGAGATGCTATTGTTCAGCAAATTTTTTTCACACAACAGTCGGTCGCGGCAACTATTTTTGCAGGAGACGCTTGCCAGCATCTGGCAGCAATGCAACCCTCAGAACCTGGCGTGGGTCTCGCGGGCCATGGCTCAAAATATGCTAACGCTTGCAGCCACGGCGCAGCAGCAGCAGCAGCAGCAGCAGCAGCAGCAGCAGCAGTCACCTCAGCAGCCACCGCAACAAGCACCACAACAATCAACGCCACAACACCAACAACACCAACAACACCAACAACAACCACAACACCAACAACCACAGCACCACCACCACCACCACCAACCACAACAACAACAACAACAGCAGCTGGGCAGTATCGTGGCAGGCGAGCTCTTGTCTCAAGGCCCCTTGGAAAGCAAGGTGACAAACACAAAGGGCCACGCTGGTGATGATTTTGGAGACTTTGGGGATTTCGCAGTCCCGACTGCTTCAAAGTCTGACACCGTCCCTAATGCACCGGGCGTCGTGAGTGATCCCCACCCGCCTGCTTCCACAGTTACACCCGACGATGATTTTGGTGAGTTTTCGACCACACCCAGTCTGGCTGCGTCGACTGGCGTGGACACGTCCGAAGCCGACAAGTACGCAGCCTTTGCGGAGTTGCGCATCCACTCGCCGATTGCGGCGGCACAAACAAACAACACTAGCAAACAGCCAGTAGATGATTTTGGGACCTTTGCCTCTCCAGTACCGATTGCCTCGACTCTGGGCGCTCCATCGCCGGCATATCAGAATGTCTCGTCTCAAGGAGACAATGAGCGCAAGACGGAAACGACTGCCGCTGATACTGCCGACGATGATGATTTCGGCGCGTTCTCGTCCCTGCGAGCCGCCCCACCCACTTCCACAGCGTCTGCCACAGTGCCCTCCTCTGCACCCAACGCCGTCACAGCCCCGAAGTTGGGCGCTCCTGATTCCAAAGGGGCCCTCACATCTCATCTGGTGTCCCGTGATGAGTCAGATGATTTTGGCGCCTTTGCCGCCTTCTCTGCTTCAAGCGTGCCCGTGCCAGACCAGGTCTCAGCACCGCCGACGAACCCAGCCAAGACGGCCGTGCTTAGCTCGAATGAGGACTTTGGTGCGTTTGCCACCTTTGAATCTGCGCCGGCCAAGGCAGATGAGTCTGATCCATACGCGGCCTTTCGTGAACTTGTGCCCAAGGCACCATCGGTTCCCCTTCCAGCCTGGGGAAGTGAAGCTGAAGTTCCATCCTCCAAATCAGTGATCACGAGCCCCGCAGCAACGTCGGCACAGAACGCCCAAGATAATAGCCAAGGTGGTGGGCAAGATGTTCCAAATATCGAAGCTGCAGAGGATTTTGGCACCTTTTCTACCTCGAGTGCCCCCACCGCTTGGCCCGAGCCCGGCATATCTGCCCCACCACACTCGACGGGAGTGGATACTGCGCGGGGCACTGTGAGCTCAGGCGCCGGATCGACCTTCGACGCTGGATTCGGCAGTTCTGGGTCTGGCCTGTTTCAAATGCCGGACAATGATGATTTTGGCGCCTTTTCAACCTCAAGCGCGCCTGCAGTCACCAGTGGGAGAGGTGACGGGCAATCTTTGGGCTCATCAACCGCTGATCCCTTTGATGTACGGGCGCCTGCGGGCAGCCCCGCAACTGGTGATGGTGCAGGCCAGAATCCTGCCTCCGAGGCTGAAGAATCAGATTTTTTCGGCTCATTCTCTACTTCCACAGCTTTGCCGAGCACAGAGCGCAGAATGACTGTGCCAGAGCGTGAAAAGCAGGCTGCCTTTGGTCTTGGGGCATCGCCAAATGTAGACTTTGGTGATTTTTCAACCTTCAACTCGGAAGCAACCACTGCTGCCCCACCAGTTGAGAAGCCCTCCAACGACTTTGGTGACTTTGCCAGCTTTTCAGATGCAGCCACACCCAGTCCGAGCATGCCTCCTGTTGACCGGTCTGTCCTTTGGGTTGATGCTTGGTTTCGCGAACGTTCATGGAATGTCCCTTTGTATATGCGTATTCTGATGCGACTTGATGAATTTCCGGGGGATGGGGGGTTTTGGGTCGGTCAAACTAGGTATGCGGCTTTGAGTGACAACAGTGAGACATCAGAGGAGCTGGCGCGCTTGCGCCGTCTTTATGAGAGGTATGCTGCTGTTGTCGTCTCATTGCCCTTGGAACCCTGTCTCACTGCTGGTCGGCGATCGTCTCTTGGTCCGTTTTAACTAGCTGTGTACATGAGCTTCAACGCGCCAGTAACTGGGTGCAGACACTGGTTGATGAACAGCGCCAAGCTCTTTTGAACAGCTCGCAGACCCGGGTTTTTCGTTCCGGTGAGTTGACGTGTCTCGCTTTCCTCACTTGGTGACTAATTCTGGGTGTGCCGCTCACCTTCCGTGTTGTGTGGCGTGGATGTGCGGGTGTACGGCCAGGAGTGTATGAGCTGGCGCGATTTCAAGGTCGCTTGTTGGCTCGCTTGGAGATGGCACTGGGCCAGAGTCCAGCAGAGCCATTGCCTTCTTGCGCTCTCGCGTTGCGCACGTTGTCCGTCCAGCTTCCCGGCGGGCTGCCCACCGAGAAAGCGGTGTTGAGATCCGGTGATGCTTGCAATATTTGCCTTACTGGTTTCGAGGTCGCTTCAGGAACTGGGGTGGATGGCCGGCCTCGTGGCAATGACGCCATCATCGAATTGGGGGCTCGGCGTTATCATGCTTCCTGTGCCAACTTTTGGCGTACGCACTTGGATGAGGCGCAAATGCTCCCATGAAAGACATAGAGAGATTGAATTTGGGGTGGAAAACCAGCTATAGATGTCGTCCAGTCAATGCTGACAATTTTATAGTTTTGAATTATTGTACTGTGGTTTTTCAGATCCTGGTGATTGTAGACACAACGCCGCTTAGTTACGCTGTCTTGAAGCTGCCGTCAAGTCGCGCGCACTTGTCTGTTTCAACGCTTCGCTGATCAGTCTCCTGTGTGGACGGACACAACGATATAGCGAGCGGCACGCCGGGCGCATCGTGTTGTGCTTCGTTACATTGGTCACCGATGTTTGGCAGGTGTTTTCATCGTGCATTGGTTTTTGGGCATTGATCTTGACACGCCACCACAAAGCGATCAAGTCGAAGCGCTGGGATTTGGAACCTGCGAGGTCCATTGACGTTCGGGCCAGCTGTTTTTTTTCCGGGCCTTCCGGTGTCGATTGCCAGGCTGAAGGCTGAGCTGAGCGTGGTAGCCTAGCAGTCTGTGGCTGCATTACCAGAACTGGCTCGATAGCGCTGAGCTGCGCGGCACAAGCCCGAGAGAACAGAGCAGACATGGCCACCCTGGACGTCGAGGCGAGCCTCGATGATGGCCGACGCAGCTCCTTGTTTGATTTTAACCGCCCCGACATTGCGGCAACCAGCCAAACCTCGCACACGGACGCCCCAGATCATGTATGGCTTGCGTTATCTTGCCTTGTTGTTGCCGAGGGCGGCCGTGAGCCGAACAGGCTTCAAAGAGACGTCATGGCCCGCGGCTGGTTTTGGCGGGATAGCAGCCTTGGTGGGTGAGCTGGCAAGTACTCATGGTCATGCATGGTCCGTCGTGCAATGTAGGAAATGCCCAAGCGGCCCGTGACTCCCTTGGAGAACACTTACCAGCTTGAGCCAGAGATCAAGTTTAGTGCCAAGGCGGTTGAGGACATTATCAACGAAGTCCTGCCTGCCCAGCTCGAGGATGAGGAATATGACATGCAGTCAAGTCGACAGGTTGGTGGACTACCTCGCTCCGAAAACATGTGATGCGCTTCCATAGTATGCGTTTAGGTTGCTTGTGCCATACCATCCTCACGGGTTGGATGTAACATGTGCTAGATGTCCAAGACATTGTCCACAATCATCAACAACCGAGTCAAGGCGCTCAACTACGCGAGGTGTGTAGGCGCGACCGAGCGCGTGTGTTTATGTGCTTGAGAAAACATCTGCGACGATCGGGATCTTGCTTTGCCTTGCTCTGCCCTCACGTGCTGATCAATGATCCCTGACACCTCATTTCAACAGGTACAAGATCGTTACAGTGGTCACTATTGGGCAGGTTGCGGAGCAAGGCGTTCATGTGGTATGTGGTCTTCTTGCCTTGCTGTCTCTCGTGCATACGGCTGTTGGGGAGCGCCAAACTATTGGCTGCCATGCCGTGCCGTGCCTGTTGCTGGGAATACGGCATTGGATTGGCAGCGCACAGCCAAGACTTGTTGCGCGATTTTCTGATGACTGGCCAACTGATGTCATGGGGACTGGTTGTGTTTTGACAGGTGAGCCGGTGCTTGTTCGATCAGGAAAAGGATACGTTTTCCTCCGGCTCTTACAAGAACAGCTCGTTGTTTGCCACGGCCACCGTTTATGGCTTGTATTTTGAATAAAGACTTCGTGTTTCCCGCCTTCCGCTGACGCCCCCTTGAGTCCGGGATGGCCGTTTTGTCTGTACGTGTGTGTTTCCCATCCCTGTCTCTGTCCGCATGTAAGCGTATCCTGCGTGCAGGGTACAAGGTGTTTATGTCAGTCAGGGCTTGCATTGTCGCTTCGACGGCCGGCCGGCCTAGCACGTTTATTTTGACACCCTCGGTTGACTTACCATCGCGTTAGGCCGGCCAAGGGCGTTGGTGCATGCTCCAATCTATAAGAACATCCCACAAAGGGTTTGGCCTCGGGCCATTACAATTTCACGAGCCTGGTCATCAGGGTCGCGAGCGAGCACCCCCTCTGCGCGATTTGCAAAGGGGACAAAAGGGTTGATCGTCTGGCTCGCCCCCGCTACCACCTGTCACAAATTGTTTCTTTGCGTGAGAGGTTGCAGTTTGGGTGTCAAATGGTAGCGTCATCCGTTAGAGAGAGAGAGAGAAGAGAGAGAAAGAAGAGAAGAGAAGAGAGAGCAGAGAGAGAGAAGAGAGAGCAGAAGAGAGATGAATTGGTTTTTAGAGTTTGAGAGAGTTTGAGAGAGGTTTGAGAGAGTGAGTTGTTCAACGGTCTTTTGTCTTTCAGCTTTTGGGCTCTTTCCTTCTGCTCCCCTGTTCTTGTTCTGCTCCTGTGTCCTGGGAGGGGTCGTTGGTCTACTTCTACTTGTGTGTGCGTGTGTGCGTGCGCTGGGTGCTGGCCGATCCCCATGGCCATGGTCTGAGCGAGGCCCCCTTCCTGTGAAGGACACGTTTGATTGCTGCTGCCATCTTCCTCGCTTCGTGCCTTTGGAAAAAGGGGGAGCGGGGTTGAGAACGCCCTCTCCCTTCTGCTGGCTTGCCCTCCAAACCGTTGCGGGTCAAATTTTGAGGTGCGTACAAACGCTCAGGGTGCTTGGGACCCTGCTCCGCCGTTATGATTGACACGGCACAGCGCGACACGCACGCATGCACGCACCCATCTGTACATATGCACAGCCCACGCACAAGCAAAGGAAGCGGGGTTGGGGAAGCTGCAACCCACCTTGATCCATTCGCCTGCTTCGACTCGCGCGCACGTTCACAGCTCACAGCTCACACGCCACGCTGCCAAATCTTTTGCGGTGATCTGTAGCAAAGCCCGGACATGAGCGACTATTCCACCGTCGCCCTCGGCGACATGGGATACAACGCCGCCTCGCCCTCCTCCGTTCTGCCCGGGTACGCGTCTCTCACCCAACATGCCTTGTCCAACATCGGGCACTGCCGTTAAGCAAGTCGGCAGTTGTTTTTGTTCTCTCGCTCCGTGTTGGCTCGTGACTTGCACCTCAATCCGATCCTAACGCCTTGTCTACTCGTCGTTCTGACTCTGTCCCTTTCGCCAACGATGCTTGTCACCATACAGAGCGGCGCCCCGCGAAGTTCATGGCGATGATGACGCTGGACTTTTTGCAGAGCTCCAAGGTGAGCTCCGATGACATGACACCAGTGTTTCAATATGACATGAGAACCGACTGCTTCACCTTGTGTCAAGCAGCAAGCTTGCACAGTCTCACTGGGTACTCTGCCTGTTCATCTCGCCGTATGCCCGGAAACTCAGCGGTAGCCCATGAATCAACAGCTGGCTCCTCTCCTCACGTAAGCCCATGGTCACGAGTCGTATCGCCTTGTTGAGGGATGTGCCGCGGGCATTTCCTCGCATCAAGGCGCGCGCGCCGCGCGCGCACGCACTCGCACGTCGCGCAGCTTGACTCACATCTGTGCTGTTCACATGCATTGCGGCTGCCTCTCCAGTTGCACTCGTTGGGTGGGGGTGTAGTCGACCAAGGGCCCATGCTTTCCGCACCCCCGCTGGCAGTTTCGCACGCCGGTCAAATGGCTGTCAACGGCACCGGACCCTCAAGTTTACACGCTACTGATCTGACGCCGCGCGACAGTCTCTATGATCAAGACCCCATGGATGAAGATCCCAACGACGTCAGCTACATGCAGGAGAACGACGAGGACGACGGTCATGGAGCTTCCAACAACAACGGCAACGATGACGGAGTTGCTGACGACGACGATGACGATGACAATGACGATGATGACGACGATGACGACCGATACGAAGTAGGATTCACGCTGCCGCCTGTTCTTGAAAACATCAATCCCCGCTGCCGTATCACACTCTGTTAAACTCTCGTGCCCATGCCCTCCACTCCCTATGTTTGTTTGCGTCGCAGCTGGCCAATTCTGGCATTGACATTGACATTGATGACGAGGACGATGACGACAGCGAAGGCGAATACCTTCCTGGTCACAACCTCACCTCCGCGTCGTACTCCCACGGATCCGGTGCCGCTGGCGCCCACGGTGCACCACAGTCAAGCACGACCGCGTCCAAGAAACAACAAAAGCGCTCGGGCACCGCTGCTCGACGCGGCCGACCGCAAGGTAGCAAGAACAAGGCTGGCCGCCGGAAGCGCAAAAACCAGACTGAGAGCGAGGACGAGGAGGACGTGTACGACGAGGCTGAGGATGATGAATTCTTGGACATTTCTCCCGAAGAACGCGAGGCCCACGAAGCCTACAAGCTTCAGGAGGCCAACAAGGCCCGAATCGAGAGTGTACTTACACACCTGACGCGCGAGGAATATGTGGCTGAAGTTATGCGCATCAACTCGCTCATGCGCGAGCTACAGGGTCTGCAAGATCAAGGTGTAGCATCCACCGATCAAGCCTCGCGTGGTAAGTGTGTCAGCGCTTGCGCCCTGATTATCTTGCGGGGCAGGGCAACCACTTACTTCCGGTTGAAACCTGCTTTTGACTTGCTCTGTAGCTCAAGACCTAAAGGAAGAGCTGGAGTCTTCAATCGTTTGTTGTATGACGCGATCCGCCGAAGAGGCACGCGGCAAAGAGGTAGGTCCGATGTCATTAGCAAACCCTGCAGTGTCAATGCCCAAGGCAGCAAAGTGGACTCATCAGCGATCAAAGCTGATAATTCATTTTGTTTGTTTCTGGTCTGTGCTCTTCTTGCGCCGACACCTTGACCTCATGCCATGCAATTACCACGCGTGTGTTGCCGTCCCCGTACCCGCGCGCACTTCGTGTTCTCCACTTCTTAGAGTGAGGGCAGCCCCTCCGATATCCTCTACTGCGTCAAGTGGATCGGCTGGTCTCACTTGGAAAACTTTTGGAACACGGGTGCGTTGCTACTCAGCTCATCCTTCTTGGGTCAGGGTCAGGGTCAGGATTGGTGCTTGGTGCTTTGCTGCCCCAGCTCTGCACGCGGTCCGATCTGTGCAAACGGCTTCAAGTGGCTCACCATCTCTGCTTGGTAGAGGAGGAATTGCGACAACTGGACATTGCAGGCATTCGCAAGCTGGACAATTACATCAAACAAATGCATGACATCAATCGTCGGCTTTCCGTCATGGACAACGCGATGCAAGAGGACTACAACATCAAGGTACCCACCCTCGGCTTTCTTCTTGTCGATCGCGGCACTGGTTTTGCAACAACTCCTCATTGCTTACCTGTCCCGTACCCGTTGCAGCGCGACGAGGATCTGCAAATCAAGGCCCGCTACAAGGTGGTCGAGCGCGTGGTTGACTCCAAGCAGGGCGAGCAAGGTACCGAGTACTTTTGCAAGTGGGAGAACCTGGGCTACGATCAGTGTACCTGGGAGCTCAGCAGCGTCGTCTCAGTCCTGTCAGTACCTCTCTGAGTCTCGCAGCATGAACGCGGGCGTTGCTTTCCGGACCTCCCTCAAAGCTTTGATCAAAGCCTCACGCTCATCGCGCTCTCTTTCCTATTTACCTCTTGTTTCCATCAGGTATCAGCAAGAGATTGAGGACTTTATCCGGCGACGAAACTCCCAAACATTGCCTAATGGACGTCGCCCGGTGCGCGAAAAATTTCGTCGAATCACCGAGCAACCGGATTGGCTCAGGGGGACGTCGCTTCATCTGCGCGATTATCAGGTGGACGGCGTCAACTGGCTGGCGCAGGCATGGCACCGCGAGACCTCAGTGATTCTTGCCGATGAAATGGGGTTGGGCAAGACCATCCAGGTGTGTTGATGCTTGGACCGTGCTAGTATGGTGCTGCCGTTGCTCGCGCGTTTGGCTTTCCCAATATGAGGAGCGCGACCGATTCTCATTTACTCGTCTCAAACTCCTGTATCCCCTCCTGCAGAGCTCGACCTACCTCGCATATCTCTTCCATTCGCAACTACAGTATGGTCCCTTTCTAGTGGTGGTTCCGCTATCCACCATGCATGCCTGGGTCAAGGAGCTGCGTCGCTGGGCACCGCAAATGGAGGTCGTGGCATATCACGGCAATCGACACAACCGCGAACAGGCGCGGGTCCTAGAGTTTGATCGCAAGGAAGGACTGCAGTTCAACGTCTTGCTTACAACTTTTGAGACAGTCGTGTCAGATGTGGATGTTTTGTCCAAATATCGATGGACCTCGCTGCTCGTGGACGAGGCGCACCGGCTAAAGAACGAAGAGTCAGCCCTCCATGTTTCCTTGAAACAGCTGCAGCATGATCACCGCATCCTCATCACCGGCACCCCCCTGCAAAATTCGATGAAGGAGCTGTGGGCCCTTCTCTCTTTCATCATGCCCCAAGCCTTTCCCACATGGGAGGTTAGTCTACAAGACGATTTGAAGAGAGAACACTCCCTGTTTTGCTTGAGCGCGGCTCTCCGACTAATTGTTTTTTTCTTGTGTCTATTCCCCCTGTGCTTGTGTACACCAGGGCTTTGCAGACGTTTACGGGTCGTCCAACGTCTTTGAGAGCGGTGACCACACACGGCTCAAGCGCTTGCATGATGATCTCAAACCATACTTGCTGCGTCGCGTCAAGAAAGACGTGGAGAAGTCGTTGCCGGCCAAGGTGTGTATGCTGCCTCCAGCCCTAGATACCGTTCCGTGAGCGTATATATCTTTATCTCCTTTGCTGATTGGTGTGCGCGCTCATCAATGCACGGGCATGGCAGGTCGAGCGGATCCTGCGTGTCGATCTCAGCTCTCGCCAACAACAATACTATAAAACAATTTTGACGCGCAACTACACCGAGCTGCGAGACATCAAAAAGTCCAAGAGCTCGAATTTGCTCAACATTGTGATGGAGCTCAAAAAGTGCTGCAACCACACCAACCTGATCGATGATGGCTTGGACAACCAGGGCGGGCCAGATGTGCGTTGAAACTGGTGGCTGTATTGCTGTTCTTGTTGCGTGCCACCGCGAGGAGTCTGGTCAGGGCTTGGCAAGAGTGCACGCATGCTCATCTCACTGCTTTTTTTTTTTTGTGTGTGCTTCTACTGCCTTGCCTCCTGTAGCCCTTGACGCGTCTTTTGCGAGGCTCGGGCAAGCTCATTCTGCTCGACAAATTGCTTACACGCCTCAAGGAGTCGGGCCACCGCGTGCTCATCTTCTCACAGATGGTGGTCATGCTTGATGTTCTGGCGTACTATCTGGCCTTGCGTCAGTACCAGTACCAGCGTTTGGATGGTAACACAAAGCACGAACAGCGCAAGCGTGCCATCAACCACTTCAATGCCGAGGGTTCGACCGACTTTGCCTTTTTGCTTTCCACGCGCGCTGGTGGACTGGGTGTCAACTTGGCGACGGCAGACACGGTGATCATTTATGACAGTGATTGGAATCCTCAGAATGATTTGCAGGTGAGGAAAAAGGGATGGGGTTGGATGAGGGGGGGTGGTTGAAGCTCAAGCATCTTGAATCAGCTGTTGGTGGAGGTGGCCTGTCTCCGGGCGGTTCGCTTCTTCATTTTTATATCTATTTTGTTCTCGGTCTTCCTCATTTAATGATTTACTCGTCTTTGACAAGGGAGGTCCTTGACTCACGGGCTGACATGTATTCCTTGTTTGGGCGCGTCTGCTAGGCCCAAGCCCGTGCCCATCGCATCGGGCAGACCAAGCAGGTCAACATTTACCGATTGGTGTCAAAGAGCACGGTTGAAGAGGACATCTTGCAACGAGCCAAGCAGAAAATGGTTTTGGATCACTTGGTCATTCAGCGCATGGACACGACTGGGTCCTCATTGTTGCCCAGCCAATCGGCCAAGTCCAACCGTCCGACCTACTCTGCCAATGAACTGGACGCCATCATGAAGTTTGGTGCCGCTGAGCTCTTCAAGACTGGTGCCGGTGAGGAGGCAGACAATAATCTTGAAGCTCTCGACTTGGATGCCGTGCTCAACAATGCAGAAACACACGACACAGATAAGGCTGGCAACCAGAACAGCGAGCTCTTGTCCGCCTTCAACACGGTAGACATTGCCACCAACGAGGAGGAACTGGGCCAGGGCGATAGCTGGGACGACATCATCCCAGAGGAGGAGCGCCGTCGCATCGAGCAAGAGGAGGAGCAGGCGCGTATTCAAGCCATGTACCTTGCGCCTCGCAATCGCGGCAAAAAGGTGGACTATGAGGACGGTGATGGAACTGAAGCGGGTGCCGGCGCGAGCAAGGGCGCCAAAGCTATCAAAGGTGCCAAGGGCGCCAAGAGCGGCAAGGGTAAAAATGGTGAAAAACCGGCCAAGACCAAGTCCAAGAGCAAGGACAAGGGCGAGGGCAAGCCTGCTAAAGCAGGACCCGGCGGTGCCACCCCCATGAGCACAGATGGCTCTGAAAGCACGCCGAAGAAGCCCAAGGTCGTCCCTCCCAAAAAGGTCGTACCTCCAGTTGAGGCGTTGCAGCGCGCTGGTGTGGGCGACTTTACTGAGGAGCAGGTCAAACAAATGTACTTGGCTCTGCGCAAGTTTGGCAAAACGGTGGCCGATGAACCCCGCGTGCTCCAAGCTGCAGGGTTACAGGAGGTGCCTGAGGCGGCTCGACGCTTGAAGGAATGGCTCATCACGGAAAGCCAAAAGGTAAGGGATCAAGACTCGGCGTGGCTTGTGGATAGCCTGGCCATGTTGCACAGAAAGCAGATCAACGTGCTTTGTTTCAGTGCCACCGTGGTCCAAAACATGCTATGGTTGAATGTTTTAAGCTGTCAGAGCTTTGCTTCAATAGAGCACTAGCCATGCTCATGCGTCACTGTTGGGGGTGTTTGTGCTTGCCGTTAGATTTCGTCTGGCGACCTGACGATCGACTCAAAGCGGTCCAAGATCAATCTGGAGGTGACTCCAAACTTTCGCTTCAAGGTGGATGAATTTCTTATCCGCTTGCGTGGGCTCGAACTGGTCAAGGCGGCCTTTGCCGAGGACCCTGATTGGAAGGTGACTTGGAAGGTACGTGAACCTTCCTTCATCTCGCAAGCTTGTGAATGTCCGAGCCAAGGGCCAGCCGCAAGTCATGCTCAAGCCGTCATTTCCAATCTTCCACTTGGTCATGCCCTGCAGGTCAAACTGCCCGAGTGGGACGTGCGTTGGGAGCCAACTTTGGACACAATTTTGCTCCAGGCAGTGAATGACTATGGCGTGGGCAGCTATGAAGACATTAAGAAGGATCCCAAATACGGGTTGGAGGGCTTGATTCTACTGCCCGAGAACAAGGTTTGTGTCCTTTTGCCCGACCGTGGAATGCACGTGTTTTGAGTTCAACAGAGGCGGTCTCACTCTCAAATTTTCGATGGCTCGGTTTTTCACACCACAGAAGCCCCAAGCCAAGCATTTAAACACCCGCGTGGATGCCTTGATCAAGGACATGATCAAACAGGATGTTGCACGGAACAACCCGCATGGCAAGCACATTCGCTCTTTGAAGCGATTGGAAACTCGTGAGTCAACGATCCTTTGCTTTGTGCGAAAGTCTAGCATGTCAACAAAGGTTTCTTTCTTTCTTTTTTTTTTTTTTTTTTTTTTTTTTTTTTTTTTCACTTTGCGAGACCTTCACAAAACACCAACAGGGAATTTTCGAGGGGCAGAAGAGGGTTGGTGAGGGTTTGATGGCGCTTGTGACTGATGACTTGATGTGGTCTTTGGATAGCTGCTTCAGCCAAGAGCGAAGCCGCTCGGAAATCAAAGGCGGCGGCGGCTGCGTCACCTAAGCGCAGCGCAGAGCCCTCCTTGTCAGCAAAGTCGGCAAAAAAGAGCAAACTGGGCAAGCCCAGCAGCAAAAAGGATGGCACGCCTGTTTCTGCCTCGGCTACCGGGGCCTCGCCGCTCACAACATCCTTGATGAAGGTGGGGCTCTTTCTTGTTGCTTGCTCGTTGCGCTTTGATTGTAGACAGTTGCACCTGTGAATGCGTCGAGTGTCGTGAACGTGCGTGTGGGTTTGTAAGAGTTGCGTTCTGATGGCTTGTTAATTTGCACTTCCAGGAATGGCTCAAGCCCGTGGCGAAGGAGCTCAGCTCTCTCAAGGGCCAGGTGGATCATTTTGACATGGACCAGCATGGCACGGTGCGTTTGTGTCTATGACTCCCTCCCCCCTCCCCCTCCCCCCATGAATGAGCACCTGTGTGGCCGACCCTTTGCAGCGCGCATTGTATGATTGACTTCTTGGTGCATTGGGCCTGCTGATTAGGCCTTGGTCAAGGTTGGGCAGACGATTCACGACTTGCTTGAGACGAAGGTGGACTATGAAGTGGAGGTACTGAAAGAAGGTCTTTGGCAACACGTGTGCACCGTTCTGGGGACCAAAAAGTACAACGAAAAGTCACTACGCAAGCTCTATCGAACTGCCAAGAAGCAATGGGCGCAGTGAAGCGCCGAGCGCTGATGCGACCCAGGGCATTGGCATGGCCACGAGGGGCTCGTCCCCGACGCTCTCCTTCTGTCGTCATTTCCTCCCCTATGCCTGTCTCTGCTTGTTCTTGGCCTTGCGACCATTACGTCCGGTATCATCTTTCTGGATAGGAAGGTGCATACAGCTGAAGAGTGGTTGGTTGCCAGTCAATTTTTCCACTTTGCATGTCACGGGCAGATGGTCATGTTGTTGTGTTTCATCTTCTTTCTTGTTTCTTCATTCTTTTTTTCTGGGGAGGGCTTGCTTGCGGGAATCTTCCTTATGTACCCCAGATGTTTTTGTTTTTGTTCCCTTTTCCTGACGCGAGGGCCACGTGCTATGCAAGACCATCAAGCATTCGGCTGAGCCGAGTATTTTGATGGTCGGGCCACGTACTGCGTGGCAGCTTCGCCAGGCGTCGTGCCCATGTTTGACGCTGTTCCGGGGGCTGCAGTTTGGCAAGTGCCACTTCGATGGTCGCCATCCATTCCCCGCGTTCGTTGTTCAACGTGCTTGCATGCGTGCAGGCCTCCAAGAGGGCCTCATCGAAGCAGCAGCGGCCTTGGTGGAGAAGACCACGGAAGAGGGCCAAGACATGGTTCAGCGCCTGCCTGAGAGCGGCCTTTGCGTCATCGTCTATGGTGTGAAGCGCGTCTCTTGATGCATCGCTGTCAACGACTTGAGAGTTATTGGCGTTGTTATCGTTGTGGTCTTGGAAAATCGGGGCCAGGGCGTTGTTGAGTTGCGTCCAGACGTGTGTCAGGTCGTGTTGCAGGAAGCGCAACGTTTCATCTATCAGTAATTGAGGACCGAGGTCAGGCCATTGCAGAACGAGGGCTTCCAGTGTGGCTGCTACGGCAGTCGCGCGCGAGCCATGACTGGTCGTTGAAGGCCGAGACTCTGGCAGGATTGAAGCCAGGGTGCGCAGGCCGCGAAATTGCAGCCAAGCCAAGAGGTGTGCGGGCGGCTGCCCCCAGAGCCAGGCGGCTAGATCCGGGATGGCGCTCATGTCGGGATCAAGTGTGGCCTGCCGCGCACGCTTCATACATGAATGCAAGCCTGACACATCAACGCGTTTGGGATCCAGTGCTTGACACGTGACTGAGCTTAAGGTGAGACCGGGTTCCGCTTGCTGAATAGCAGCTATGATGTCGAAGAGCGAGTGCACCTGTGCTGCGGGCCAAATGTCCACGACTCCACGACAAGCGGGCTGAGTGAGCAGCCAAGGCGCGCCAGGTGTGGCTTGCCCGTCAATTTGCGGTGGTGACTCGGCAGCTATGTCGTCCCGTTTCTGAATTCGCAATACTAAGTATGGCCTTGTGGCACAGAGGGGCTCGAGCACAGGATCTGGGCGGCTCATGGCCTCGGCGTGCATCGCGATGAGTGCGAGCTGGTAGGGTGCTGCCGCCCAGGCGGCAGCGTGTGAGGCCTGTGCAAGGTCCAGATAGGCGGCTAAAAGACCAATGACGTGGCCAAGATCCACTGGGGGTTTCACGAGGTTAAGGCATAGGCAAGCGGGCGGCGGGACCGCTTCGGTGGTAGAGGAAGCTGCAGCCAGCTGTTCGGTTTGCCGCGCGCGGCGCTTTGAGGCGCCGCTTCCCATGTTTTAGGCTGGGGATGGTCCGTGTCGGTATGAACGCACAATGCGGACATGCGTGTTTGCCTACAGTCACCCCCCACTTCTTCACTCCGCACGTACACACGCACACACGCACACACGCACACGCGAGCGCATGTATGCATGCAGCCCGTTCGACGGTGGCGGTCGTCGAATGCAGGCTGATTGGTGGTTTATGAACGATGCTGGATCGTACAGAAGGAGATCGGGCTGGTATCAGGCCGGGGTCGAGCCAATTGATATCAGCGGTAGCCAAAAGGCCAATCTTTCACCTCTTCAGGGCTCTGTATGGCCAAGGACCAGCCAGGACCTCAGGCTCTGAGCAGCTGAGCGCCCTTCGACGGGCGGGGCGGGGGCGGAGTCCTCAAGCAGGAGCACAGCTCAATTGTCAGCATCTGTATCCAATGCCGACAACAGCTGTTGTATCCACCTGTACTGAATGTCAGACAATATGAGAAACGGCACTACAATTGGTCACTACTGCTTCCACAGGCAGCGCGGTAGCAAACACGTGGATCTCAAGCACGAGAGCGGTCCAAGGCAGAACAAAGGACAATACAAAAGAAGCAACAAGACAGAGAGAGAGCAGAGAGAGGGAGAACAGAGAGAGAGAGAGACAAAAGAGAAATGCGTGAGACAAAAGACATCTCTCTCTCTGCTCTCTCTCTCTCTCTGTGCTGCTCAGCCCTTTCACCATTTGATCTGATCCGGTTGTGATCGGCCTGCAACCGCGTAGCTTTTGCGCCTCGCCCTCCCGCTTTCCTTCTCCTCGCTTGCACAGACAGCGACCGCCATCATGGGTAAGAAGAAGGCTGGAAAGGCCCAAAAGATTTCCCTCTCCGAGTTTTTGGCCGACCACGATGCCCCCTCGTCGGACATCTCGCTTCCTTCGGCCCCGACTGCCCTTCATCAGGAAGTTGACATGTGAGTCGCCGGTTTCCGCTCGCATCCTCTGTCTCGTCGAGCGAGGGACCGGACTGAGCGCGCACAGCAATTGATCAGCTCGAGCTGGGTCAAATGCCGAGCGTACTGAGCTCTGCTGTTCCATCAGATGGTTGGAGCCGCCCGTACGCCAGGCAGGGGAGGGGTTAAAATGGCTGCAGCGTTCAAAGGTTGCAACTCCAAGCTTCATCTACTTCTCATCAATGTGTCCCTCGACCAATGCGGCCCACCTGAATGCCTTGTGCATTTTCAACATGCAGTGAGGATTTGCCCAAGTTTGGTCCCTTCAAGATTTTTGCCGGCAACCTTCCCTTTGAATTTGAAGATGACCAGTTGTTGAGGTTCTTCCAAGATTTTGAATGCGATGTCATCTCGGCATCTGTCGCCAAGTCGGGCGGCCGCACTCGCGGCTTTGGCTACGTCGAGCTTAGTAGCCGCACTGAAATGAAGAAAGCTCTTGACCTCAACAATGCGGTGCGACCATTCAAGACCTGGCTTCTCTCGCCAGCTCCAAGACTATGCAGCCTGCTCGTGGTCGGTTCTCGTTATAATCGCATGATGTTAATCTTTGCTGCTGGGTTCTGGTTGACATCTTTAGGAGCTGCCCGGTGGTCGTCGCATCAAGTGTGACCTGGCTGGTGGTAGCGGTGGTGCGTTGACGTGGCTCTCCTCGGACATTAACCTTCCAGTAAAATTGGCCTTTTTTTTTTTTTTTTTTTCTTTCCTGTGAATAGCGCTGATCGCGAGTTTGTCCTGGTGATGCAGACGATTCCGGTTTCGGAGGGCGCGATGGCTCCGGTGGTCGACCCCGCCTCTCTCTTCGTACGTTGCATTCATTTTTGCCTGGCCCAGCGACAGCTGTGAGCTCATGCGCCGTTACTCAACCACTGTTCGTACATGCATCACGTGCTCGTTCCTAGGCTCGGACGGCGCGAATGACTGGCGCACAGCCGAGAATAGCGATAACGCAATTGATCCTCGTGGTGATCGGTGCGGCATGCTTGCTCAGGCTAATTGCTCTTTATGTTTGCCCCTTATCCACCAACGATCTATACGCTCTTCGACCCGCAACATCGCCTGATGGCTATTCCTGCCTGGTGTGCCCCCCAACCCCCCTTCTTCCCAAATCTGAGTATAGTGGTTTTGGTGGTGGTTTCGGTCGTGATGATCGGGAACCTCGCCGCGGTGGCTTCGACGACTTTCGGCGCGAGGATATGCCGGCACGTGGTGCTAGCGGTTTTGAAAGCGCGCGCGGCCCTCGTAGCGGTGGCTTTGAGGATGCTCGTGGACCGCGCAGCGGTGCCTTCGAGGGCTTTAGCCGGGAGGACATGCCGGCTCGTGGTAGCGCGCCACCCCGCAACAATGAGCCCAGTGCTTGGCGACGGGCCGACGATGCCCCTCGGTATGTCGGACAAGCCTTGAGACTCGTGCCTGCAAAAAGGTTGCCATCGGCTGATTAATTCTCCCATCGCGCCGCGCGCCTTTTAACGATGCCTTTCTGCTTTGTCAAATGTTGCAACAGTGATGCCCCGGGCGCGAGTGCGCCGGCCATGCGCCCCAAGCTCAACCTGAAGCAGCGGGAGAAGCCCGTCGAGACCGGTTAGTGCGCCTCGCCGGCATGTTACCAAGGCAATGCGCAGGCTATCATGTCCTTTGACATGTTTCGACCTGCACCGATGACTCTCTCTTTCTCGATTTGCTGCTTGTGTTTACTCCTTGTGCTCAATGAATGGGCTCATACACTTATGCACTCACGCTTCGCGTTTCTTGCGCTTTGATAACAGAAGGCAGCGACTCGAGTGGCTCGAACAGTGCCATTTTCGGTGGTGCCAAGCCTGTGGATGCCAACCAGAAGATTCTCGAGATGGAGGCCAAGGCCGCGGCCAAGGCCCAACCTGAGCCAGGTATGTTTATTTCAACTGCAGAGCCGGACACCACAAAGAGTCTCTCCTTCCTCCAGTATCATTGGAGATGCCGGGGCCGCGTCTCTTCCGAGCCAGACGACTTAGTCTTGTATTTTTATTTTATTTTATACTTCCTTGCTTCCTCTGGCAGAACCCAAGGCACCAGCAGAGCCCAAGGCCAACCCTTTTGGTGACGCCAAGCCCGTGGATGCTAATCAGAAGCTGCTCGAGCTTGAGGTGAGTGTTTGTGTCTGACACAGAGGCCTTTCCTACATTTGCTTTCCCAAGGCTACCACGCTCTGCCTGCTTGGGATGCATTGATGATTGGTGCATACCGCTTCTGGTGACTTACCCGGTGCAACTCATCTCAGGCCAAGAAGAAGGCAGAAGCGGAGGCCCAGGCAGCCGAGGCCAAGAAGAAAGCCGAGGCCGAGGCCAAGGCCAAGGTTGCAGAGAAGAGTGGATTCGATGATTTCGTGCGTGGCAAGGGCCCTCGCGAGAACCCTCATGAGAATCCCCGTGAGGGGCCTCGTGGCGGTGCTGCCCGTGCCGGGCCTCGCGATGGACCTCGTCGGGAGGGCCGTGGCCCTCGCCAGGACAAAGAAAAGCGTGGCAATGCTGAGAAGAGCAGCAAGCCTCGCCGTCAGCCGCGTGCCCGTGCCGTGGAGGCTGATGATGCCGAGTTTGAGGGTGCTGAGGTGGAGAAGGAGATCACTGTGGATGCCATGCCGGATGTACCGCGCCCCATCTCCAAGGGTGAATCGCACATGACCAATAAGTTTGCTGGTCTCATCGTTGACAGCGACGAGGAGGAGGCTGAGCCCTCCGCCGGTGCCAACGAGTAAACAGGACTCCCGACGACTCGGCTTTCCAGCATCGTCTGTTCACTCCTCTTCCATGTTTGCATCGGGAACATCTGTTTGCGTTTTCCTCTCTGCACATGCCTTGACTGAAGCCCGTGGTCCTCGTTGAAGCTACGTCTTTGATACGCGACTGGGTCTAGCATCCCCATCCGATTGTGTTTCTCCTTGGGACGTTTGTGCGGATGTTGTTGATTGTGTTATTCCCGCTCTTTGTGATCGACTTTTGTGTCATTTCTGATCTGATCCCCCCCTTCCACTCCCGCTTTGCTCCTTTTTTCATCCGTTTTGTTTTTGCGCTTTTTCTTTCTGCTTTTTTTTTTTTTTTTTCCTTTCGAGTCTTGGATAAATCTTCCTTGGGTGGATAGGATATTCCGGCCGTTTTCCGCCTTCGCGAGACGTGTGCGTGTTTGGAAAGGCTGCTGACGTCTGACTTAGCTACTCTTTGCTTACATATTCTCCAGTCTTTCTTCTCTCGTGTGCGTCCGTCCCGTGACCGGACATCATGAATCTTTTTATGATTTGTCGGCGCAACGAACTCTCTTGCTAGACAACGCAAATTTAGCCATGTGCGGATGCTTGGTCCTTGCCAGACACGTCTTTTCATTGTCGTTTCCTCTTTGTCAGTAGATTGACAGGCATGGTGAAGGTGTGTTTGATGGAGAGTGTGGGCTCTTGACCATCCCCGGCCTTAAACAGCACACATGCATGGTATAACAGAAGGCAGATGATGTTTGTTCGATGATAACACTCATCAAGAGAGGGTATGCTACTTGTCTCTCAGGTCGCCAACTTGCGATCAAGGCAGGCGTCTGTAAAAAAAATAAAGGATCCACATGCACAACATGGATGGACCCGATGATTGGTATGGTGGAGGCAAAACAGCATGTAAAAGAAAAGAAAAGAAAAGAAAAAGAAAACGAAGAGAGTCAAAGGAAAGGGGACTAAAAGGTAGCAGAGCAATAAGCCACCCAGCAGCAGAGCGGCAAAACCATCAGGCGGCTCAGCCGTCAAACTCAATGCCCTGTGACCTTAACATCTCCACAAAAAGCTTGACACGCCCATGATAGGGGGCATCGCCGCGATCAAACTTGACCTTGGTAATACCAGATTCATGCAGGCGTTGTGCTGTAATGAAGAGCAGGGGGCTTCGAGTGAGCCAAGACCATCGATAGCCAAACTGAGTCGAGCTTCAAGCAGGGATGTGGGCCTCACCTAGTACCAAAGCCAGATTTTGTGCTGCTGCCTTATCAGCGTAGCCATACAAATGCCGCGCAATGTTATATTCTTGTGTACTAAGATTTTTTGGGGAGGTGGGGGGAGAAGAAAAAAAATCAAAGCGCGAAGAGGTGAGATGAGACTGGCAAAACAGGGGCGAGGGGCTGCAAAGGGAGCGACCAACGCACGTGGCAGTCAAGACAATGGTGCGGTCGGGAGTATCAACGGCGGCAGAGATGTGCTTGTTGGAGCGTTCAAGGCGTAGGCTGTGGGGTGGTGGCGATGGGCAAGAAATGGTAGACAAGGCCAAGAAGGTCAGGTGGCGAAGTGAAGCAAACCGGACATTTGGACGCTTCGCGTACCGATAGAAGAAGGCAACGTCAACATGGGAAGTGGCAAAGCCACCGGCCCGGCGCACAGCGCCCGTTAGTTGCGCGCTGCGCGGGTTCCTGTTCAAAACCTGAGAAAGCCGATGCAAATCCCGCCGATGCGGAGTAGGAGAACATTGAGCGCCACACCAGGATGTTTCATGTTTCCAGCACGACACAGAGAGGGAGAGAGGGTCGCAGGAGCGCGGTGACAACAACCGAGTCGGGCAGTCGACGAAAAATACCTTGAATTTGCCACATGTACTAGTGTAGTTGATGGTGCCCTCACGGTGCGTGGGGGCGGCGGTCGACGCCGCCCGAGACTGCGCTGCAAGCAGGACACTAGGCATGGGTCCGGAGAGGGCCATGTGGCGGGGTCCAGCTGCCACGGTTGACCGAAGTGTGGCCGTCATGGGTGCCAACATCCTGACAAAGCTTGCCTTGGCAGCCATCTTTGCCGCTCAGAGAACAAAGCCAAGCAAGGGGAAGAGAACTTTAATCGGCGCAGTACCGCGACTGTCGTATCGGCCACTTGCGCCCGCAGCCACCACCGGCGCCCCCCTGAGCTGCAACAAGGTCAAAACAGTAAGAAAAAGTAAGAGACAACAGGTGTCTCTTCTCCACTCACACACACACACACTCTCTCTCTCACATGTGCTTCTCGCTCAACGTTGAGTGAGAGGGGTGGTGTTACCAACTGTCACTCTCAAATCTTTCACACATGTCTCTCTGTTTCTCTCTTTTTCCCCCTCTGTCTCATGTGGTGTACTTTTCCTTTGTGTCTTTCTCTACCAAACCAATCTCCCTCTTCTCTCTTTCTTTTCTCTTTCTCTCTCTCCTTCAAGTATTTTGGTTGACAACAGGTGTTGTGAAGACGACAGCCCTGACGACGACCAAGTCAAACGCTGCTGCTGCTGCTGCTGTGGCTCGGCTCGTTCAAAGTTGAAAACAGAGGCGAGGTCCGTGGCTGGAATCGGCCGTTTGTTGCCGGCTGCCTCTGGTCGATCGGGGCCTTAATTTGAGGTTACAGCACGGGAAGCGGGGCGGCGGGGCGTACCACTTGAGCGCTGGTGGCCGCCGCTTCCTTGTGTGACCGCAAAGAGTCAGAAGCGAGGCGAGCATCGATTCGGTCACGTTGGGAACTGCGTCAATCGCCAGCGGCGTCTGTACAGGCGCCATGGCCGCGTCCGTGCAACCGCAGCACCCTCAGCAACCTGTAGCTCCCGAAACAACCGATACTGAGACGCGTGGATCTATTCCTTATCGACTCGATGCCAGCGGTCGGCTGGTGAACCATAGCTTTCTTGGCACCGCCCGAGATTTGAGCAAATTTACCGAGGTGCGCCTCATGCATCCTGCGACAGCCAACCTATGCTCTTTGCCACCCTCACCGACAAGTGTGTCGTCCACAGATGCCCGAGCCACGCGTACCGACCCCTCCGAAAGCTGGTACGACTCACCTCGTCGATGGTGCCAGAATCTCTGCTCCTGGCCAGGCTCATGCCGTGCACCCCCACCTTCCCGCCCGACATTGTGCAGACAAGGCAGGGCGGCGGCCACGTCGTTCGCGCTACAGAGCTGAGCCCATAGATCGCGAGGCACGCTCTCTCAATCACTGGGATGCCACGCTGAAGGAGTGGTCGCGCCAAGAGCGTCACATTCGTGAGCGCACCGGTCAGGATGGCGCCACCCTCAACATGAATTCCCAGGACCTTGTACGCAGCAGTTACAACAAAAGGTTGGCCGCACTCATCCGCAGGCCCTTGCATGATTCTTGCAAGTTGATCCTGAGAAGCGCGCCCGTCAACGCCACTCACGTTCACACCATTTGGTTGAGTAGGGAACAGCTGGAGCGTGCCATGCCTGAGCTGGAGACAGGGAAGGGATTTCGCTATAAATCGGAGTTTTGGCAAGAAATCCCCGTGTCGAAATCGGGCCTCAATTTTACCTTGTCCAAGGTAGGAGCACGCGCCGGCGCCGGCGCCGGCTTGTCACTAGATTGATGCACCGCCCTCACGCAATCGCTCTGGCCTAGGCTCAACGTGGTCAGCACCCGGAGCTTGAGTATCAAGGGCGGCCCTCCATCATCGACCGAGAGGTGGGCCATGGCCCCGCTCGGCACCCAACACATAGCTGGATGGACCGATCCCAATACCTCCATGAGCGCGAAACCCAGCTCGAGTCAAATTTTGATGATTTTCAACGCCTTGAGCCCGACTATCGCAAGTTGTACATTCGTGGCGAACCAGCCGTCTTTGGTTCCGCGCCCAGCTCGGCGCCAACCGAGGAGGATGACTTGCTTCTTGGCCTTGCCCAAGATGACGCAGACATGGAAGACTTTGCCAGCTATGAGCAGGCCCTTGACGATAAGGCTGCCCAGAGCGGTAAACCGTCAGAAGCCGATGCTTCCGGCATCCAATCGGTTGACCCTCTGGTGGAAATGTATCCATGTGATCCTGATGAGCGAGCTCATCAGCCCAAGCGCTTTTTTGAAGGCTGTCGCGTGGTTTTTCATGCCCACTGCAAAGAAAAGGTAACCAAGGCCATAGAACTTCGCAACGTCGGCAACACGGTCGTCTATTTTCAATGGCATCGCTCTGAGCGCGACAACGCCCTTGGGCGTCACGAAGATGACATGCATCGCTTCTTTCTCGACTGTGAAAGCGGTGCGTTCGTGACTTGAGCAATGCCCCTCTTTGCATCATTGCCTCCGTCGCCACCCACTCCCGAAGTGGGCGCTTCCTTGCGCTTGGCCTCTGACCGTGTCTTGACGTGGCTGTATGCCAAATTTGTAGGAGCCATCTTGCCCAAGGAATCGCGCATTCTCACTGTAGCCTTTGTGAGCTCCAAATCGGGCGTCTTTTCCGACGAATGGCGCCTACTGGTTCAGCCAACCATTGGGCATGCCTATCTGACTCTTGAGCTCTGCGGTGTCACAAAGCAGCATGATCCACAAAAGGCCGTGCGTGAAGCTCAAGAGACTCGCTTGGCACGCCGTGCTATGGAGCGCAGCCTTCGTTGGCTGGTAGAGGACATCGTATCTCGGTACGGCCCCAAGTCTGTCTGGTGGCTGCACTCTGCGTGCTGCCTGCATGCTTCTCATGTTTTGAAATTGGGTACATGGCTTTTGATAGGGTTGACAAATCGAATGGGCGCCATCTGCGAGTATCCTTGACTTCAAGCAGTGCAGATTCCTTTGCCCGGATCAATGAGTCACTGGTGTGTGCGTGCGTGTGTGCGTGTGTGCGTGCGTGTGTGCGTGCGTGTGTCCGAGCATGCCTGGAGACTTGGCTTTGCCCATGTTGACACGTTGACTCCTGAGCAGGAGGGGCGCCTGCTTGCTTTGATAACTTGGGTATCATGGGACATTGTTTTGTACAATCTCGGTTCTTCTGCACTCATGCCATTGCAATGTGACAGGGACAAGGCTATCATGCCGAGGTGGAGCTATACCTGAATCAGCTCTTTGACGCTGTATGGACCCATATTCATGACCGAGACCGTGAAACAGTCCAAACGTCGCAGTCAACATCACGTCCCAAGCGCCGGCAGGTCGCTGAGGTGGCTGCTGCGCCCGACGCTAGCGCGCCAGTCGCCCCGGCGCGGCCCAAGTGGACTCGGTCCTTGACCGAGCTCTTCGAGGTGGGTGGGCCTTCCGTTCTCTCGATAAGAAATGCCTTGCTCCCTGCGAGGCGCGTTGTTTGACCTTTTAGTGTGCACGTTGTCAAACTTTGATGATACGCGATAAAACGACTCATCTTTGTCGCTCGAAAATATCATGTCCTGTCGTAGCTCATTCAGACAGTGCTCGAGGATGACGCTCGTGAAGGCTTTCTGAGCGAGTATTATCGGCTTGTGGATGGCATGCAATGTCCGCCTCAGCCCCAAAATTTTCTTGATTCATTTCGTCTTGGGTGCGTGTCAACGCCATGCATGCGTGCCAGAAGCTTGCTCATTTCCCTGTCTTTGCCCTTCTCACCTTGCCCCTTGACCTTTCTTTGTGTCTCTCGGGTTGCTCGGGTGACTTTGCGTCTTGTAAACTGATTGCGCAGACGACAAGTCGTCGTGGAAAGTCTGGATCGATTTTCGACCATTGCCTTTGACGTGCGCACGACCATGGGACTACCAGCCCGACAGTTGACCGAGCAGGAGGTTGCTGCCACCAAAGGTCAGCCGGGCCGACCAATTGAAGCGTATAGCCACCTTAAGCTTGCCCTCGATCGGAAGTTGCTGGTGCCCTCACGATGGTTGTGCTGCACAGGCGTACGTAAGGAGTTGCGTGTCAAGTCGGCCACACGCCGGACACCGAGTGCAAGACTCCGCAGTGCCCAACCCTCTGAGCCTAGCGTTGAAGAGGCGTTGCCTACTCCGACGGTCAACTCTGCAACCTATGCCCGCTATCATGCCAACCTCAGGCTCATGGTGAGCTGCTGGCAACTGACGTGCCGTGGACACTCATACACCACTCAGCGATCTGATCTCACCCTTGCTCCGTGCGCTCGTTGTCTCTTCCGGTCCTGTTTTACAGGCACGCGACATTGTGTCGGATATGATCATCAAGCTGGCCGAGGCCGTGGAGGTGTCGCGCCAGCAACCTGCACCCTGATTCTCGTGGCACTAGAGCTCCGTGGCGCGCGCGTTGTCGCTATGAATAATTGTGTTGGCCTCAACTTGTTCGATGGTGCATCTCTTCGGCTTGTGTTATGCTTCTGTTGGCACCTTCCTTCTTCCTAAACGACTCGATAGCATAATGTGTCTGGCCTGCAAGCGTTGAGTTTGATGTCAACGTGGGAGGGGTCTTGTGTTGCTCAAGCAGCCATCACAAATTGCAATCATGCCTACTCAAATCGTTTCAGCACTCGATTCGACTCTGTTCGGTTTATCACGCTTCGCCGAGTCCACTGCCAGGCACCCGGCAGGGCACTCTCAAACCAGTGGCTTGCGGGCTACAAAAAAGACTGCGCGATAAGAATTTTGTAGCATGCTGCGTGGATGGTTCATGTACGGCACAGGCACGTCTCGCTCCTCGAGCTGAGTGCATGAGAACTAGATGAGTCATGGCGCCCTCACTTCTCCCCGACCCAGCTCCCAGCAGTGCCGATGAAACTTGGGGCCTGGCGAGGTTGAGGAGTCTCGGCTTGGCTTACCTCGATCTGAAAGCCCGTGGTGAGAAGGACCTCTCGCAACTCCTCCCAGGTGAGCTCAATTGACATCTCCTGAACATGCCAAACAGTGTGTGAGGCAGGATCACAAGCTGGAAGGGGGAAGGGTTGAATTTGTCGCTTGATGCAGCCGACATAACATACATCGCGTCGGTCCTCAAAATGGTACAGCAATGGGCCAATATTAAACAAGTAGCCGCCCGGCTTGAGGATTGCAAACATGCGCTGTGTGGGTCCACTGTGGGTGAGACTGGCTCAATCCGACAAGCCGTAGGTGGCTTTGACACACATGAGAACTGAGTCCTCCCATCCGTGCAAGCAGCCAAATACCTCAATGAAGCCAATGATGTTTGCGGCACAATCAAGGAAGAAACAAGACACAATGCCATCCCAGCTCGCCTCGGCTGTGTAAGATTCCAGAAAGTCGCCAGCTGTCATTGAAAAGTTGGTTTCGGCTGGGATGGCGCTCACGTCCACGTCTGGGATGGCCACGCTCAGCAGCTGACGTGGTATCGAGGAAGCGCTTTGCAATGAGAGTCATCACCGATTTGCAAGCGCCCCCTCAACTCATTTACCCCCCGCCTTCACCCCATGCACAATCTGTTCTTCCCCCACTTGCATACCTGATCCTCAGCTGCGACACAGTTGGAATACATGTGGGCAAAAGGGAAAACTGGGATGGCACCACGCTGCCCTCCGAGGCAGTTGAGCACGAAATTGGACGCAAAGAGCATGTAGGCGCTCCATTCGTTTCCTTGACTGGAGTAGCCTCGGTGAGCCAGCTCCCATGGAAGCCGACCAAGCCCGCAACCCGGTACCAAAAGCGAGACCTCACTCTTTCTACCATGTCAGCACAGCGGTAGCAGATAGGAGTGTTCACCAGCAGTCCCAATGAGCCTACTAGCATTATCAATCAGGGGCAAGCGAGCAAGCACGTCAAAAGGATTGATACTTTGGTGCGTTGGCAAAAGCCTTGTCCACCGCATCTAACAGGCGACCATAGCTGTGGTCCCGTTCGCTTTGACCCTATGTAAGAGGAACAGGCCCAATCAGCCGGGCAGTTCATAGTGGAGAAGTGTGGAGTGTGGGCACCGTTGCTTGCAGCAAGTGGTCAAGCTCAAGTGCACAGCCTCGGCCTTTAAACATCAATGCCGATACACCACACCATGGCAACCCGGCACACCCCACCTCGGCTGACCAATCGCGATAAAACTGCTTGATGGTCGTATAAACTTTGTCCATTTCAAAATCGGTCGGTGGTCCGTCTGGTTGGGGTGCGGTGTTTGGAGGATCAATCTGCACACCAGCGGAGTGATCATGGGAGTGATGCCCAGACGAATGTCCAGAGTGCTCAAGTTGCTGTGTTGACGGTGCCCCTCCTTCGTTGGACGAGGCTCTCTGCTGGGAGACCACGGCTTCTCGCAAAGCCTGTGCCGGGGTGGCGACTTGGGCCTCCGCCTCGGCAGGATCAAAGAGGCCAGATTGAATGGCGATGGTTTTCACCAGTCGATCATTGGTGACGATGGCATCCTGGCTAATGCGCCGCAGCTTGCGAATGAAGGTGGACACGCGAGCCTGTTGAGAGCGCGGTAGGCTTCGATAGCTGTTGCGCGCGCGCATGACCCGCGCCATGGCATGCGTGCTGTAGTATTGCAGGCAGCGTGCCACGCGACGAAAATGCGCCTATCACAAGGGGGTCACAGAGGCAAGCCGTGAGGTACGCGCAATGACCCAAACTCGCCGCACGAACGAGCCGTGTGCCACAAGCTGCAGGGCAGGGCAGTGCAGCTCACGGGTCACACACACCTCCTCTTGAGCTTGTTCGTCTGCATCCATGTTTGAGATTTTGATTTTGATTTTGATTTTTTTTTTTGAGAAAGTAAAATACAAAAAGTGTAACGGTTCAACAGTTGGATGTTGGCCGCTGTTTTGTGCGGTTGTCCCCGTATTCACCTCTTCAGTGACGTGGGATGGCGTGCATGATGGGATACCAAGCGCTTGTTTGCGGTGAACACACCGCTTGGGCTTTTGGTTACCTTCCTGATTCGAGCGCCGCTCCAAAACTCCAATGTGAAGAGAAAGTGATGTAGATAAAAGTCCATGAATTGAGTTAGAGGATTTGGGGGAGGGGGGGGGGGGGAGACACGGCGCAGCCGTGAGCGGAGGAACATGGGCACGACAAAAGAGTGGGCAAGAGCAAGGCCAAGCCAAGATGTTGGCCGTGGGACAAAGGTACACGAGCAAGGCCTATTTGAATGCCTGCTCAAGTGAAATGCTGATGGAGGGTGGATGCGGGGTTCTTCAGGTTTGAGAGCCGCTGCGCTTGATGGGAGAAGGCGTGGCGGGTGCGGAAATGCTGCGCGTGCGGGGCGGCGTCGCAGGTGCCAGGGTTTGACTACTCCGCAAATCTGCGATAGGGCTGATGGGCGAACTACTACGGGAGTCGCCAGCTCGCGCATCATAGGCGCCCGGTGGCGGCGAGCGTCGGCTGCGCGCACTTCCTCGGCGACTCGCAACGGGCGTAGAGAACTCCACCATGGGCATGGCAAGGCCGTTTGTCTCCATGGCAAAGCTGTCTTGGCTACCGTTGCGAAAGGAGGGGTGGGCAGTCCCATGGACGCCATTCTCGCCCTCTTGCACGGTGGGCAGACGGGATACGGACACAAAGCCTTGCCAGACAGCAAAGCGCTGAACCAGACCAGTGCTCTCAAGGTTTTGCACGTGTTGATCAGTGAGCTGTACAAAGCGGAGCCAGCCCTGAACGTAGCAAAACCCGACGGCAAGACCCATAACGTGGCACCAGAATGTGGCGGAACGAAAGAGCAGCGAGAGCAAGAGCAGGACGGGGGGCATGATGGTGATGGGCAGCTCTATGGCCGGGCCGATGCTGATGCGAGTCCTTTTCACGATAAGAGCAACCAACCAAGCCCACCGGTGATGAGATGGCGCCGCCATATCAAAGCAGCGACAGCAGACAGGGTGATGCAGACGATGGCCCAAATGCAAAAAACAAAAAAGAAAACGTACTGGGCGGTGAAGCTGTAGACCCAGATGACCATGCACGCGAGAACGTTGCCGGAAAAGCCAGTGGCACAGCCGTACCAAAAGGATGAGTCTTCACCGTAAAAGATGGCAGCAATGCCCGTGAGAAAGAGGTAGTAGAGGCCCAGGAGAAGAGTGACGACGAGGAGCAGGTATGCAAAACGAAAGCTGCCCAAGTCCTTTTCAAGCTGAGGTGCCACCATGATGAAGGCGCAAAGGTTAAAGGCCAGGTGGAAAATATCCCCATGTATCAAGGAGAATAAGAAGAGTCGTTGCACTGTGGAGGCAGGCATGGCAGCATGCGCGCAGGTGAGGCAGGGACAGAAAAGGGGGTGTTGCGCGTCGTTTGATGTTGAAATAAAAAACGACAACATATTCACGTTTCAAGCAGATAGTGCGTGCATGACTAAGCGAGTTGGCCTGGCTCATCCTGTATGTTTTCAGTTGTGGTAATCCAGCCCAGGGGCCACATTGGGATGGACGTACACTGGAGCTGCATGACGACTTTGAAAGGGGTGAGGCAAAGGAGTGTCAGCAAGGGGCTGAATACTTTGCTGACCAAGTAGAACCCCAGGATGAGAAGCCAAACGCTCCTATTCGGACAAGGCGCGGATAGGCAGGTCAACTCCGCTGTGCCGATGAATCATGTGTCAAGACTTGTAGCTTTGGCCTGTTGGCTGGGAGGGGGGCTCACTACGAACGCCAATCCGCAGACACATACTTGGTCACAAGAGGCAGAGACGCCAAGAAGGCATGCAGAGTGTATAAGAGCGCCATGTTCACGGAGCACGGAGCACGGGGCAAACGTCGCGGGGCGAGTGATCTTCTAGATGAGCCGCAACAGTATTGGCGGGTGGGAAATGGAAGTGATGATTGAGAAATTGTTATCAGGGCTGCAATCGCAACGGCATCGGTTTGCTCGGGTCGGTCTTGGTCGGCACTCGTCAAGTGTATGCCTTAAATGACTCTGCCAGTTGCGGGAGAGGTGCAGCACAGTTCACCTGCGGCCATAGATGTACACACCGTTTTTTGCTGATCAAGGCTCGCGCTCCCTGCACGCAAGTGCGTGCAGGTGAGAATTGTGCGGCACCACGGTGCGAATATAGCCTGCTGATGGACCCGTGTCCAAACCCACTGTTCAAACGATCAATCGAGTGACAGCGGGCCAACTGACAGGCAGGAAGAGCCGCAAGAGGGGAGACGAGGCCAGATGGCCGCCCCTGTGTGAATGGAGGCCACACAGCAAGAAAGAAGCAAGAGAAAGGGGAAAAAGGCGTTCAGGTTCAGTTGAAACAAAACATGGAGCGACCTTCTTTTTTTTCTTCCTTTGTTGCCGTTTTTTTTCTGCTTCTGTCACGGCTTTTGGAAGTGTGAGCGCGTGCATCTGCAAGTGGCAGTCCTTGACTGATGATTGCACTACGTGCAATGAGTGTCTTTTGGCTGCTGTTTTCTCTTTTGATGCGGGTGTCGTGTTCAAGACGCGAATCAAAAGTATTTTTTTCAACTTTTGGAAAGAAAAAAGAAAAGAGGGAGCAGTTGCTGTTGCAAACAACGAGTTTTAAGCGAGTAGAAGAAAGGGCAGAAACGAGTGGAATCAGGGAAGAAAAAAGGCATCCCACGAGCACTAAAGGCAGCAAAGTACACGCACATCAACGCCAGCGAAGAGCCAAAACTAAAAAAAGCAGGCAATCAGGGAAACAAGCAAAGGAAGCAGGCTCGACATCCAATGGCGGCGGCGACAAGTAAAAGAAAAAGGAAAGGACGACGAATAAACGAGGCCAAAAGAGCCACAGGGATGATTGCAGGGGCCAAGGACGCCGCAAGGGATAAACAGGACACCAAGCTTAGATGAGGTCAGCAATGTTCATGGGCATCTCCTCGATGCTAGTCGAGTAGAAGGACTCAATGTCGCGCATGACGCGCTGGTCGTCGGCGGTGACAAAGTTGATGGCAACACCCTTACGACCGAAACGACCGCCACGGCCAATACGGTGAATGTACTGCTCACGGCGGGTGGGCAGGTCAAAGTTGATGACCAGGGAAACCTGGTGCACATCAATACCACGGGCCAACAGATCGGTGGTGATCAGGACGCGAGAGCTGCCCGAGCGGAACTCGCGCATGATGACGTCACGCTCAGCCTGCTCCATCTCGCCGTGAATGGCAGAGACGGTGAAGTCACGGTCACGCATGGCGGTGGTGAGCCACTCGACTTTGCGGCGAGTGTTGCAGAAGATGCACGCCTGGGTGATGGTCAGCGTCTCGTAGAGATCGCAGAGGGTGTCAAGCTTCCAGTCCTCACGCTCAACGTTGACGTAGAACTGCTTGATACCATCAAGGGTGACCTGCTCCTTCTTGACAAGGATGCGGATGGGGTCGCGCATGAACTTCTCGGTCACCTCCAGGACCTCCTGGGGCATGGTAGCCGAGAGAAGGACGGCCTGGATGTCAGAGGGAAGAAGACGGAAGATGTCGTAGATCTGGTCCTTGAAACCGAGAGAAAGCATCTCATCAGCCTCATCCAGAACGAACATCTTGATCGTGTCGGGGTTGAGCGCACGACGGGAGATGAGGTCCGAAACACGACCGGGGGTACCGACGATGGCATGAACGCCAGTCTCGAGACGGCGCATGTCCTCGGCAACCGAGGTACCACCGATGCAAGCCATGACCTCAGCGCCCATGTACTCGCCAAGGGCCATCATGACCATGTGGCTCTGGTTGGCCAACTCACGAGTGGGGGCCAGGATGAGGGCCTGGCACTCACGCTTGGTGGTGTCAATGTTTTGCAGCACCGAGATGGAGAAAGGAAGCTCTCGGCGATCTTGTCCCAGTTGGACTCGATAACGCCATCGGGCTTCATACCAGCGGGTCCATCGTCACTATCCCAACAACAAACACCACATCATGCTGTGAGATGTGCGGAATGTGTGCAGCGCATACAGCGAGCATGCGATCTTTGACAACGTGCTTCTCATCGGGGAAAAAAAACGCAATGCCAGCCCTCGCTCTCAAGAGAAAAAAAAAACGTCAAAAAGCAATTCCACCAGATCCGTATGCGCCCTCACTCGGCCTGGGTCTGCCCTCTCCTGAATCGCCCAAGCTTTTGCATGCCAGATCAAACAAAACAGAACGCCTCCGTCCGCCAAACATGGCCAACATGGTGCAGCCAGCTAGCCAGCCGGAAGCCTTGTTCTGTGCGCGCTCGTCTCGTCTCGGGTCGCGACCCCTTGAGCGCTGCAGCATTCGATACCGATATGCGGGCGCGATGCGCGAGGGGGTCTTTGACCAACTTAAGCGACGAGACGAGGCCACGATGCCCCAAAAGCCCAAAGCCCATCCCTGACACGGCCTCGTGCTCAGGCGGACGAAGGAAGAGCGCCGCACAAGCGCCGAAGAACGGTAACGCAAGAATGAACCCCCCAAAGAAAAAGGGCAGCTGGTCGACTTACGCTGACATATTGGGGGTGAGGGAAGGGTTTTGATCCGGTGATGAAAAGGAGATCAGAAGGGTTGCACGAGGCAAAAAACGGGAAAAGGGCAGCGGGGGAAGGAGCTTGAAATGACACGAGGGCCAGAAAGAGAAAAGTGGATGGTGGTGTGGCGTGCCCCTCTTGATCGAGCCACCTCTGATCCACACTTGACATGCATGCCTAAAGGTTGTCAGGCTTCTAAAAGCTATACACCTGCATGCACAGCTTCAGCGGCTTTGCTGGTGTTGCGTTGCACGCGTCGTCGCTGACTTTCTCTCTCTCTCTCTCGTAAAGGGGAACACGCGGGCATGGCCTCGTGGGTCGGTGGAACGGCTACTTGGCGTCTACGCTATCATTTTAGTCATAAAAATATACGCAATTTCATTCAGTCCATATGTCAGATTTTATCCGGCCCAAGGTGAGCAAGCAAAAAGCATCGGCAGCAGCAGCAGAAGACAAAGGGGGCTATCTTTGGAGACTCCCCCCTTGCATAACAAGTGGACTGTTGAGTCAAATTCTTTGTGTTTTTTTTTGTCTCCCATTACATTTGGTTAAAAAAAAAAAAAAAAAGGATGGTCGACTGAATCAGATTCGGGTTTGCCAAGACTGCTCGGCAGTAGCATGGCGGGGAACGAAAGACGGTTGCATATGAGATGACAAGGCTGATCGGGTTGAACCTTGGCAGGCTCCAAGGAGAAAAGGGGATAAACGAGCCAGCACGGAGGCTAAACTCGGTAGAGGGGGACCAAGCCAAGCAGCGAGAGACCGTGAGCAAGCGCGCAGCGCGCAGCAGCGTAAACAGCGAGGCGGGCTTGAGCCACGGGTGCGGGCTGCCCCTGTACGTAATGGGCAGCATGGGCAGCGTTGGCAGCTCGAGCGATGCGTAGGACCTGCTGAAGAAGGATGGAGGGATCCAAGTCCTCAGCAGCCTTGACGACCGTTGGCTCAAGCTTGCTGACCTCAAAGGCGAGCGCGTGCATTTCGTCGTCAATCACGTGCGTGAGCTGCAGATCGGCGACCGAGATGGCGCCAGTATCGAGCCCACTTTGACGCTCCAATGAGGCCAGGCGCGCGTGGGTGTACTGCAACAAAGTACCCGTGTCGCCGGTCGTGGAGAGCATGCGCTGCCAGTGAAACTCGTAGTCCTTGTGACGACGCGCCCGCAGGTCCTGCACCACGATGGCGGACAGTGCCAGCATTTGGGTCGTGCCAGCTTGATCATCCAGTTCACGTAATTTTTGGGGATTCAGGCTCAAGACCTGGCTCATGTGAAACTCAGTCTCTCGCAGTAGATCGTCCAGAAAGACGACCGTGCCCTGCCGCGTGCTCATGCCCTTGATCAAGCCAAAGCCCACGTGTTGTAACCCAGTGGCCACCTCCGACCGGCCCATGGCAGCGAGTAGCGCCTGCAGTTGCTTGAAATGCACGTCCTGGGCTCCGCCGGCCACGTAAATGGTTCGATCAGGGCCCTCGGGTCGCGCCGCACGCTCGAGTGCAGCGGCTAAATCCCGCAATAAATAGGTACTGGAGCCATCGGCCTTTTGCAAGACACAGGTGGGGAGGTCGGCAAAGTCCGCGACCCACGCACCATGGTCCACGCGCGCCCCGGGCAGGGCTGATAGGCGGTCACCAAGCGAGCGCGCCCCGGGCACGTAGTTGGATTCGCCCTCATAAGCATCAAAGCGAACATGTAAAGCACGATAAATGTGCTCGTAGGCGTCGATGCTGTCAGAGCGCAGTGCTCGCCATCGATTCAGCAAAGGGTGCTGCGCGTCACCGGCAACCAGGGCTTGTTCCAGCTCGCGATGCAGATCCCGAGCCCGCTGCAGGATGGTTGGGTCGGCCTCAGCGGCCTTGTTGGCAGCCACGTATGCACGGAAGAGGTCATGTAGGCCGGGTGGAGCGTTGGAACCAGCACTGGAACCAGCGCTGGTGGTGCCATCACTGGCCAGCAAGTCTTGGCCGATCATGACAAGGGCGAGCTGGCGGCCCCAGTCGCCGAGATAGTTGATGGCCGTCACGCGTTCCCCAGTGGCCTCGAGGATGTTGCGAAGGGCGTTACCGATGATGGTGCTGCGCAGGTGCCCCACATGAAAGGGTTTTGCAATGTTGGGGGAGCTAAACTCGAGCAACGTGTGGCGGGCCGAGTTGGCAACATCTGGGGTGGTGCACCGGTACTGCGGCAGCAAAGGCGTGGTGCCCTCGGTTGGCAGAGGCACATGATGGGGAGTGGCAGCCTCGAGCGCCCATCGAGCAAGCTGCGTCCGATCAACATGTACGTTGACGACGGGGCCGCGGACCTGGGTGTCAGCCCAGTCCAAATTGAGATTTTGGTGGATGCGCTGCGCCAAAGCAGCGGCCTCGGTGGCAGCTGTGCCGCCAGCTTGGAGCACGAGCGGCACCTTGATGGCCACATGACCTGGTGGGGGAGCCCAATATGGTTGGCGAGCGTCAGGCTCGCGGCGGGATGGCGAGGAGCGAGGCAGCAGGGAAAGCAGGCCCAAAGAGCTGAGGCGGCAGGCGCACCTTTGCGGTAGTCTTGATTGACATGAACACCGACGGCGCACGTTGACGCGGGAAGATCAAGCAGCGGTGCCAAGGCCTGGGCCAGCCGATTCCGAATGAGATGAGCCATCCCTGAACCACAGACCGGGCTGGGCCGGAGAAGAGAGTCCCACGATGGCCGTGCAACAATGCCGATAAAAAAAATCTTAACATCCGGATGTAAAGATGTTATCAACACCACCTTGAGTGTTCCTGACAGTGGACACAGGTCTTTCATGCTCTTTTTCAAGTTGAGTGTTTTGGCCTTTCTCTTTTTGTGAGTGTGAGGTGATATGATGACCCGAATGCGAGATGCTTTTCATGTTCGTGCTTCCGTGTTGAGATGTGTGTTTGAGAAGGAGGGGACAAGATGGTTTAATTTCACTTCAGTTAAGGGTCAATTGAACAATAGACAAGGAAGCAAGGCAGAAATCAACCAGCCCGCATCAAGCCAGGAACAAGGCAGATGGAGAAGACGCTTAGTACTCCTCAGCACCCTCCTCATCCTCACCGCCGAGGGAGTCGATGCCGACCTCTTCGTAATCCTTCTCGAGGGCAGCAAGATCCTCACGGGCCTCGGAGAACTCACCCTCCTCCATGCCCTCACCGACGTACCAGTGGACGAAGGCACGCTTGGCGTACATGAGGTCGAACTTATGGTCAAGGCGAGCCCAGGCCTCGGCAATGGCCGTGGTGTTGCTGAGCATGCAGACCGAGCGCTGGACCTTGGCGAGGTCACCGCCGGGGACAACGGTGGGGGGCTGGTAGTTGATGCCAACCTTGAAACCAGTGGGGCACCAGTCGACGAACTGGATGGTGCGCTTGGTCTTGATGGTGGCAATGGAGGCGTTGACGTCCTTGGGGACGACGTCACCACGGTACAGGACGCAGCAGGCCATGTACTTGCCGTGGCGGGGGTCGCACTTGACCATCTGGTTGGCGGGCTCGAAGCACGAGTTGGTGATCTCGGCAACCGAGAGCTGCTCGTGGTAGGCCTTCTCCGCCGAGATGATTGGGGCGTAGGTCACCAGGGGGAAGTGGATACGGGGGTAGGGGACCAAGTTGGTCTGGAACTCGGTCAGATCGACGTTGAGGGCACCGTCGAAGCGGAGAGAGGCGGTCACGGACGACACAACCTGGGCGATGAGGCGGTTCAGGTTGGTGTAGGTGGGGCGCTCAATGTCGAGGTTGCGACGGCAGATGTCGTAGATGGCCTCGTTATCCATGAGGAAAGCGCAGTCGGAGTGCTCGAGGGTGGTGTGGCACGTCAGGATCGAGTTGTAGGGCTCGACGACGGCGGTGGACACCTGGGGAGCGGGGTAGACGGCGAACTCAAGCTTGGACTTCTTGCCGTAGTCAACCGACAGACGCTCCATGAGGAGGGAGGCGAAACCAGAGCCGGTACCACCACCGAAGGAGTGGAAGATGAGGAAGCCCTGGAGACCAGTGCACTGGTCAGCCAGCTTGCGGATGCGGTCAAGGACAAGGTCAACAATCTCCTTGCCAATGGTGTAGTGACCACGGGCGTAGTTGTTGGCGGCATCCTCCTTGCCAGAGATGAGCTGCTCGGGGTGGAACAGCTGGCGGTAGGTGCCAGTGCGGACCTCATCGACGACGGTGGGCTCGAGGTCGACAAAGACGGCACGGGGAACGTGCTTGCCAGCGCCGGTCTCCGAGAAGAAGGTGTTGAACGAGTCATCACCAAAGCCAATGGTCTTGTCAGAGGGCATCTGGCCATCCGGCTGGATACCGTGCTCAAGGCAGTAGAGCTCCCAGCAGGCGTTACCAATCTGGCAACCGGCCTGGCCGATGTGGACGGACAAAACTTCACGCATGATGGCGGTTGGCGGGTGGGGTTGCTGAAAGCAAAGGGGGCGAAAAGACGCTTGTTATGAGCGACTTCCCGAGGGTAAAAAATGCCTGATGCAGCGCCATCGATCGAACATGAATGGTTTTCGGGCAGGCGGGCGCCGCAGCTAACGTTGGTTAAGAAGGCAAGGCAAGGTCGTGCTGCGGTGAAAGGGGGACTAAGGGGAAACAACGATGAAACACAAGGGCGAGGGGGGTGGTTGCCAAGGTGGTCGTTAACGTTGGGGGCAGTTTGGTGAGTCATTCAGGTGGGGGTTGTGTTGGGTTAACGTGGAAGGGGCTTCTTTTTGATGCAAGGGGCAAGGCGAAGGGGCTTAGCGGTTGGGGGTCGGTGGGACTTGCGTTTGTTTGTGTTTGTTCACCTTTGACTTTGCTTTGTTTCCATGGTGGTGGATCAACTTTGGCTCTTGGGCTTGCTTGGGAAAGAGGTTGTCAAGTTGCGAAAATTCGACTATCAAACAACCAAAGTTTTTTCAAAACCTCGTCGACAATCGCTCGGCTTGCAAGCTAATGTTGAAAACTCAATCGTTTTTCACCTCTGCCCCGTCTCAAACTTTTCTGGCCGATCAACAGCTGTTCTGGATTGTTTCGTTTCATTTCGTCTTACAAGCCAAAGAGGCCGAGAGCTTGGAGCTTTCGGACTCGTACACATCCGATCGTGCTTGTGAAAGAGGCAGAAGAAGCTTACGGGACTTGCACGCCCCCGATCGTGTGCTTGCATACACACACACACACACACATCAACACACACACACACATAAACACACACCGAGTTAGCACAAGCCCTCTCGGGCTGACGCGCGTCAAACAGTGGGCCAGCGGATCGGACACGACCTTAATTTTTTTTCCCTCAGCCTGTCCACGTCCGCGAACACGACTTGGCGTGCTCGATTCGAGTGTGTGATCGCCGCAACAGAAACAAGGCCCCCCCAACAACAACCCAGCCATGTCCTACCTGAACAAGAGCCAGCTGCAACTGGACCAATCCGTGAATGTGATCGACGCCTCGGGCTCGGTCAAGCATGTGGGCGTCATTGTCTTTCTCCACCTCGCGAGCGATCAGCCCTATGTCGAGATTGAAGTACGACTGTGCAAATGCGCTGCTCTGCTGACCCTTTGACTCGCTGATCACCATTGCCCTGGCCCTTCTGTGGCTGCCACTGACGCCATCTGCCCGCCCGCTACTACCTTCCTCCGACGCGTTTTGCAGGTTGTGCAAGAGGATGGCACAACGAAGCGCATCACAGTCGACTTGCGCACAAACCGCCTCCCCCCCCCCCGCTCCGGGCCCAAAGTCCTGTGCTCTTGGCTGTTCCAACGGCGTTACTTGACCTGACGCTATTGCCATCTTGTATGTCTGACCGCTCTCTGGCCTTGTGCCGCTGGCTTGCCACAGGTTTGCCTCAGCTCAACTAAGATACTTCACTTTTGAACTCTTCCGCTGTGTCGAGCAAGTTGGCCGCTACGTCCTCAATGACGCAGTATTCGTACGCACCCTTCGCCCCGCTCGACACTGACCATGACACATCGCTGAGAATGCTAATCTTTTCTGGGCCCTCCCGCCTCGACACCTACACTGTCCTGGGTTGCCTTAGTTGCTCGCAGCTGAACAATTCGTGCCGGGCGAGCCCAACGACAACTTGCGCCGCCTAACCTTGTATCTTCCTGAGGGCAGCTACTCTGGTCACTTTTCGGTATGTACCCACGGCCACGGCCTGTATATACACATGGCACCCACCAACAGTGCTTCGCGTGACCTCTCGTCTTTCATTTTGTCTTGTTTTGTTGCTCCTTTTCTTTTTTTTCTTCTTCTTCCCCCTCCCTCTCCCCCCTCCCCCCCTTCTCTCTCTTTTCCTCCATGTATCTGCCTTGCCTGCCCTTGTCCTGCTTGCTGTTGCACCATGCTCCATTGACACGTCTCGGACTCTGTTAGGTGTGCATCCGGAGCGGTGCATTTTCCCATCACACGCATGTTCTGGAGGTCATCAACCCCGCTGCGCCTGCTTTACGCAATGGCCAGCTGGTGGACGCCCTACGGGAAGACGATGTTGCAGAGCAACGCCTCTTCGGGCTTGTGCAACCGGCTACTGAGGACCACTCGGCCTACGTGGATGTTGAGTGGTCCTTTCGTCTTGATCAAACTCAAGAAGTCTTGTTGCTGTTACGCAACATCTGCGTGGCCGACTCGGCGCACAAAGTGTCCTTTGGCGAGGACGAGGATGTGCAGACCACCGTCTTTGGCGTCATCAACTGCGACCAGTTGGCCGTTGGTCGAGCCCGTGTTTATTTGCCAAGCCCACGAGGGGATCAAAATGTTCAGGTTTGTCCAGGCCAACACGCGCCCGTGAAGGTTGTGCGCGTTCAGCTGACCATCCCTTCGCCGTCTTGGCACCCTTGGCACAGGATGACGACGTACAAGTCACCTTTTTCATTCATCAGAGAGGCGATCGGTCCCAAACTCGAGGTCCAACTCGAGGTCCTGAGCTCGCCCACCCTGTGGGCATTGCAGTAGCAGACAAACACAGCTCGTAGTTTATTGCCGCTCAACCATCTTTACGAGCCAAGAAGATACAGGCCGCCCCCCCCCCCGCCCCTCATCCCGCCAATTTATTTGCTGTCATGGATTATTTGCTGTTATGGAGTCAAATAACGTTCCATGAATAAATTCTTACATTTTGGAACCCGTTACACACTAAACTTTCTCGCTTCACTCTGTCACATCGAGAAGACGCTGCACGACCAGGGGGACATAAGCGACGCGGAGATCTATTGCAGCGGCGGCGGCGGCGGTGGTGTCATCATTGTGGTGGTGGGCTTGCGACGGTTCGACCTCGCATCACCCTCTGCTGGGTGGGGGCGGGGATAAAACAGTACCAATGGCGGAACAAGGGTCGCGGCACCAGAGCATTGTGGCTCGGTCTGGCTCGGACCAAGCAGACGATGGCTTTCCATTAACACGATCCAACCTCTGGAATGCAGCACCAAATGGGACGCCACAAACAGTTGCCTGGCCAGCCTTTGATGTTGCCCTGCAGCACACCGCAGCGCAGCTGCTGACCACTTCGTCTCAGTTGCACCAACACCTGGCCGCGCTCGCAGGTCATTGGACGACCAGCCCACCATCCAAGCCAGACTCATCCCCGGCCCTCACCCTCCTGCTGTCCGAAGTCCAATTTGACTCCTCGCCCAACGTGAGCCACACAAGCCTGGCCAGCCACGCCAGCCTGGCCAGCGGTGGTGATGACCAGCTCGCCGCCACGATCGAATTGCTGTCAGCCGAGCCCGCGACGGCGGTCCTGACCAGCCAAGACCAGCTACTCATCACTGGCCACCTGTCGCGCATCTCAAGCTCGTCCAATCAAGCCGTCCTGCACCTGCAAATCAGTGCCCGTGCGCTTGGCCTCCAGGTAAGTTTATCCCATTTGAGCACCCACCTTGCCAAAATTGAATTGCTCAACCTTGACTCGCTGCGTACCAGGCCATACCCCTACAACCCGTGCCGCACGTCAACAGCGCGCTCTGGCGCCACCTAACCTCCACCTCCCCGCCCGAGGTAACCCCATACGCTCCTGCTACCGCTTCATGGTATTGCACAGAGACCCGATCCCGGGCCTGCACTGGAGCTGATCAGATCGCTCCCTCCTTCTGCTCCTTCTGCACTCCCGTTATCCGCTCGCAGACGCATGGTTGCCACAGCGGCTATCTCACCATGGACGGACACCGCCGAGCTCGGCTTGTGCTGAACGATGATCCACGTGCGACCACTTTACCGCTCGTCGGGATGTACGTCCTACAGCCAGCTCGTCATTGCCTGAAGGAAGAATTGTCTCCACCTCACCCTTGCTTCTGCTTCCTGACAGCTGGTGTTTCTGCCCCGTTGCCTTGGCCTCACTTTGGTGGCGCCAGCAAGCTTTGAACTACTGGCTCGACGCGCGTCTGAAGGACCGCGTGTTCCGGGACAAGACCTGCTGCCTGCTTGCTGCCTTTGGGCCCGGCCAAACGTGCGTTGCACCCTCTTACTCCCGCTGGCACAAAGAGCAACGCTGGGGAAATTTCAAATGCGTAAATACCATCTCGACTGCGACTCACCTGAACTCCCTCTTTAGCCAACCAACATGGTTTGAGCTGTGCTTCAGCGATGTGGAGCCAGCCGTGGTCAAGCGCTCTGCCACCTTCTCACTGCCCCCACCTGCCTTGCCCATCTCCCCAGCACCAACCGCGGTGAGAATGCACATTCGTTGGCTCCTGGCGCCTTCACAAGATTCTTCCGGGGCTCGCCCTCACTTGACACTGACACGCTCATCATTGCCATCCTTGGCGACAATCGTAGCCGCTGGTGACACGCATTGCCTTGCCTGAGCATGACGACCAAGCGCTAGGCCAGCGCGAGCTCTCCTACATAACCACGCACGCATCGTCCCCTGCACGCCCAAACCGCAAGACGGCTGATCTCAGCGCGCGCTCGCCGGGCCCGACGCATAGTCCACGCCTGAGCCCCATTCCTACTGCAGGTCCCAGTGAACCGGATAGCCCCGCCATCAGCCTCGTGAGTAGTCCAGAGCCAGAGCCAGCACCCTCTCCGAGGCATGCAATCGACAGCTCGCGCATCCTCCATAGCCTGCCCGAATCGTGGCGTGAAGCACGGCCCTTTACGGCCTCACCCAGCTCGCACCGTCCGCCCCTTACGGATGCGGGCACAACACCCTCTGCCATTGACATGGCACCGATGAGTACCAGAGCCACGAGTACCGGGAACGATGTTGACACTGAGGAAGAAGCACGACCACGCCAGACATCTCCGGTCAAGGCCGCCCCTGCAGCGTGGCATGCCGAGCCCACCCCACACACCAGCGACTGTCTGGACCTCACTTTTGATAGTGTGGACGAAGGACCCGGCTTATCCACCACGAGTGGCCCTGCGGCACCCATGCACTCGAGCGAGACCAAAACAGCCACGCTTTCGCCCGTCTCTGCCAGCCTGGCCCCTCGATGTGCCAGCGCCAGCTCGAACCCTGTCTCGTCACCATCAAAATCGCAGCTACAGACTCGTCGACGTCAAGCACCGGGTCTAACAGATGTGACCAATCGTGCCTGCCCAGATGCACAGCTATCTGCTGCACTCCCACAACTGCATGTATGTTCCACAGCACGCGCGCGATTTGGCAGTTGCCTCGAGTGTGGCGTGTGTTGCTCATGCTTTCAGCCGCCCCTGTATTGGGCTTTACAGGCACGCCTCAAACAAGTCTTGGATGCAGTGGCCTTGCCTAAGCCGCCCATTCAAGACGCAGCACCAGCACAACGGTTGCAACGGCGCCCCAAAGCTGCCTTGCGCACGGAGATACAGCCTCCTGTATACATGCAAGTGCCCGCTGTACCGCTGAGTCCCTACATGCACGTTTCGCCGATTGAAACAAAGTCTTGGCTTGGGAGCACATCAGCCCCCAGCGGTGCGAGGTCAAGCCAGAGCCCCGGCACTTTGCCCGTGGCAGCCAAGAACGGGCGTAAGCTGCTGGACACGGTGTTTCTTCGCAGTCAACCCGCGCTGGGATCCGACGAAGGGTAGGGCAAGCCATGGTCACTAATCGTATATCTGGATGTATTTATGAGCATGTTACTGATTAAAATTTAAAATGATTTATGCGTGCTGCGTTCGTGCCCCATACCGCCCATTGCAAATCACAAGCTTGAAGTCACATCTGCTCTAATTCATTCAAAAAAAAAAGCAAAAAAAATTCGAAAGAGGCATCAGGAGGAAGAATGTGGGGCACAGAGTCAGTCTGCACGCCTATGGTCGCCTGCTTTTCCTCTTCTTCTTCTTCTTCTTCTTCTTCCTCTTCGTCGTCTTCTTCTTCTTCTTCTTCTTCTTCTTCTTCTTCTTCTGCTGCTGCTGCTGCTGCGTCTTCTTGTTGTTCTTCTCAGTCTCTCGCAGAAGTTGAACAACAGGGTGTGTCAACATGCGTGAGTATGCTCTGGCGCGCGGCGCCATTGAGTAGCCAAGACCTCGACGATGACAGGCATCACAAAAGCATGCAAGAGGGTGACGTGGCTGTCAGGATCTCATTGCTCTTGATACCCCAGTTTGCGCCACTCCTCCTGTGCCATGAGACCCCTGCGCAAGGTGAGATGTCAATGGAGCCGCATGAGTCAAAAGAGAGAGTATAGATGCCAGCAGGCAAGTGAGCATCAACCCAAAGAGCGCACCGATCCATGCGGCAAGCCAGGTATGCCTTGGACTCGACCCGACACATACGACCGTTGCCGTTATGACTGCGCAAGCAGGTCATAAAGGCCTTCATGGCCTCCTTGCACTCCCCTGTCCCACCATTACCACCATCATCATATCGAGTGAGCCATGACGAAAACAAGACGGAAGGCGCTGGGGGTGGGACTAACCTTCATGATCCAATGGAAAGGACCCCTTATCTGGAGGCGAAGCCTGAAAGGATTTTGATCCTCCTGATGGCAGTCCCATCGTTAGCGTGCTCGTTCAAACAAGCCCCCGTCGTTGGGCAAAGTCAATCACCTATTGAAACGAGCAAGTTTGTGAAACCTCAGCAAGCCTGGTAGCCACACACTCACAACTTCCAAAACGGCACAACCCAAATGCAGAGGTGGCACACACCTTTTTTTTTTCTTTCTGTCTTTTCTTTTTTGCCTCGGGATCTACTTGTTGCACGGCGTGCTCGTTCCCGCTCGCGGTCACCGCCAACAGCTCAGAAGCCAAAAGAGCGTACACCAGGCCTCTCCCGTCTGTCACCGCAACTCGTTGGCCGTGATGACAGGAGATGCTGACAATTTAATTGTCATGCTTTTCATACCTATATGTGTGATCGATATCACACTTCCGTAGTTGCCACTTTTTTTTTTTTTTCTTTTTTTTCCTTTCCGTGTTCCATAGCCATGTTGCAGGTTCAGCAGGGCCGTGCGCTCAAGCTGCGCACGCCACCAGGCTCGTACGTGCTTCAGCTAGACTGGATGAGTGACCAAGTGCTTCATGCTTTTACTAGTGATCGAGCCTTGCGTTTCCTACACCTGACCCCCCATGGCCTTGAAGAGGTGCGTTGGTGATGGCCTCGTGCGAGAATGTGACACATGGTCTCCTTGAGACTTCGTGCCGAGGCCTTGACTCACCAGACTGCGGTGCCATGGCCGGAGTGTATCAGGGCCATGTCATCAAGTCTCCAGCACAAGAGCGCTTTGCCGTGGTGACCACGCTTGGTGGCTACGCGTCACCTACCATGGGTGTGGTGGGACAACAAGGTTCGCTGGGCCTGGCAGACGTACGTACGTCGAGCCTGGCCGAGCTTGGCCGCCTGCCTTCAGGTGGCTTTACACCGCTGTCCGCCGGCCTGAGCTGTGATGGCGTCTACTTGGCTGTGGGCACGGAGCAGAAGAACCGCGCCGATGCCCCCGTGTACCTATTTGATGTGCGCCGCCCAGGCGAACCCGTGTGGACCTTTGGCGACATGCACAATGATGATGTCTGTCACATTCAATTTGCCCATGCCAACCCAAACCGCTTCATGAGCAGCTCCACCGATGGCCTTGTCAACGTTGTGGACCTCGAACACCAGCCTCCGCCCGTACCGGGGCTTGAGCCTGACCCTGATACGGCCGGTCCCGAGGACTGGATTGTGCATTCTCTTAACACAGCCAGTAGTGTTTCTCGGTCCCGGTACTTTGGCCCCGATGATAGCTATGGTGCTGCCCTGACGCATGATCAAGACGTTCACATCTTCCATGCCCTTGCCGTGCCAGAGGAGGCCGATGAACAGATCATGACCTTTTCTGATGCGCGTCATCTCATCGAGGCTCAAACGGGTTATCACACTGACTATCTAGTGGACATGTTCTACGACCCAGCTCCCATGCAACTCTACCTATTGGCCGGCCAAACTGGTGGCCCCGCACAACTCCTTCACATGTCTTCAGTACGCAATGCTTTGCCCTACAATGCATCATCAACCACCTACAAACGCCCCATCCACGCCTCGATCTCAAGGATGCTCACATTATGCTTGCTTGTCCTCACTGCCACACAGTCGCAATTCACCGAGGTGGCCCGCCTGGACGACCCGACTTATGACACACTTTACTCAATGGCTTACTCGCCCGCGGTATGTTTCACCATGACCAGTCCGAAAGAGGGAGTGGCAAACACAACACAATGCTGGCCTACGCTCATTAGCATCAACCTCACTGACATCAACATTGCTGTGGTGCCGCTTCTTCCGGTGCCGCTTCTTCCGTGGACGATAGACGCGCGTTTTGGCCGCAGGTGACCAGGGCTCGCATGTCATGGTCTGGCAACTGGCCTCGGCATAGCGCAATGAGTTTGCAACTCTTGGTTCTCCGTGTTGCCCGAGGCAACCTTCAGTTTATTGAGTGTGTCACGGGTCTAATGCATGATAAACACACTACCACACGGGCCGCTTGTGCCCGTAATTTTGTGCAGACACAGCTCGCAGCTTGTCCACCACTGACGCATGACAAGAGGAGAGCCCCAAGACCAGTGAAAAATGTAATTGGCAAGACAAGACAACATCAACATCACAAAGGGGACACAGGAAGGGATAACATTCAGGACTCAGCGCCCGACCGAGGAGCAAAACTAACGCTGAAGCATAACGCGCCAGCAACAGGCTGCATCAATGCAGCATGCTTCACACCGCACAGTCGCCGCTGCCCCCCGACACTCAATCCGTTTGACACACCGAATTGAGAAGCATGTGCGCGTGTCTTCACGATCCAGCCATGGACCCCAGCAACTCGTAGCGAGCGTCACAGACGACATCGACGAGAGCGCGTTGCCAGAGCAAGCATGTGCTAGCCACTGAACTGTGAATCCAAGCAGGTGCAGGGACAAGGCCTGTACGCCCAAGTGCCCATCCACTCTTCACGACCATACTAAGCGAGCTGCCAACGAGCTTCATTGTCGCATCGTGCGAGCCAAGGAAACGGAAACCCGAACGCTTCGGAGGTCGCCAAGAAGAATCAAGCCGAGGTTGACCAAGCGCGGCTGGGACCAGACAAGAACTGCAAGGTCAGGGGTGTCGGCAAATCAAACAGACGGCGACGTTGACAGTCCGTCGTGCCGCCGCGTTTACAAAACAAGAAAGGATTTTAGAGAGAGAAAAATGGAGTGGGCATGCCCGAGCAGACTGAAGGGCCAAAGACCAAGGCTGAGAAGGGAGAAGGGAGACAAAGCACAACACACAGGAGGAATACGGAAACATCAAGAAGGATGCTGGAGACGGCTGGGACAGAGGCGCTTGAAGAACGCCTCAAGTGCCGAGGGTAGCGATGTACGCCTGACGGGCTCACGCCTTGTGTGTTTGCGAAAGCCAGGTCAGACCCTCCACGAGGCCATCACCGGTCGTGGCAACGCAAGGTTGGACATACCTGTACAAATAAATGAGAGAGGGTGAGAACGGGACACAAGGACACTAGGACACTAGGACGGCGCGAGCGACCTTGATTCTAGCGAGTACAGCGTTGACTGACCATGTCCTGTCCTTGGTCAGGCGTGTGAGACCGAGGAGATCAGGGAGTTCCTCTGGCAGGATGGCACCCTTGATATCCTGCTTGTTGGCAAAAATCAGGACAATGGCATCCTTCATTTCGCGATCATTGAGAATCTTATGAAGTTCGCGGCGAGCCTCGTCAATGCGTTCACGATCAGCGCAGTCGACCACGAAAATCAGGCCCTGAGTCCCCGTGTAGTAGTGTCGCCACAGAGGACGGATCTTATCCTGACCTCCGACATCCTGAAGATGGAAGGAAAGCAGACGCAGAAGTGTGCGTGAGCACCAGAGGTACAAGACGGTGGAGCAAGGACAAGAGCGACCGCGATCACAAATGCCAGCGAGAAGCAGACACCAGTCGGGAGCACGGGCAAAGGAGGCCTGTCAAAGGGGCTCGCTGCGCATCAACTGCGAGACAAAAGGCGAGAAGACGAACCCAGACGTTAAACTTGACGTTCTTGTAGGTGACTGTTTCAACGTTGAAGCCCACGGTGGGGATTGTGCTAACTGGGTTGTTGAGCTTGAGCTTGTACAAGATGGCTAATGGCGAGCAAGGCAGAGGACGGCGTCAGACTGAAGCACACGAGGTTTTCACCCCCTCGGTCAGGAGCCAGACGTGACCCTGGTTCGACGTCAATGGTCATGAAGCGAAGGAACAACTGTGCAACGAGGGGCACGTACTGGTCTTGCCAGCCGAGTCGAGACCGAGCATGAGGATACGCATCTCCTTGTTGCCAAAGAGCTTTTTCAAAACGCCACCCATACTGCTGGTATACTACAAAAGCTATGTGCCGGTTGTCTGAAGCAAAAAAAGCAAGAGGCAGCAGCGAGCCCAGGGCCGCGGTGGCGGTGAGATCTCTGCAGAAACATAGCTGATGCGATAATTTTTGGATGAAGTGGCACTGTGCCACTGAGCCTGGCATGGCGCTGGGCCGGGCATGCATGGGTGGAGCCAATGTCTGCGCACACACCAACGCCGACTGTTCCGACGCTTGGGGTGCCACAAATCGGCAAGCCGTGCAGTTTGCAACAACTGTGTGGTACCAGCAGTGCTCTGTCCCTCGTGCTCTTCCCACGTTTGCGCCGAGAGAGAGAGAGATACACACCTGAGGCCAGAGGAGAGGAGAACAGGCAGCTGTGTCCGGCCACGAATGCAGGAACGAGGCTACAAGGGTCGGATCCAAGAAGGGGGCGCAGGTGACACAAGAAGGTAGCGCGACATTGATGCGCATGCAGTCCAAGACATACAATTGGAGCGACAAGACGGTGTGAGGCCAGAGCGACGACGTGGTCACGCGAGCCGCGAAACCTCCGATCAGCCCATCAGCAGGCAAAGCGCATGGAAGAGAGGGTGGGATACGATGGTCGTACCTGGGCCAAGCGCCAGAAGAGCAGCAACGGAGGAGGGAAGCGGAGGAGGTAAGCGGCGGAGGTAAGCGGAGGGAGGCGGGCACCGTGTGTGTGCGACCAAGTCAAATGGCGATAATGGTGGCGCTCGAGGGCTACAGAGAGCGAGAGAGAGAGACAAAGGCATACAAAGGGGAGGGGCGTCATTGGTAGCCAACACACACACACACACACACACACACACACACACACACACACACACACACACACACACGGGCGGGTCTGACTTTTCGAGACGGACGTGGGCAACGACAAGCATCAGGCTTGCTACCACCTGTTATTGGTTGAAGCGGGCGCCTGGGGGACAGGGATTGCCACAACAACAGGAATGGCTGGGATGAATGAATGAATGGGAACAGAAGGAAAAGCGGTGGAAGCTGCGGAATTTGTGTATGTTTTTTCGGCCTAAAAACTCGCCCTCAAGCATACGAAAAGAATACAAGTGGACGAGCGCCAACTTTGGAATTGTCAGACATAAACTGGAGCTGGAGGCCTCGATCAGAAGCCAAAACCACAAAAAAAAAAAAAACAGCAAGGGTGGCACAGCCACAATGATCAATCTCTTCAATGTACACGGCTATCAAGGTCAATCGGCTTTGGCATCAGTCAGGATCTCGACGCAACAGTTCCAAAGAGGGAAATGTCAAGCTTAGTGGAGGAGGGCCGCCGCAAGCAGGTTGACTTGAAGGTCGCCAAATTGCTTGCGGATGATGGCAATCATGTCGCGGTCGGATTTCTTGGTCTTGGAGATGACCCCGGCCACCACGTACGTGTCGCGCAGGATGCGCGCCAACAAGTAAATATACTATGCCCCCGCGAGATCCCCCGCATGGCCCCCGTGCACAGGCGTGACATGCCTTGAGTTTGACCCGTCAGATTCACACGTTTGCACGACGAGACGGAGCGTACCTTTTCCCGATCCTTTTCCACACGTCCCATGGGCATGGCTGTCTCGTCCACGATGACCACCCCACCTTGCCTAAAGCCATCCGACAATCGACCCCCATGACCTGACGAGAGCGACGCGCGCACACATAGACACACATACACACGTTGCTGATAACAGACAACTATGCCACCATGAAAGCACGTACGCTAGTTCCTCCTCGCCGTCCCAAAGAGCCTGGGCAACGCTGGCCAGATGAGGGATGCGCACCAGTCCTCCCTCGGGCGTGCAAAAGCAGATGGGTAGGGTCCTGGCCATAACGAGCCCGCATGCACACGCGTGGCCACGCCGATCCAGGTGAAACGGCAAGCCAATCCACCACCAAACAAACAGCTAGCGAGCGGCACATGCCCCCACACACACTCAACAAGCAAGTTTCTGACCCTCGCCAACGTACGCCATGCCGTGAACCTCTTCGGAGACCAGTTGTGGGTGGGAATAGCGCAATCCTGCTGCCCCAAGTGGATGACGGCGCACACATGCCACAAACACGGCCTTGGTGGTTTGTTCTAGCTGTACGAGGCGCTGCAAGAACCAGTGCTTGTCGGCCTCATGGTGTGGAAGCAGACGCTGCAAACAGGCCACGCGTCAGCCCGCCCCGCAAAACAAAAACACCAAAAGGAATAGGTCGTTGCCCGGTCCAATACATGAGAAAAGCTCAGATTGTGCATGTGCTTTCAACTTCAGAGCGAGGTGTCACATGCCGAGAGACGCTACGGTCCTCGCCCCCACCTCGGCAAGATTGAACTCGGCGTTGCCAATGGCAGCGTGAAAGAGAAGAGCCGCCTGGGCCGTGATCAGATTGTATAATACGCGCCAGCGCTGCACAATCCCCGCCGTCGTGGCCTGTGGTGTTTGGGAGCAGAGCACAGTTCAGTCGTGGCTCAATCGTCTCGTTCTCACACGAACATTGTCCAAGCGCAGCTGCCCCACAGACACGACCCACCATGGCATGCTTGAGAAGGTTCAAGGCCGACTGTGACTGCAGCAATCCAATTGAAACCTCCTAGATTGTCCAGAGTCCAGGGCGCGAGAGGTCAACGATGCTTCGACGGCAAAAAAAAAAAAAACGACGTAGCTTGCTGAGCTGAGCTTTGGACCAGAATCCATCGCATGATTGCGGTTGAATCGTCTCACCTGAAGCTGACCAGCTTGCGCCGCGTTGTATGTTTGCACAAGCAAGATCACGACCTTGCATAATTCACGCAGCTGCTTCCTACCAACCCAGATGGGCATCACACACAGCCACTGAGGTTGGCGCCCCAGAGCCAGGCGGGCCTAGACATCTGTTTGCGCTGGGTGCTTGCGTTCTACGTCTTGCCTTGCAGCCCAACTCACCGCCAGGTCTGTGTCACGTGCTGGGGCATACTGTCTGCCGATGATTCTGCCTTTTGGAGTGCTTGTAAAACCTGCTCTCCTCACCCCCATGCAATACAAGGCAAGCATGAGTTTCTGTACACCGCGTCAGGAAAGGCTGGCCGGCAAACATGTCAACGTGAGAGTCCAACCTCGTCTGATATGGAGGCGTCATTGGCGGCAGGGGCAGACTCCAACACGAGTATTTGCACGGCAGTAAGAAAGCTCTGGTAGCCCTGGCACAGCATGAGTAGGTCGACGACCAGCAAGGATGCATCCTATTGTAGGTTCGTGCCAGTCAAGGATCAGCTGTTGCGAGTTCCAGCAGCTATGGCTATGGTGGCTCCCGCCTGGCAAATCAAAGCTGAGCTTCTTTCCTCAAGCCAGCTGACCAACAGAACCGGCACGTACGGAGCTGGAGATGTCCGTGCTAGGGGTGATCGTTCGGTTTCCGTGCCGAGATTGCATGTCTAGACACACACACACCCCAAGGAAACAAGACCAGGCTGAGGCTGCTGCTTGATGTGGCTTCAGCACTCAAAGACAGCAGTACCAAGAGTACGACCCACAATGGCCACCGAACAGCGATCAACAAGCAAGCGGAACTGGGCCCTACGCACGTCGCAGTCGTTCACAGGCTGCCTGAAGGCGTGTGAGGTGGTCTCGCAGATTGGCGGCTTGAAAACAGTGACCGCTCCGGACAGCAAAGAGGACTGGCACGACATAGCGGCTGACCACGTCGGCAATATCCTCCCGATAAGACTGAGCGCTGCGAGCAAAGCGCGAGGTTTCCTGACCATTCGCTGCGTGAGCAGGGCAAGCAAGCCAGCCCATCCCGGACCGCGCAAAGGCCGGCGCGAGAGGCGTGCACCAACCTTGGAACAGAAGGCTGCGGTATCATGAGAGCTGAGCTCGGCCAGGTCATCGCAGACCGCACACACGTCAAAGGCCGACTATGAATCGAGCAATGAAAGTCGCGATGAGCCACCAACCCCGTGCGATGAACGAGCTGGGCTACTCAAGGCGCTTGGACTGAGCTGCAAGGCAGGATAGATGACGACGATGCAAGAGAGAAGATGGGCGTGAAACCGGACAAGGGAGAGGCACGCACCGCAAACTCGTGCTGAACTTCAGGGGAGAGGTTAATCTGATGCAGCCGGCGGCGGATATTGGAGCTGGGCCTTGGCACAGCCGTGGCTTCAATATGACTATCCAGCGGAGTGGAGCTCAGCTCGCCCCAATACTGGGTCAGCGTCTGATCAAACTCGAAAGCCTCAACATCATTCATCCTGTCCGTCCCGGTATCCGTCCCGGTATCCGTCCCGGTATCCGTCCCGGTATCCGTCCCGGTATCCGCTCGAATAAATTGTCAAGGTATCCGTCCAGGTATCCGTCCCGATATCCGTCTCAGTCTCGGGGTGTCCCTTCGATCTCATCCAAAAAGGAAAAAAAAATAACTGGCCTGTCCTCTGGTATTATTCTAATTTTCGGAGCGTTTTAAAAGGTTTTTGTAGTTGTTATATAGCCCCTAACTTGACTTTGTGCGTCAGTTTTCGGGTTTATTGTAGCCACGGGCACGCTCGGTCGAGCCGAGCTCTCCACTCTGACGCACAACTGATCGAGTTGAATGGCGGAGGGGGTGAGAAAGACCTTGATCAAGGTGGAAGCGAGCCCTTGATTGTCGTGATATTTGCCTCCTGTCTTTGTGATATCGTGTGACAAGACCTTGCTCCGTCTGTGCGCTACCGCTCTTGCTTCTGCGGTTGTCACCACGACTCCGCTGATCACCAAATACCGAGGTGGGATCCCCTGGCTTCAAGGCAGCAACACACGTCTTCGCTGTCATGGCGAAAAATTCCAAGAACAGGGCGCCGACGGCCTTGAGCGCTGCCATGGAAGTCCATCCCCGGCCCGAGGGCCAGCTTACCGCTCGGGAACGCCTGGATCTGCGTGAGGTCTTTGATCTCTCGGACATGGACGGATCCAACACGCTGGATTGGATTGAGGTCCGCCGCGCACTTCGTGGCATCGGCTTTCCCATCACTAAACGCGAAGCTCAGGACCTGGTGCGCAGTTTGGACGGCGATGACGACGGCTTTCTCAACTTTGACGAATTCGCCGACGCCGTGCTCCGCCAGTCACGATCAAGTGTCCGCGTGGAGCGCGAGCTCCGTGCTGTCTATAAACACCTCGCCCGAGGACCTGACGACACCATCAACCTTGACGCCCTTCGCCAACTGAGTCAAGAGCTCAATGAGTCGCTCAGCCGAACCGAGCTCGAAGACATGATCCGCTGTGCGGATAGCAACGGAGACGGCCTTGTGGACTTTGCAGACTTTACCAGCATCATGCTTCGCACCTCTGTTTACCATTAATTTCTGACCAGTACACACATTTGTACATACACCCAGACATCCACCCACCCGCCTTCTGAACGGAGCCAGCGACCCATCGCTTCCCGATGCCACCCCACCTCATAACTTGGTCTTTTTGCGCCCTCTCAATGGATGGATCCCTGATGCGTCAAGTTGTCAAGGCGCCGAATTTTATCTGACAAATCTTAATTTTATCTGACATTTTCTTCCGTGCCGTTTTGCTGACGAAGTTGTTTTAATTCGTCAGGGCGCCAGCGCCATTTGAGCGCTATTGTCTGATAGGTACAGTGTGCCCTGTTGGCGGGTGGAAGCTGTGTGCGGACACAAAGACGAGCAACCAACCACAACCAGACACCAAGAAAAACCTCTTGCTCCAGGCCACACACCTTGTCCATTTGGTCCGGAAAACCGGCACATAAGCATGGCAAATACGTCCGCCAAGCAGAGGGCCATGGCCCTTCGAACGGAACAGCTGGCCACTTTTCGTCGTGTGCAGAGCATACATCGCGTCTGGCCGCACACACTCCACCACATACCGCTACCACCATCGGTCTTTTTCTCCCTTCTCGCCCGCATCTGCATCTGGTTCCTCCGCCCCGCCGTGACTGCGAGCCCAGAAGGCGAGGGCAGACTGGCCATCATCATATCATAGTGCACGTCCACACCTTTCCACCACCCAAGCGGTGTGGAAGCAGGTCAACAGCTCGAGGAAAACAAAAACGAGCAGCTTCTCCCAGAGCAAGACGAGCCGCGGCAGCCACCATCAGACAATAGCACCAAGAGGATGGATGCCACCCAGCAACCAAACCTGAACCAAATTCGCCGCCCATCCTGCGTAAGGCCACCTGCATGCAACGCCCAACGAAAGCGCTCAGAAAAGCGGGAATTCCTCCTCACCTTGTCATCCGATTCGACGCTCCTCACTCTTCTGCCTGCTGTCCCTGCTCTGCCACTGATCGGACAGGAAGACCTGGGGTTGCGTAAATTCGATCCCAACGCCGGCTTGTATGCCCCCGGCACAGCCTTTGTAGGCCGTGACCAGACCGTGGTCTCCCTCCGCATCTACACGGCAAAAGCGCTTCCCATCCCCGGTAAGCGCCAGGGATCATGGCTCTCGCTCACTTGCCCGCCCGCGGAACATACCTTGTCTCGTGTGCTAGATCGAGCTGCCTGCATCTGCTCACGCGCTCAAACGTCGCCCCACTAGGCGTGGAATACAAAAGCGTGTCTGTGGCCAGCCACAACACGGCTCGTCAGGTCATTGAGAAGGTCTTGAATCGACTGGCTGAGGACTGTGATCCCTCCCAGTATGCCCTGCGCCTGGTCCCACTCAAGGAGGATGGCACCAAAATCAAGTCCCGCCTTCCCGGCATGCTCAAGCGCCGCAGCTCGCAAGCTCTTCTGCTCGACCCCAATGAACAGCCCGTGCTCGTGGCCGAACGCGCTGACGCCAAATTTACCCGGTGCGACTCCCCCTTGCTGCCCATGATCTCACCGCCACGCACCTGTTTGCAACCCCCGCGCACAAACACCAACCCAACAACAATTTGGCTCACCGACCTGCCGACTTGTGTGGTCTATTTCTAGATTCGAGCTAATTCCATTGCGCCTCTCGCGCCGCGGCAGCGGCCTGCGACTCCTCCGCCGGCGTTCCTCTGACCGAGCCGTGCTTGAGCCTGTGGGGGATCAAAGCCCTGCGTTGGACACGCTTGTGGACGCCCCTGAACACGAGTCCCTTCCTGTCGCCCTAAGCAATCAGCAAACCCTAGCCCAAGACCAACCACGATCCGGCGCCGGCCTGCCTTTGTGTATTCCGTCTGACTCCATGCTCAATGACACAGTCATTAGTCGCAACGTGCATGCGCCCTCCACGCCTCGGGCTCCCGTCGGCCGGGGCACGCACCCTCGAACCGATTGTGACAGTGATGTCGATGCCGACACCACCGTCGACTCTGTGGCCGGTCTGTCTGACAGCTTGCTGCTCGAGGCCAGCACCGTCGCTCCCCAGCTCCAGCGCTTTGAAGACGGTCGTCTGATCGTACACTGCCTTGAGGAAGGCGTACACATCATCGGCTCCGACCCAGACCGCACTGACGTCTGTTTCCCTGAAAAGGGTGTCCTTGCTGTGCACTGCGAACTCCTCGTTCGTTCGGGCAAAATCGCCATTGCCGCATATCCAGGCGCGGTCGTCTGCTTTGACGGCGTCCTCTCCAGTGAGCCCATGTTGGTGCGCAACGAGTGCAACGTGACTTTGGGGGCCCAGCGCCTTCAGTCTTTTGTTGTGGCCGGCCTGGCTACGCAAGAGGAGACGACCCCGATCTCGGCTGAGCTGGCTGAGCAACTCTTCTTCTGCACCACCCCTAAAGGCACTGGGCGAACCGCAAATGCCGGCCTCGATACGGATGCACTCCTTCCTGCACAGTCGTACCGCTTGGCTCAACGCGTTGGCCTCACCGACATGTCCCTCATGTCCCCCACCATTATGACCGCTTTGACACGGGATCGGTATCTGGTCGACGCCTCGCCACGGGAGAGCCCCCTGTACATGGGTGAGTCGCCACTGCCCAGCCCCAAGCGCCTGACGCCAACCGAGGGGTTGCTTGCCGCGGATGCTGCTGCACAGCTCGCTTCTCCCGCTGCACGGCAACTGGACGACGAATTCATCAGCACTTTGGTTGAGGCCACCGAAGCTGCCGCGACGGGCATCCGTCGGAGTCTTGCCGAGACTAGCGCCACAACGATTAATGCTTCAGTTGAACAGGATGACGCTTGCTGGCACACTCACAGTCCAACCCAAAAGTCTTTGGTTGAGAGTGAAGCAGAAGCTGAAATCCCAGCTGTTCGCACCCCGCACAAAGTGCATGCTCCAACCGTCGCGGGTTCAGCCACCTGTGTTCCTGCAGGGCGCAGTCTGGAGCTGACCGCCACGGGCGACTGCGAGATTACGGATCTCTCCATCCCTTGTCCAACAGATGACCGCAATGATGAAGAGCTGGCGGCACCGCTTGATGAGAACGATGATGATGGCTGGGCACAGACGCCAGGAGATCTGGACGCTTTGTTCGACGTCGACCCGACCATCCTCAGTGCATTGGCGAACCACACCGTTGCTGTTGCTTTGTCGACAGGTTGCGCCTTGGCTCTAACTCAACTTGGGCACAAGCAAGCCATCCAGGCTCGAGCCAAGGCCGAGGCTAAGGCAGAGGCCGAGGCCAAGGCAATGGCCGAGAAGCGAGCCCAAGCTCAAGCCCAAGCAGCTGAGGCCGCAGCACAGGCTCAAGCAGAGGCCGAGGCCAAGGCAATGGCCGAGAAGCGAGCCCAAGCTCAAGCCCAAGCAGCTGAGGCCGCAGCACAGGCTCAAGCAGAGGCCGAGGCCAAGGCAATGGCCGAGAAGCGAGCCCAAGCTCAAGCCCAAGCAGCTGAGGCCGCAGCACAGGCTCAAGCAGAGGCCGAGGCACAGGCCCAAGCCAAGGCCAAGGCCGAAGCTGAAGCAGAAGCTCAAGCTCAAGCTCAAGCTCAAGCTCAAGCTCAAGCTCAAGCTCAAGCAAGGGCATTGGCCGAGGAGCAGGCCCGAGCTCAAGCCCAGGCAGCAGAGGCCGAGGCACAGGCCCGAGCGGAGGCCCAAGCCAAGGCCACGGCCGAGGCTGAGGCCCAAGCCAAGGCGAAAGCCGCGGCTCAAGCCCAAGAAAACGCTCAAGCCAAGACCAAAGCCGAGGCTGAGACCCCAGCGGAGAGCCAGGCTTCGGTTTTGGAACTCATCTCAGAAAGTGCATCTACTGCCAAGCCAGTTCATAGCCCCAGCCCAAACAGCTCTGCCACTGATGGCACAACGACACCTCAACAAGTGCACAAGGCCTACAATGCATTGGGCTTGCGAGGTGATCTGCCCAAGCCACGCCGCGCCTCAGGCCCCTCTTCTCGCTTACTCTCAGCTATTGCCCGAGCTGAGGACCAAGCCCAAGGTCAAGATCGCACAGCAGTGCTGAAGGCGCAGCAGATCCTCCAGTCAATCTCCGCCGCAGCACAGACACCTGTGGCCCAAGCAACACGGCAGGGGGTGCTGCCCAAGCCTCGCCGCCGCTCCTCCAGCTCAGCGCCTACACCATCACCTCGTGCCGAGCCACAACCGATTGTGCCTACAAGCGTGACCCAAACTATGGTGTCTCCACCCACAACTTCAAACTCTTCGCCTTGCAAAAGCCCCACCGTCCCAGTCAAGCCCAAGACCCAGCCACGAACGCCCATCCCAGCACCACGAACCAAAGCTGTTGTGTCGACCGCTGATGCCTCTTCACCGGCTAGGAACAACGCTGCTCGCCCCACTTCTCCCGTCGTTGCCCCCAAGCCACACCGGAACCCCAGCTCCACAAACACATCGCCGGCGCCTCGAGTGATGCCATGCACAACTTCTTCAGCTCAGAAGGAGTGCATGGCTGCGCCGGCCTGTGCCCCAGCTGTGAGTCCCGCTTCCGAATCCTCGGCTCACTTGCGTCGATCAGCTACACGTGCAACCTCTGCATCCCGGCACTCCATCGTTGGTGCTGCGCAACTGGATTCGTCCACGCCTCCTCCCATTCGCTCGCGGTGAGTCTTTGAAATGCATGCATTTGAACGAGGCTTTATTGATCGCTGCATTGCCGGGCCTGCTCCTCACAGTGTCTTACCGTGACTGTTGCTCGTGCTGCGTAGCGCCAACCGTGCTTCAGTGTGCCTGGGAACAGGTATTTCTGCTGCCGCCGACGCAGGCTTGCGCTCGACGGGCGTGTCCCTTCATGATTTGGAGCGACGCCGCACATCAGTGTCGGCTACAAGCGCTTCCTCGAACCCACGTGGTGTTCGCCGCCCCGAGCGAATGGCCTTTGCTGATCGGATGAAAATGTTTCAGTCGGTCGCTGAATGATACGCCCCTTGCTCAGTGCGCAGGACGCGTCTACGTGGTCACTCGGAGGTTTTGGAGAGAAGCTTCAGCGGATCCAGGCTTGACAAGCAGACCGCCAACTTTTCTCTGTGAAGATGTTGCGTGTTATGTCGTGGAAGCCCTTGTTTTCTTTTCGCTTTGTTTGAGTCTTGAGTTTCCCGTTTCGACCTCTTTTGTGTTGGTCTTATCCTAGCTCACTGCCGTGGCTGCACCCCGTGAATGTGTCGCTCGACAAGCACCGTTTTTGTTTCCAGAAAGAAATCAATGTGAAAATTTTGATCTGACTGCGACATAGCCCTTCTTTCAGTCCAAATGTGGAAATTAACAACATGAAAAAAAAAAAGGAAAAAGTGGCAGGAATCGATTAGATAGGCTTGAAAAAATCAACGCGATGAGCACTCTTGGATATCTGCAGACAGCAATCAGGGGAAGAGACGACATAGGCACACCAATGCTACGCACGTCGCTCTTTCACCGCCGTTACTTGTCTTCAAAGATAGCCTTCATAGTGGGTCGGTATTTACCGTCGTTGGTGCCGCCAGAGAGCGTGCCCAAGCGGAGTTCGCCTGCGACCACACGTCGAATTGATGCGTGAGCTCCGCCAAGTGTTGACGGTGTTGGAAGCAAGGTCGAGAAACAAAGTCTTACCGTGCATTTCAGCTTCGTCAATGTGTCGGCGCATGGAGTTGGCAGCGCGGACAGACGCTTGTTGCTTGCGGTACTTGCGGTTGAGCCTTTGCCACTCTTCTTCGGGCATATTTTCGGGTCGACCGTGGGCAATGAGCTCGGCCATGTGCTGTGGCTTCTTGCTCTTAAGAGTGGCTTTCCAATTGAGTGCAACCTGACCGCCGGACAGGGAGGGCCGATGGGGAGGCACGGGGGGCAATTCTTGGCTGGTGCGTTCCAGTTCGACAATGTCATATGGCCTGCTTTGGGAACGTGCGTAGTGCACGCAGGCCTTGACGATAAACTCATACTGCTGAGGGTGCTGCACCATGCCACCGCGATGCTTGCGCATATTGGCCACGATTTGCAGGCAATCCACCTCGCCGGTCTCCTCGAGGCAGCGCACGGCTTGATCGATTGCTATAAAGGTGCCGGTGCGTCCGATACCGGCGCTGCAGTGCACGATAGGAGGGCCTTGCCGCTGCTCCTCGCAAAAGGCGCGGACATTTTGCATCATGGCAATGACTTGGTGGGCACCCTCAGCTGAAGGCACGCCGTGGTCGGGCCAGTTTTGGAACCAATAGTGGCGCAGCAACTGTTCTTCTTTCCCCTTGCGAAGCCGGATGTGGGTCAGAATGTAACCTGGATGCTGTTCACCGCTGCAAACGGCCACGGAGATGTGGCCGTAGATACGATCGCCCACTTTCTTGGCCTCGTTGTAGCGTACGGTCGGCCAGTATCGGGCGCATTTGACCCGGCCTTGCTCCATCATGGGAGTGGTCATGACAATCGCTGGCGATTTGACCATCCAGACCATGCGCCAAAAGGCCTCAATCGTGTTGTCCAGCGGTCCCATGGCAGCAATGTACTCGCGCGGCTGGCTACTATACCCGGCTATGTAGTTGGCATTGATGTCTGTGTGTTTGCCATCAAAAGCGCGTCAAGCGACGATAAGATGATGATACAATGAACAAAGAGGCAAGAACATGGCAGCGCCGCGCACAGCGACACGCTACATGGATAAACATGGGGGGCGGGGGTTGGCAACATGCAACGCACAAGTGCTGACGGAGGTCCACGGCTCATACTCATCCTCAAGGCGAACGCGAGTGCGTGGATTGGGCAAGATATTAGTGTAACGGTTGAGCGATTTGCCAATGACTTCGTCGGGCAGGCGATCCTTGGGCGTCAGGTGCTGTGCCAGCGAATTAAAGCCGCTATGATTGATGGCAGCAATCTTCCATGTCGATGCCGGAGCCGGCTCTGACGTTGGTGCCGTGGGTGTGGCCTCTGTGGGGACGACCACGGGACGATGCGGAACGGCTGGATCGTCAAGACCAGGTTGGCGTCGGTTTGTCTCTTTTTCAGCAATGCGTTCAGCCTCAGATGCCTCGCCGGTGCTGCAGACGACGCGAGGGTCATCATAGGTCGTAATGCCACTGTTGTGGTCGATGAAGAACATGTCGCCATCCTCGTCAAAGTTGAGGCTCCAGCCAGCTGGCAAGGGGTCGTCACCTAAGAGAAGCCCGGGCCTTGGATCTTCCTTGGACGTGGCTCCTGTTTCCGTATTGTGGTACACAAATCCGCTGCAACCCGTGGAACAGTGCGAAGCAAGTGTGACACAACAAGTTGTCAATGAGACCCAAACCAAAGGCGATGAGCGTAGCATGCGCGATGCGTCTGGTTGGGGGAAATGCAAATGCGTGCATGGATACCGCCAACAGGTTCTCAGATCACACGGGCTTACCCAGCAAAGCCATCCGGATTCAAACACACGGCTTGCTCCCACTCTTCAGTCAGACCCTTAGGTCGCGGCTACGCTCAGGACAAGAACGCGTGAGGTCGCACACTCGGGTAAAAGACTGAGTGGGGTTTGTTGATGGCCGAAAAGTGGGTGTGGAGTGGGCTGGATGGGGGTGCGGGGGCTTACTGTTACAACATATGTCCCGCTCTCAATGGAGACCTTTGTGGCCCGTTTCAGCTTGCGTTTGCCCGGCAGGGCCGTGCAGGCTAGCTTCAAGTTGTCACTGCAAGACACGATGGCACATTGCCCGTCGTGTACCAGGACGTTCAAGCGAGCGCGCCGTGGTGTGAGGGAAAGCTCATGAACATGACTGTGGGTCAGGTGTTGTGCTTTGCCAAAACTTTTTGTGACGTTGTCGTTACTGTGCCGCCTCGGGTGCCTTCTCGGTCGTGTGTTGATTCGCGAGGCATGGGCGCTTGCTTACTTGAGATAATAGGGAGCACCGTCAAGCTCGACGCAGCGCCAAGTGGTGCCAAGCTGACGCGCGGCAGTGCCGCCGCCGATTCGGGACAGGCTGGCCATGGTAGCAGAGTCGAAAGGAACTCGACCGTGGCTCTGGCCAACCGCGAGGGGGCCGAGCTCAGTCGAAGGTTGAGGCTCGTCAGTGTAACTGACCACACGCACGGGACGGCACTTTGTGTGGCGGTGTTGGGCCGCAAGTGGTCGCCCTCACAGCATTCACGGATGCTATGACGACCAACGACCGGCGACGGTCTTGCAAACGGCGAGCGGCTGCGGATGGATGGCCTCTGGCCGGTGTGTTCCAAGCCGTAATAAGAGGCAGGCAGTTGGGGCCAAAAACAAAGAACTGAAGGGAGAGAGAAACGTGGCTCACGGTGCACCGCGACGCGTAGCGGAAGGCAACTGGTCAAACCGGGCCCAACTGGTCACAATCCTCGCCCTTCAGTCGGATGCTCGGTGAATGAGGAGGCGACACCACGCGTTGACAAGAGGATCGTTATCATCAAGTCAATAAGAAAAACAGCAGAAAGGACAAAGAGGGAGAAGCATGCGCACCGGGATGGCGACCTCGAGCTCCCGTGTAAAAAGGGTGAAAATGTGCGCACGAGCATCTGTGTTCGGTCGCTCATAGGGTTTTAGGTGGGGGGGGTCTCAGCCGGGTCTGTGCGTTTGGTGCCCCTTGGAAGGTGGACACCGTCCAAATCAGGGTGCGAGCGACAAACCACACATACCATTCAATCTAAGTCATGTCCGCCCCTCCCGTGCCTATGGACCGCTTCAGCTTCATACTACATTGTGATTGTCCGCCCTTCGTCCCATCGGACAGCTTTTGTTTTTCCTACAATACAGGACTCCTCGATAACAAGCAGCGCACACACTTGAGATGTGCCTTAGCCCGGAAACCTGACGGCTGCGCGGAAAAGGCGTCAGTGCATGCATGAGTAAATCGTTCATGTGGTGAGTCGCATGCATGCACGCTTGTGTTGTCCCGTTTGTGTTGTCAGCGTTTCTTGTGCCGAATTGTCATCATGCATTTCTGCTTTTTTTTCTTCGATTTGACGACTTGGCGTCTTCACGCTGAAGGCGTCGTGGACCGTAGTGGACCGTAGTGGACCGTTATGGCGGCGCGTGAGGCGGGCCTGGTGCTGGTGGAGCAGCCCAAGGCAGAGGATGGCCCGCGTGTTCATGCATTGATTGCGGCATGCCCACCGTTGGATGAAAACTCGGCTTATGCCAACCTGCTGCAGTGCACACACTTTGCCGAGACGTGCGCGCTCGCGACCCGCCATGGCGAGGCCGTTGGCTGGATCTCGGGCTACCTACTACCCTCGCAGCCCGACGTTTACTTTCTGTGGCAGGTTGCGGTGCGGCCAGATGCACGAGGTCAGGGGCTGGCACTGCGAATGATGACAAACCTGTTAAAGCGCCCCGGCTGCGCCGCCGTCACGCAACTCCAAGCGACCATCACTCGCGATAATCAACCCTCTTGGGCCCTCTTTCGCGCCCTCGCCCGGCGACTTGACACGGACTTGCGTGAGTCTCCCTTTTTTGATCGCGCAACTCACTTTGCCGGTCTTCATGACAGTGAATTGCTCGTCACTTTGGGCCCTTTTGACGCCTCTCGGCTCGCTGACAGCTGAGCTCTCCGCTGAAGTGCCGTGTGTTGCTCCCCCCTGTCCAGCCCTGTTTATATGCCATGCTCCTTCTGCTGCACGCCCCTGCTTTCTCGAGCCGATAGCCATGAGCTCGGTGGTCGAGGACGCGCTCTGTCCGAGTACGTCCTCGGTCTGCTGTGCCGGTCATGTGCTAGTGGTACCCACTCGGGACGCTCGATCAAGTCGAGGCTAGAATTTTGTTTGCTCGCATTGGAATCTGTGACATGTAATGCGGTCGTGCATTCGTTCTTGGTGCGTGAACGGTGACACGCCGGCGCTGTGGGCTGACACCAGTGTTGATGCGAACAGCTGCTTTAAATTCAGATTGAGCAGGCGAAGTGTGCATGTCCGTGCGAGGCGGCTTGGCCCGTGCGTGTCTCTCCCATTGTCGCCGTTTCGTCTCGTGGCCATTTCTCTGGGCTCCGCTCGCACACGCGGTTCAAACAGGAATGCACGGCGAGGTGGAGCAACCTCGACTGTTTATTGCACGATAGAGTCGTTCCTCACAGTCCCAACACAACACCATCACCACAGTCCAGATGTGAGCTCGGGTATGCACTTGTTGAGATTTGTTCGACCTGCTGATGTCCCTGACAATGCGCGCTAGACGTTTCTACCGGAGAAAATCACCACCAACACACCTCACGACAAGGCCCATGTCACGTCAGAAAGCCATATGGACGTCTGGGACGTCTTCATCGTGTATCCCCCTCAAACACCTCCCATAAAAAACAAAATAAAAAATAGCGCAAAATTAGCGCAAAATTAGCGCAAAATTCGCATGTTATCATTGCACATGTCAAGAGGAAGGTGCCATAGTTTTCAAGCCATCAACTACAAGCAACAACACAACGCCCTGGGGAGGACCTGATTATTCAGCACGGGGCGGCCGTCCAAGTACCTTGTCAAGAGCCAGGCGCTTGCACGCAAGGTACCGAAACTCATTCATAGACACCCACTGCCAACGGCCAGACAGACAAATAAAGAGACGGGGAAGAGTTGGGAGGCACAAGTTTTTAGGCATCAACGTTGCGAGACATCATCACGGGCTTGGCAGCCACGTAGGAAATGTCGTCCCATGGGTGGCGGTAGAGGCCCTGCTTCAAACGCCTCTGATCGATCCAGTGACCAATGAAACCCGTGGTACGGCCCAGGACGAACAACGCATTCAAACAGCCCATCTCAATGTACTCGATTGCCTCCTCGCGGGTGAAGGCGCCCTACACAAGATACACCATACCATAGATGAGTAATCGGTCTTTTTTTTTTTTTCCGACTGGCCACCTGCTGTACCATGCACAAAAGGCCAACAAAGAGGCCACCACAGGCGCCAAAACAACCAGATACACAAATAAACAACCGAACGTACACATTCACGAAGCAGGTCCACAAAGGCCACGGCGATGACACCATCGACGTTGAGGATGAGATTGGGTTTCTTTGCCGTCGTGACCTTCTCCACCTGCGGTCAGGACGGGCCCAAGACAGTGTCAGATGTACATGTCTGCGCCTGCATGCTGCTGCACGCGCCGCGTAGCGTATACAGCGCGCACGCTAGACATGTCTCAGCGTACCTCAAGGGCATAGTCGAGCAGGGGAGTCTTCTCAAAGTGCTTCTTGACAAAGTCGCGCATGATGACCACACGCATGTCTGGGTTGGTGACCGACTTGACCTTGTGACCTACGCATCATTTACACAACAGTCAGTTCTTAACACCCAACAGGCAGGCAAAAAAAAAAAAAAAAAAAAAAAACGACCACTCCATCCGTACCAATGCCCATAATGAGCTTGTGCTGCTTGCGCATGGCCGTCACAAACTCGCGCGGGCTCTGCCCAGCATCATAGGCTTGAGAAAACATGCGTGCCGCGCCGTCCAAGGCACCACCAAAGCGATCACCCTGCGACACAAGACATGGCAGTAGAGGCAGGCATTGACACACGCACACAGAGCACAGCACCATCAGGCCAGCGGACAGTCATACAGGCGGCTCAAGGTTGCGCGTCCAACGTTCATCCGCGACATACAATGGTGAGCAGGCCCGAGCAGATGGACGAGACCAAGTCCTTGCCCGCACGCGCAGCTACAATGGTATTGTGGGCACCAGAGACTGCCGGACCGTGATCGGCTGTCACCATCAGGCTCATTTCGATAAACTTGCAAGCCGCAGCGGGCAAGCTACGCATGTAATACAAAGGTGACCCAACCACGAAGGGGGCGTGAGATAGGCAACAACACACTAGGGTCAAACGTCAGTAAGGCCATACCGGCGCTGAAACCACAGCAGGGAGATGACGCCGCCCATGCCAATGTCCTCCTGAAAGACGGATGTGATGGACATGCCAGCGTAGAGAAGCTCTTCACCGCGTTCGTCACTGATGGACGAGATGAAGTTGGCTTGCTTGCGGATCAGCCCCAGCTCCTGGGCCCACTTGTAGTCGATGGGGACCTACCACAAGCAGCGAACAACAAAGCCATTTGCCACAGTCAATAAGCTGACGCATGCAGATTGGTGCAGGTCCATTCCACTCGCCGCACGAGTCACGTACGCGAGGCGGCGGAGGCTCTGGCTTGGGCACGATGACACCATCCGAAACCAGGCGATCATAGGTCTCCTTCAAAACATCGCCTAGCGAGTCAAAGCTGTGCAACGTAGGAGCACGAAAGAAAAAAGTCAGCACTGTGGGCACGTGAAAACTACCCGCCCCCGATCCCATGATGGCGGCGTCCACCAAACAGACACATCACGCACGACGACAGGTGCCAGTTACACGAAAACCCGAGGCTACAGGCCGGGCGCATCACCAACCTGGGAGGCACAATCGCTCCAGCCTCCTTGAGCGCTTTGTTTTTAGCAACAGCTGTCTCCATGTCGCTGTTGGCGCAGGCACCAGCGTGGCCAAACTGCACCTCTGAGGTGAACATGGAGCCACACGTGCCAATGCACCACGCCACAATTGGCTTATTCAAACGCCCAGATGCGATGGCGCGACAGCTGGTAATGAACGACCGCAACAATGTGAATTCTCGCCTGGGCCGTGCGGAGGTCACGTGCGTACGAGCCAAGGCACTTACATCTCGTATTCCTCGACTCCGCCAACCTCACCAAGCAACACCATCATCTTGACTTCCGGATCGTCCTGCTCGGTGCGAATGGCCATAGGATTAGTTCGAAACACGAGTGGAACGACAAGCTGCGCCAAGAGCCACCGCCTGAGGTTGGCAAATGGGTGCCAGGTGGGAAAAATTTCCCAAGCCGACTCGCATCAGCGCAGCCGCGTACCTGGAAGCGGAAGAGGTGATCAATGAACACCGAGCCTGGATAGCGATCGCCACCAATGGCCACGCCTTCGTAGACACCATTGGTATTGCGGCTGATAATGTTGTTGAGCTCGTTGCTCATACCACCCGAGCGCGAGACGTAAGCCACGCTGCCAGGGCGATACAGCTTGGAAGAGATGATGTTGTCAATCATGCCGCCAGTGTTGCCAATCTTGAAGCAGCCAGGCTTGATGCCACCAACAGTGGCCGGACCGATGATCGTAACGCCCTTGGCTTGGGCCACCTTGATCAACTTGCGGGTCAGGTGCTCCGGGATGCCTTCAGCGATGATGGCAATCACCTTGATCTGGGGTGTGGAAGGCCGGCCATACGTGCACTTGAGTAAACAGTGCACATCACAAACACACACACACACACACACACACACACACACACACACACACACACACACAGCGCATTCGCCTCGGGTTGACAAGTTTGACGCACCTGAGGGTATTCAAGGGCCTCAAGAGTGCTCTCATAGGCTGAGCGGAAGGAGGCAAAGTTGATAAGGACGTCGACGTCTGGGTGGCGCTCCATGGCCTCACCCATTTGCTGGAAGACGGGAATCAAAACCTCATTGCTGCCCCAGTAAAACTTTTGCGAGTGGTTGCCGCTGAAGGGGTAGATCATGCCGGCCACGGAAGGCTCCTCGCGACCACAGCAAAAGTCAAAGTCAAGCATGCCTATGGTATGAAACGAGATCATGTTGTCAGATCAAGGCAGTGGTCGTAGTCATTGCAGTACGAGTAGGTACAGAGGAAAGTGTGTCATGTGGAAACGACTGTCGTCGCCGTCGTGGGTCTGTGTGATCGAAAAAAGAGGCACGGCAGCAGGATCACCAGGCAAGGCCCGTAGCTCGAGTCCAACGCACCCTGTGCGGCACGAGGCTGCATGCCGAAGAAGAGGGCGCGCGTCTTGTTGGTAAAAAGGGGCTTGTAGTCGCCAGATTCGCTCGCTGCGGGCACAAAGGGAGAGCGGGCGGAGATTGAGTATCACGTCGGGAATCTGCAAGTACGTGCCGGGTGTGGAACAGACCGTAAGACATCACGGGCTGGCCAGCGGTCGATTCGGTGCGCGGCGTTGCCGTGCCAGACGATGTCGTCAAGATGCCATCAAAAAAGGAGCTTTCGGTGCGAGGCATGGTGGCTTCGCGGGTGCCAAGGCCCATGCCGACAATGGCGGTCATGTGAGTTTCTGGACCGTAAACGGCCACGGGGATGCCCAGACGATCACCGGCGTCGCGCATGCGCTTGAGGCCCTCTTGAAAGTTGGGGCCACCACGACGCACGAAAATGCGAATGTTGTGCTCCTAAATATATCGACAAGCCGCGACCGAAATAGAGCATGGGTCAAACTGCTCGGGGTACGATGCCAAAGGGTGCAGAGCGTCAACGGATGCGGGCAGGGATAGCATGGCACCTTGATGATGGCAGCAAAATCTTCCAAAGCACGAATGATACCCTTGAAGGTGGAGGCCACGTTGGTAAAGTTGGCAATGCCACCTCCGATGATGAGCACCTTGCCTTCTGGGTGGGCTTGCTTCGTCATGAGCGTCAGAATGGTCTTGGCGTACTCAAAGGTCTGTGACTCACTTTGGGATCGTCATCCCGGCGGCAAACAGTGTCACACACATACATCAGTCGAGGCAAAGAAGGCCAGCGCGTGGTTGCGAGGGGAGAAACGAAAGGAAGAAAAAAAATGAAAGAAAGGAGAGGCTTGACCGCTCACCTGGGAGCGCCCGAATATTCGCCGTAATTGGCCAGTTCGGTGGAACCACCCAGATCACAGATTGTATCGCTACATTAGTGTTTCAAGCACGCAAACAATGATGTGAAGGTCAGTTCGAGGCAGGAGGGCATGTCAAAGCATTCAATGTGGGCATGACAAGGGGGCGTTTCAATGAGAAACGCTGGTCGCAGCACACGCGCCACAGGTTCGAAGGAGATCAGATTGCAAGTGGGCAAGGCAGTCGGGAGCAATGAGGGTTGAACAAACCTGTACACGACCGAGGCACCGCCACCGGCCACCATGGTCCAGATGCGCCCTTCAGCGTTGAGGATGGTGAGCTTGAGGGAAGCACCGGACTTGGAATCGAGCTCAGCGATGTAAGCCTCTTCCGGGAGTGCGTCGCGACCAAAAGGCGGGGGGAAGGAAATGTTGCCCCATTTGTCGTTGCAAAGGTATTCGGCTGTCTGGTCGAGTTTGGCGGCGAGGTCGAGCACGTAGAGTTCGTTGTCAACGACCACTGGTGTTGGACGTGGCCAGTTAAGAGACGGGACGGGAGGGGCACCGCATAGCACGTGGTGAGTCTGAAGAGCGGTCGAGGGATGCACGCGTGCGGGCAGGACACGGTCTAAATTCATTTTTTTCAAATCTTACCAATAGGGTTAATTTCCAAATAGGTAAAGTGCAGGTCGAGAAAAGTTTTGTACAGGTTGACGATAAAAGTAGCAATCAGGGCATGACGGTCGGCGGGGAGTTGGGCAAAGAGCGTCGACTTGATTTTCTCCTCGGTCGGCATTTCATCAATGTCCAGGACGAGCTTGGCAGCCTTGGCATCAACATCACCAACATCTACGCCTCCTTCGTGGCAGAACATGATCGTGTTGCCTTCGCGGCCAGCGAAGATGCAAAGATAGTGTTCATCACTCTGCGGCGCCACAGTCCCACCAGACCGAGCCCGAGTGGCATGGGTGGGGCGGGGTGAGGCGAGCATAAAGCAGGGCGGGCAGTCCCTCTGGGCTCGGGCAAGGTATTAAAGAAGCGGGGACGAACGTCAGTGTGGGCCACAAAGGGTTCAATGACAAAGTGGTTGAGCTTGCCGGTGGTCTTGCCAATCTGTGTCAGTGAGGGCGTGATGGGGCGCAACGACAAATTATGGCAGGCGGGCGGTAGCGTCAGGTTGAGAGCGATGGAAGGATGTAGCAAGGTTGACCGGAACGAGCCAGCTGACGAGTGTCAAGCAGGACGGCGGCCAGGAGGATGGGCCTGTCGCGGGCTACGATAGACCAGCAGGACATACAGAAATCTCCTTGTCCATGTGCTCCTTGACCCACGTCTTGGCTTGATCGAGGGAGAGCTTGACCTTGACGAGACCAAGCTTGCCACGGCGCTTGATCAGTTGATCAGGCTTGGCGACGAGCTCCTGTTCCAACGCAGGGGAGGAAGCGTGCGTGGAGTGAGCACAAGGGCAAATCATGGGGCGCGGGGCGAGTGAGGTGGGTCGATGTCGTGTGCTCTTTGGTGTGATTAGGCAATAGCTGGGTAAAAAAGTTGTCCGCACTTTTTCTTTTGACGTGAAAAAAGGGCAGCGTGGTGTTTGGAGGCAAGGCGCAAGGGCACGTGTTGGGTTGTGGGGGACGAGCTATGCAAAAGCGCATTAAGCGCATGGGCTCATGGTTGGGCCAATGTGTGCATGGAGGGTGTGCGAGGACCTACAGTTTTGCTGAGGAAGGGATGAGCGGCTTCAATGGTTTCCCAGTTGAAGCCATGTGCAAAGTCGGCCACCAACAAGTTGTCACGACCGGGAGTGCCTTCGGGCAGCCATTGCGCGAGAAGGCGCTTGCCCTCGCACTCATAGATGGCTTTGGCCGACATGGTGCGTGCTACAGGTCAAAGTGTGCGTCGGATCCACACGGAGTCTAGCAAGATGGGAAAGGGGTTCCTTCCCTCTACGAGAGAGATCCGGTCAGGTGGCAAGGCACGAATCAGTGAAAATACAGACAGACAGAGCCACTGAACCCGAGCACGCGGAGAAGAAAGGAGAAGAGAGAGGAGAAGAGTGAGAGAGAGAGAGAGAGAGAGAAACGAGAAACAAAGAGAGAGAGAGAGAGAGAGAGAGACAGAGAGCGTCAGCAAAAACAACAAAAGCAATTGCAAACAATCACGCAAAAATTTTTTTTTGAAAGAAAGAGTGGTGACGTGGCCACCTCGCCGAGGCTCTGCCAGAGCCGGGTCCAACCGAGAGGGCGAGCGTCAAGTTTGATGTCCTTATCCACCCACAGGCTTGGAGCAGCCGTCGTGAAAATGCGGGGAAGGAGGGCCAAAGGACGGCGAATCTGGGCGGCTCTCTTGGGAGCTAGCTCATCAGCTGACCCTCGACTCACACGATCAATTGGACGACTGGAGCAATAATGCTTTGTAATGCATTTGGCTTGTTGTGGCTTGTGGCGTTCACCGCAGTGCAATGTCAGCATGTGCCTGCGCGTGCAGATGGCACCAAGTTGTCAGCCCTTTTCATTGAGCAATCCCCAGTTTAATTTAAAGGAGGATGGTTTTTACTTTGCAGGATCATTATTTTTGCTGACAACGGCGATCATCATCATCATCGTCATTTTCATCATCGCAGTTGCCACTTTCGCTACCAACTGACATTTTGGAAAGGTTTGCACTTTTGGGTGTGTCTGACTCCTTCAGGTGCGTGTGTCAAGGCGTTGTTGTGTTGCGTCGTCGCATCATCGTCAATGAGAATGACGTTGTAGGGGGTGAACCGAACCATAAAAACGGCAGCGGGCCCGGTCGATACGGGGGAAGCAAGTCGCGATCGAGGGCCATCTTGGCCGTCAACAGCAGCTGACCAAGGCCCGCCCACGAGTACTACCGATCCGCCTGCCATTGTGCACGGTTGGCAACCTCCCTGCCGGCACACACGAGGTATGACGGCCCACTAACCATCTCTCTCATCATAATGAACCAGTCGCGTCATTCGAAAGAGAGAGAGAGAGAGAGAGAGAGAGAGAGAAATGAATACACGAGACAGAGAGAGAGAGAGAGAGCCACAAAGAGAGAGAGAGAGAGAGACAAAAGCAAGTGTGTTGGGGTGCTGTTGTAGTGACGTTTGAATGTGCTCATGTTACGCTCTCATCTCACGTCTCTCATTGCTTTGTCTATCTGCGTTTGATCGCCATTTTCTTTTTTTTCTTTTTTCTTTCCCTGCTGCTGCTGCTGCTGTTGATGTTGTGCTTGGACGCGGCCCCTTGAAGTCTTCTTTCTTGCTGCTCGCCGATAGAGCCTTGGCCGTCGACGCCGTTCTGATCTTTGATAAGGCACAGCTTGCAAACGCTTCTGTTTCGCAAATACCCTGCTCTTAAACCACCCGTTCTCCGTTCGTGCGAGAGCTGCTGCAACGGTCCAAGCCCGACCGACACCTGTCACGCCCTGGCTTGCACCTGAAAATCGCGGATTGGGGTCTCCATTAGGGTTTTTCCTGCCCTCTTCGCAACCCCCCCACCCCCTCTTCCTTCTCCGACCGGAGCTCGACCTCTGGGGTCTCAAGAATCCTGTGCTCTTGTTCTCCTTATCCTCCTAAACTCGTCATTTGACTGAGGACCGCATCATTGCCGCATCATCGTCAAAATTACTTGATAGCCAACTGTTCCCGCCCAAGGCAGCGCTTACCATTTTCTTCCAGATACGACTGTCCCTCAACTCTTCACCTTCTCCCCTCTCCCTCCTTTCTCTACTCGCCTCTCCTTCCTTTCGTTGCTGCCGTTTGTCGTCAGCCTCCATTTCTCGTGCGACGGCGACCGCGACGGCGACCGTGCACCTCTTCTCTTTCAAACACACGACATACCCACGCTCGCACGGGGCCTCCGTGCCTCCTTGTGTTGTTTTGGATCGGCTCGACCGTGGTCATGAGCGATAGTTGCTCCCTGGCCAGGGGCGAATGCTCGGCCGCCGCCATTGCCATCCCAGACGAGTGTGTGCGCACCTCGCTCATGGTTTGTGCGGAGCGCCTGTATGGCGATAGCCCTGAATCTTTTCTTGGCGGTGTTCTCGCGTTGGCCCGAGCTCGTTTCGAGCGCCGTGACGGCAATCTTGACCGCTTTCATTTGGCCCTCAAATCCAATCTTCCTTGTGCGGCCCAAACCCGCGCCCGTTACGATTTGCTGCCCAGCGACGTCCTCGATAACATCCTCAAATACCTCTCCAATGACCCCGTGTCCCTGGCTCGAGCTTCCCAAGTCTGCCGTACCTGGTGCGTGCTTCTTCATTTATTTTCTCTGATTCTTTGTCTTCGCTTCTCGCTGCTCTGTGTTGTAATGTTGCGCCATCAGCCTGGCACGCAATGCTTTCAAGCTGGTCAACCACTCACGCTGGCCATGGTTGACGATCCGTACAGGCACAATGCTGTCTATCGTCGCCCCAAGGTCTGGCAACGGTGTTGCTCGGTCCTGTGGAACCTACCTCCGTATGACAAGGATGCCCTCACTGCCAAGTACGATTTTTTTAACACCCCCCCTCTCTTTTTTTTTATTGTCTTAAAAAAAAACTTCCCCCGCTTTTCAGCCATGGGTTTGTTCTCCAACTCACATGAGCGCGCTCCCTTTTGGCGGTTGCAGGCTGGTGGAATTCTTGGCGCAGGGCGACTTTAGCCCCTCGCTGCGCGATATTGCACCGCTTGTCTTTGCAGGCGCCGATTTGAAACACCGACATGGTCGCGTTGCAGCCACACCCATGCTCTTGGCAGCCTTTCACGGCCACGTTCATGCTCTGGACTTTCTGCTCAAAAATGGCTCATCTCGCGATGAGACAGCTGGGTGTGGCAAGAACGCGATTCTTCTCGCTAGCCTGCGCAACCACCAGTCACTGGTTGCCGTTCTTCTTGGTCGCGGCTTTTCTTCGCGCGACATGGACAACTGCGGTAACACCCCTCTTATGCTTGCCGCCCTCGGTGGCAGCAAGTGCGTCATGAAGTACCTTCATTCCCAAGGCGCCTGCATGGGTCACACCAACGTGCGCAATGAAACGGCACTACACCTGGCAGCCCAGGGTGGCTGTCTCGAAGCCATTGATGCCCTCGTCCAATGGTGCCCAACCATGATTGACTGCCGAGATAACTCTGGTCTGACGCCTTTTTTGACGGCCTGTCATTATGGGCGGGGCCTCATCTGCTGCCTCTTTTCCAAGAAGGGAGCGGACCTCTCGGCCGTGGATAAGAACGGGGCCAATGCCATCATGCAAGCCGCCATGGGTGGACTTCCCTCCAATGGCGCCGAGAATCCCAACTTTGAGACGCACGCTAATCTTGTCAAGTGCCTGGGGCGCCGGTACGACTTGGGTGCCCGCGACTTGGACGGACGCACTGCCATGCACTATGCTGTCCTGTGTGGAAACGATCTCGTACAACAGCAATTGATCCAGGCCAACGTGGAGGCCCGACCCCGAGACACCCATGGTGCGGATCCCTACGACTACCTTCGGCTTTATCAAGCGCTCAAGGAGCAGAACGCACAGCAAGCAGCGGCGGTTCTGGCTCAACTCCGCGGTGTGGCCATGTCCTTTCCGGGCCGCTTGTCGCTAACTGCTGCCCATCTGCGCTGTCTTTGCCGTGCCCTGTCCCAGAATACCACCGTGCGCGTGGTCCACCTGTCTTGCAAAGTCAACAGCGCTGAGGTGGAGCAGGACTTGGTGGCCCTCTTGAAGGTTAATAAAACCCTTCGCCACTTGCGCCTGGGCTGGAATCAGCCACAGGAGCTGCCCCACTCGGTCTTGTGTTTGCTCAACGACAGCAGTCGCCTTCCCGACTTGCATACCCTGCACAACGATTTTGCCCACCTGGGCAACTAGTCTGCTGACCAACTACAGCCACATAAGCCGATACCATCGCGGCCCGTCGCATGCAGCAGTCTTTTGTCTCGTCTCTTTCTCTTTCTTGATACTGCTCTCTTCTTCTATGCCTGCGTCACGTGATGACAGGGCATTCGCATTGATGTCAGGCTCATCCATGTGAAACTTTTTAGTGTATGTACAGTGTGTGTGCGCGCACATGTTTGGGATCTCAGCGCCAAGCGTCGAGAAAAATGTTTTGTCTTGTTATCTACCTACCGTTTGGTTACTCTTTAGCTTGCTCTCTTCCACCCTCTTTTTTACTTTCTAGGTTTGAAATGTTTTTTTTTCTTGTGCATGTTATTATTTTTGTGTCACCATCGAGGCGATGGGATAAGCCTCTCTACCCAGCTTGGGAGGCGCTGCCCGAGGCAGCCGCCTTGTGTTAACAGCGACCTGAATTGATCGCTTGGTTCAAGATGACAAAATGATGACAATGTCATCATGCTATAAGAATCTGACAAACTGACAACGAAGAACACGTGTTGTGATTCATCGTTGTGGCCACTCACGAGCGCGCGTGACATTCAACTGCTCATCAATTCCGCTCCCCGCCTCTGCCACCGATGCGACAGCCGCTTGCTGCTCGGCGTGCGCGTGGGGTGCTTGTGTGCGTGTTTCAGCCATCCTTGTGACAAGGCACCGGCTGGCTTTTGACTTTGGGTGTAGCTGCTGGCTTGTGTTGCGTCTTAGCGCTGTTCGCTGGTTGCCACCCCGCTCGCCCTTGATACCTTCGGGCGAAGGCGCTTCCTGAGGGGTGTCCTGGGCCCGAGACACCCGAGTCGCTTGGCGCTGTCTGGGCGAACATTGCATCGCGTTTGAAAAGCGGATCCATCTTGCAGTCATGGCTGAGGAGGCATTGAATCAGAGCTTGCTCTACCGGCTCTGGCGCGTGCGCGTCACACTTGCACAAGTAAGTGCAGCCAGGCTCTGCCAGGCAGGAGCGGCTCGTTCGGGGCAGGAGCGGCTCGTTCGGGGCAAGAAGCGGGAACCAGGGCTGGGGCATATGAGCATTGTCCCAAGTAGTGCAGATGCGCGACGCTGGTTCCAGTGCATGGCTGGCTTCACGTCTTTGTTCTGACTGCTCATTTTGGTGCCAAATTGACCCCGGCTGCAGCTCTGCCAAGACCGTGGCTACGATGTCAAGTCGGAGGATTTACTGCTGACTCGTGAAGGCTTTGCGGAACGCTTCGGCAGCCAACCTCTGTGCGTCGTCGTTTCCACACCGTGACCCATTTGCTTGCGCTGTCATGGTCATGCAATGCGCCCCACCCACGTTGACCAACCGCTAACTGGCCATATCGGACTTGCTCCTTGTTGGGTGCAGAAATGAACAACCGCGCCGCAGTGATTTGGACTTTGTCGTCCAGCGTGCCAGCGATCCCACCGGTCAGAGCCGAAGCTGCACCTTTGTACTGAGCGGCGATGGCCATGCCATATGCCGCATAGCGCTGCTCCCTCACTCCTCACCCACATCCTCACCCAAAACATCCTTGTGTCCCCTACGATAGATCAACTTGGCGTGTACTTTGCCAATGACCCCAAAGTGGGCATCGCCGTTGTGCGCGAGTCAGTCATGTTCCCTTGGCGGGCCTCCATCACCCATCTTTTGGCGTCTCCTTGAGAGTGTGGCCTCATGTCATGGGGTATGAACGGTGGTCGTAGTTGTATTCTGCAGGCGTCCAATAACAACGTGCGCAGCTCAATTCTGATTACCCAGGCCATTCCCAAGTCGACTGCCATGAAGGTATGCGTTTCTCACGGCAAAGAAGCGATTCACGTTTGCTGGCAACTTTTTTTATTTGACGTCTGCGATGGGCACTGAGCGTTGCACCAGAACGTCCGTTGATGAGTTTGGCTTCCCACCGAACAGGCTATTCGCGAGTACAACGCTACGGGTGCTTTTATGCAAGTCTTTGAGGAGAAAGAGCTCGTGGTCAACGTCACAAAGCACGAGGTGGGCATGATGCCTTTCAACCCGACAAACCGAGAACACCGAGTTGCATGGCCTTTTGCTCCCATAGTGCTCCCCCACCTTGGGCGTGCTGTTTTATCTCACCCATGTCGCGGGCGCGCCGGGCGGGCCAATGGCCGAATGGATGAATAGCTGGTCCCCAAGCATTTCCTACAGACCCCCGAGGAGAAGGCCGCGCTGTTGGAGCGGTACAAGCTTAAGGAGCAACAGTTGCCTCGCATCAAAGTGACAGATCCCATTGCCCGGTACCTTGGCCTTAAGCGCGGGCAGGTATGTTTGCTGCTTCTACTTGACACATGCTGCAGCCATGCCGTGGCCCTGGGCGTAGGCTCACATGCCCGTCTTCTTTCGGTTTTCTTTGTAGGTGGTCAAGATTATTCGTGAAAATAGTCCAACAGCCGGCCGCTATGTATCCTATCGCCTCGTCTTTTGACGGGTATGGTTCCCTCCCACAACTTTCCCGACCCGCACTCGTGTGCAAGTGACTTTTGTGTGCACGCGATTGTTGTCTGCGCTCAGCTCTGACTGACTGGTTCCCTCCAGCCTCCTGTGTGAATTGATTTGTTCTCTAAGCCATTTTCTAAGCGCCAACAAAGCAGGAGCAAACGACCCAGAGCCGGCGGACGCATTTATTCACAGGGTAGGCTAGGGCCTTGGCCCCCGGTGGCCTGCGCGCCGTGTGCCAAGTGAAGGCGCTGGCCGTGCCGTGGCTATTTTTTTTAGATTCGATTCAGACCGAGCAAGAAAGCGCCTCCACATGGGAATGGAATTGCCAAGAAAAAATGAAACGGGGATGATATCATGCTCGAAATACAATTTTCATAAACACGACATGCAGCAGGACTGAGGGATGGAGTGAGGCGGGTTGCGTAGCGGACCACAAGTGTGCATCAAGCACAGCACCTCACCCTTTTGTATCAAGTCTGGCATGCTCACCACGTCATCGGTTGGAGCAAGCAAAACAGGTGAGGGCATCACGATACTGCGCCTCGATGCCGCTGTTGTGGCCATTGAGACGGTCAAACTCTTCGTCTGATGGATAGACGGGGCGTCGTGACCGTCGCACAGGTGCTTCAGGAGCCACAGCCTCTGCCTTGCTGTTGCTGTTGCTGTTGCTGTTGTTTGGATTGCTGGTGCTGGCGGCGACGGCCGTCGAGGCGGACGGTGCTTGGTCAACTGTTGTTGCCATGTTCATGCTCGACCGACACGGGAGCACGAGGAAAAGGAGAGTAGAAGGGATTGAAGAGAGAAGGATGTAGCCAATAGCCAATAGCGCTTGCTCCTACGCTTCTTCTCTCCCACAGCCGCCCAGCTCACCCTGTCTCCGCGCCGAAGAGCGTACCTCTTTCTCTCCAATCTGCTCACCGCCCAGCGCCACAAACCCAAGAGAGCTGAGGTCAAGAGAGGGAGGCACCGAACTCCTTGGCGCCGGATCGCTGAGCTGTATCACAACACCCCTCCAATACATAAATGATGACATGTTGATCTGACATGTATAACAATACCCCTCCAAGGTATAAATGATGACATGCTGATAAAGACCACCAGCCATGCACAATCTTGCGGACATGAAGTTGGTATCCCAACCATGCCAGCTCCCATCACCAACCCCGCCTCTCCCTGGCGCTCTCCCTCGCGCTTTCTCGTTGGCTGCGCCTGCGCCTGCTCGTCGCACCACCACCAGCACAACCTTTTCTTTTGGCTTGTGCCTTGTCTTGCCTTCTTCTTGCCTTGCCCATCTGAACTGGTGGTATTTGTTGTTGTTGTTGTCGTTAGGCTAGATGAGGAATGAGCGGGGTTGGGGTGGCAAACTGATTCCAAGCCAAACTTGTCATTTTCTCGGTCTTGAGGGGTGACTGTCTTTCGTTGCCATCTCCGCCGGCCTTCAAAGTTTCTCCCTGCTTATCCCCCCCACCTCTCTGCCGGTTGGGCCTCTTGCCATCGCGGCTCCACCGCCTTCTATCACCATGCTGGCCTCCTCCATTGGAGCGCCCGCCCGGGCTGCCCAAGATGCAACAGCCCGGGCTGTCAAGGGCAGCGGGGACTACGTGGCGCACCACTCCAACAATTTCAGCGAGGGTGTAAGCGCACTGATTGATGCCCATTACAGTGCCGCCCGTTCCATCGCGCTGGTCAAAGCGACGGCCGGGGAGCTCTTGCATCAAGATCACGGCAGCAAGCTGGAGCAGATCCAGCTCCTCAAAGACTACTGCAACCGCTTGCTGAAGGCGCTGCCCCATCCGACGCAAGTCACGCCCGAAGAGTTGACGGACCTCATTGAGCAGGGTCTCCACGATTTTCGGACCGCTTGCCACGCCCTAGCCGGGCCTCACGTGACACTGATTGCAGCCTTCAAGTTCTCCGCCAACGTGCTTGTGCAGACCAAGCGTCTCACCACCTCGGAAACCAATGCCATCCTGTCCCGAGCCCTCCACGCCGTCAACGCCATCAATCATGCCTGGCGGTACGAACCATTATCCGCTGTCTCGATGCCCTGCCTCTTGCCCCATGCCCTCGCCCAGCCCACCGTGCCTTTGCATGTTGTTGGCATGTGCACCACTGCACGGCCACGCCGCTTCACTCGACCGGTGTCTCATACCAAAATACGCGTTCTGTATTGTCGATGCTACCTGCAGCTTTGTCCAGTCCTACGCGCTTTTGATACAGGGTTGCTTGCAGCACTTGCCCGCCACCTCCGCCTGCCGCGCACGATTGATCGCAGCCCACGACAATACCGTCACGGTGATCCAGCAAGCACAGAGCTTTTCCGAAGGGGCACGCATGCAAGTGGCCGAGGAAAGCTTTCGCAACAAGCTTCGCATTCCCAAGGGCAAGGCTTATCGGCTGGTCACGGCTGAAGGCCTCTTGCAAGCCGGGCCTTGCATTCGCTCTGAGGTCTGCTTTCGCCACAAGGGCAAGCCCATCAACAAAGTGCCCAAGGCCCAACCCATGCGCCTCTCCATCTTTGGTCATGTTGTCATCCTCACCGCCTCGACCCTGGAGGCAGAGAAGCTTCTGCTCCCACCGGTGGATCTCAGCTGTGTCAGTGCTTCAGCCGTGCGTGACGGAGATGGCTGCGTCTTTGCCCTAGCTTTGGCGGGAAAGTACGACATTGAGTTGCGATGCAAAACGGCCCTGCTTTGCGATCAATGGCTCAGCTTTTTTCGGGATCCAGCCGCACACGTGGCCGAGCTCCAGCACATGCACAAAACGTTCCGCACTAATCTGGAATTGGCCGAGCGCACGCGCGCCAGTACCCCCGTCAACACACCCTACCAGGAATCAGCCAATCTCTCACTGCTGACCCATCGCCAATTTCACCCAGCCACTCGTAAGCCCAATCAAGCTTGGGGGGGCTGTGGCGGCGACGAAGGAGATACAGTTGATGACACTGCCCGCAACAAAGTCAGCAAACCAGCTGCCGAAGCTCTTGACGACGGTTATATGCCCGTGGGTGAGGCCTTGGGCGATGGTAGCGACCGTGGCAGCGACCGCGACAGTGTTAGCGACGTCACAGAGGCACTGGATTCCATGGTGAATCCAGTCGCTGGTGCTCCGAACCTCGATGGATCGGGCTGCATCGACGTCCATGGTGCCGAAACGGCCAGCCCCTCTTTTGAAGCACAAGCACAACAGGTGGCGGGCACTGCCACTGGCTCCCTGTCCGACTTGGCCGATGATCCCTTCAAGCCGCGTGAGCTCGCATCTGACACCACAGGGGCTCCTCGCACAAGCCACCCACTAGGCCTTACACCGCCCCCCGTCAACACGCGGCCCCGCATGAACGCACCGATTGAGTTTAAGGCGGACTTTGAATCGGCTGACGCCCAGAAGGCTCTGGGTGGGCGAGTCGTGCGCCGGATTCCCGTCAAGCCTCTCAAACGTGGCAGCAGTACAGATATTTTGGGCGTGGCTACCGCCTAGAGCAATTGCTCTCAACTCGCCATCAGGATTCTGGCCTAGCGAGTTTTATGGATGCCTGGATCTCTCCTTCTCATACTCTTTTTCCCTGGTGTTTCTTGGGCATATTGAGGTTGCAGCCAAGCTCAGTTGTTGCTTGTCGCATCATTGAGGCGCTGCATGCACCAGCCCTGTTTGTTGTTTGATCACTGCCCCGGCATCGTCGTAGTTTGCACCACCCTGCATTTTCGTTTTTATCTGATTTCATTGCTGATTGGTACCTTACATTTCTCTTACTTGATAATTGACATTACACCACGACAAGATGGTCTTGATGTTTTTTTCATGATCACGAAGCAGTCATTAATTTCCTTCGTCAAGGGCGTGGCGCCCGTAAAACATGAAATCAAACATGCTCAATGCTTGCTCGGCAAGCACAACACAAGCTTCTGTTTACCACGCCTCCAGTTGGGGAGGCATGGAGGTTTCCACTTTGTGATACGCTGTGTGGAAGAGCGCCTGCTCCTCGGGGCTCAGCAGCCCATTTGTGCCCGGTGTCAACTGCAGTGCCGCGTACACGGCTTGTACTCGAACATCCTCATCGGCCCGTATGCGCCTGTGCCAAGGATGGTGCCCAGGTGAATAAAAAAACGTGTTGATAAAAGGCAGTGCATCGCACACGAGTGCAGAACAACTTTTGGTGATATCGAGCAAGAACGTCGGTGGCACGGTGGGAGGGGCCCAAACACACCGAATCTCGTCGTAGGTGCGCTCAGTCTCCGTGAGCAAAGCGTCCCGCGCGGCTTGTGAGCTCACGGCGCTGGCAGAGTTGCCAACCTCCTCCGGACGCAGTTGCCCGCCACCATTGGTGCAGCCTATGTAGAACAAGGCCACAAGATGACCGGATAAGAAGCGACACAAAAAGTCCAGTCGGTTCGACTTGCCCAAATTCGACCCCAGAACGGGCAGTTGTATAAAGATCGGTCGTACCTCGTGGACAAGCCATCACCTCGACATAGTCGTAGCTGCAATTTTTGCGCTTAATGCGGCGCAAAACAGACTGGATGCTCTTGAAGCCGTAGCCCTGGGAGCGGGCCACACAATGGAGATGAGTGATGGAAACAAAAGGTTGAGGGCGCTGTAGCGCACAAAGGACAAGCCAGAAATATTGTGCACCAGCTCAACAAGTGTTTGCAAATGGGGGCAGATACGGGCGCAAATCCTGGCACATACAAGCGCAAACGTGCGGGTCTGGCCCTGTGCATCTTGACAGCTAGCTTCTTGAAAGTCAACGCCTCGCTTCGCCTCGAGAGGCAAGGAAGCGAAGGGAGCATCAGCCGCACGTTCGACAACGTGATGCAGGTATCCACCCTGCGGTTGTGGCATCCATCCGAAACCAGCATCAGTGAACATCATGTCAAGTCGGACGATCACATTGCAAATCATCTCCCAGAGCATGCCGGTGAGAAGAGGTTCTTGCATCACTGTTCATCTTACCGAGGTTGACCCAATGTGGGAAAGTGGTTCGCCAGTATCGCCCGGCACCAAACTAATGTCGTGGGACATGGCCATGCACGAAACAGGGGTGCGAGAGCGAGGGCAAACACGGATCAGGCCATCTGTATACTCGTCAGATGTCCGGGCAGGACTAAGAGACGCCCCACCGAGTTTCACTGTGTTGTGTATGTGCGGGACAAACCTGTCGAGTGGAGACTCGGGTACTTGGCTCAGATCCACATCATCTTCTAGAAGCATGATTTCAAGCTCGGTCGCAGCGATCACACAGTCGACGTCCTTGGTGCGCAATTCATCCTTGAGGGAAGGACAAAGAAAAAAACAACAACAGACGGTGGGGTGCATTGATGAAAAGGTGAGCAGAGAGAGGAAGAAGAAAAAGAAAGACCTGGTGGTCGTCAAAGGTGCCAACAGCTTTCTGTTTGGTCAGGACAAACTCTCATGTGAGGCTCGCACCGAATAAAAGTCTGAACGGGAAGCTTCGAGCTTTTTATCAAAGCACGGCATGATGGCCGTCACAAACACCTGATCTGGCCTGTCAGTGCAAACAAATACCAAAGCGAGCAGTAAGAGTCTGCGTGGCTGTGTGAGGGTGCAAGCGAGAATGGAGCAGTGACACACAACACTGACCTCACGCCGTTTTGTCGAGGGATGATACGCTTGAGCATGCTTCCCATAATCTGCTGCGGGCTTTTCACCGTGCTGCTCAGCGGCATCGTTCGGCAAGCAACATTTTTTTCAAAAAAAAAACCATGAGGGCCAGCATCATGGGTCTGGGCGGTCCCAACACCCAATCGATAAACCAAACCTGATGTGGGGAAGAATGTAGCTTCCATGGCTCTTCTCGGCATAGCAAATCCAGCCAGGACAGGCGGAGCTCAAGATGGGAAAGACCCCACCCGTTTGACGACGGTGTGAATATTCCTGCTGCCTGCGGAGCAGCAGCTGTCAGATGTGTGGGAAGGACAAGGGCAAATAGAGGCTTTTTGCTGGGTCGGGGAACCTACACTTGGCGAAGAGCAATGGAGCGTGCAATTGACACGTCGTAGACAGCATCCACGCCTGAAGTGGGATGGGGAAGACGTCAGCACCGGGGTACCCAGCGCGCCGCAAGGCGGGGCAGCAGGCGAACGAGCCGACGCCTCAGCAATGGACACAAACCAAGTTGGCGGAGATAGGTTGAGATTTTGAAGAGGGCGGCGTGCGAGCTCAGGCCGTATTTCGCAGCCATGGAGGCATACACTTGCTGGGCAAGCATGACAACCACCGTCGTGCCGTTCTGTGTCAGAATCGGGTACGTGTGTGGTAGAACGGTCGTGTGAGGTGCCAAATGAAGCAGCGCATGAGTTGCAGCACATGGCATGTGTAGTGTGTGAAGGGGTTGGGCATGAGGCGCACCGTTGCCTTTTCCCTGAGAGCTCGACGGAGCTCATCGTGATTTTGCATTTGCACGAGCACGCTTTCAGCTGAGGTAATGCACCCACTAAAATCGTTGCGGCAGATTCCTGGTGAGCTTACATGCCAAGCTGAGGCGCAGCGGTCGGTGACATTGATGTTGCCGGGCACACCTGCAGGCCAAACAATCATTGAGCGTGATCTTGGCACGTTCCAACTTGGTCTTTTTGCCGTCCTAGGTGGCGATGCCGCAGGTTTGAGCCCACGCACAAGGCGGGGGCAAAGACCGGAACATGGCTAGATGAGGGTGTGTGTTGATTTAGAGCCAAGAAGGTGCAGCACACTCTCAGAGGGTGAGCCATCATGGGTGACCATTTTGCGTGAATACCTGAGCCAGCTGCACGTAGGATCCGTCCGGCTCAATCTCGATGCGGGCACCCTGAGGCGTATTGCCGGTGAGATATCATGGATGCTCGAGGTCACACACTGTGAGGCCATCGAAGGTCGATAAGCGGGGTGGTGTGGGGAGTCGGTGGTACCTTGGCAGCATCACCCTCGGGTCGGTTGACTTGGACGGGCTTGATACAGGCCTGGGACGGGCCGATAAAGTCGTTGAGGTCCGTTAGACGAAGTTGCGCCATGATGTCGGGGTCAGGGTGGCCTGGTGGCGCCTCAGCGAGCAAATGACGGCGGTCAAGCTGTTGACGCCTCTCGACGCGAGCGCGTGTAATGTGGCACATATGAGAAAAGTTGTAGTTTATGTAGGGATGGTTGTGGAAGTTTGTGCAGCTGATATTCGTGATGTTGCTATGACGTGGTCTGATGCAGTGTTTTGTTGAATGAAAAAATTAATGTCAGACACGTGCGTCGACTTGATGGAGCGGAAGCCCGCGCGGGAATGGAGTTTTTTTTAACATCCGGCTGGCCGGACTTTTCTTGTTCAATTGAATTTCACCTTGACATTTTGGTTGCTAGCTTGTCGGCACGTGAAAGAAGGGACAGTGCGGTTGCTGGGACGGTGCTTGTCGGTGCTGATAAATCTCTTACGGTCTGTGAGACCGGGCAGGGGGTCTGGTGCTTAGGCGGCAGCAGACTGCGTGGCAGACCAGATGGCCTTTTCAAGATCGGCCAGGGACCAATCGTGAAGTTTGAGGTGGGAGCGCAGGCCATCCAGCTGGACGGCCAGGGCCAGGTAGTTATTGAGACTGTAGTCACTGGCCCGAACCTCCGGGATCGTGAGCAAGGCCTCGTCTGACATGAATGGGGCGTCCTGGGGATAGAGCGGTGCCAAAATTGCGCTGGCCGTCGCAGGGCCCACCTATGGTCACCGTACGTGTCAAATTGAGCCTTGGCGGAGCTCAGGGCGTTTAAGGTCGAGCTAAGACAGGCCCATCAAATGGGTGTTCGAGAGGCAGGGGGGTTGCGGGCACGGACAAAGGGCAATTCTTGAAGAATGGTACAGACAGCGCGTAGGGCTACTTCAGGTCCAGCCTTGCGTTTGGCTTGCAGCTCAGCAAAAGCACGGGTGGAGACGGCCACCACGTTTTCGGCAGTGTTGTGCGCCTTGAGTCGCTTAAGTAGTGGTCGGCTTTGCCCTCTTGATAGCTTCCACTCCATAATCTACCACATGCACATGCACGAACCACATTCCCATGTCAGCTTGGCATGAACTTTGACTTCTTAGGAAAGACATTGAGTTTGAATACTGAGCACGGACATGATGTCAAATGCCTGAGCCCA